TCGTCTACCGGGCGGAACTTTACCCGCACCTCCGCCACCTCCTTCCTCGCACCCTTCAAAGCCCGCGAAATCTTGCCCTCCAGATCGCTCGCCTCTTCGATGCTCAGTGTCCGCGGCACCTCGGCAATGAGATCAACGAACATCAGCGCGCCAGCACGCATTGCGCGCAGGTCGCGGATCGCACGCAGGTTCTCGGTATGATTCTCGACCTGCGCACGGGAAGGCGTATGTGAACGTGCGGCCGCAGAGTCTGATGAAGGGAGTAGTGGATCCAGAGCTTTCGCGAGGATCGCTCTCGTCCGAGGCGACACGCTTCCATCTGTCAGCTGGTGCAGCGCACCAGCCAAAATACCCCAGCCCTGCTTGATGATGAGTATCGAGACGATGATGCCTAGAACAGCCGCTGTCAGCGTCGACGTCGCGCAGCGGTCGTAATATCTCACCTCCAATGGGATCGAGTGGCAGGTGGGGGAACCACCACGTGCCCAGGATGGCCAGCAGCGCAACGAGGCTCGAGTACGCGTCGCTCCGGTGGTGTATCGCATTCGCAAAGAGTACCGGGCTGCGCTCCTCGTCCGCAACGCGCTTCGTCACCCGGTACAGCCACTCCTTCCCTATGACACTCACCGCCGCGAACCACGCCGCGTTCGGGTCGAGCGCGTGCGCGTGTGCGTGGGCATGCGCATGTTCAGAGACGACCACGGGCACGCTGTGTGCCGCGGCCGTCACCGTCTCGAGCACGCTGTGCACCACGCCCGACGGCAGCGCCGCGGCCGACTGCGAGAGCGCCTCCATGAGCAGCGCCCACGAGTGGACGCCGATGCCCAGCGCGCCGGCCGTGAGCAGCAGCGACACCGTCGTCGTGCCCAGCACCTCGAACTTGCCGAAGCCGTACGGGTAGCGCGCCGAGGGCGGCCGCCGCGACAGCTTCCAGCACGTCAGCGTCACGAAGTCGCCGAGCAGGTCTGGCGGGGGTCAGGCACGGAGGCACGGAGCAGGGCGCGGCGCGGACATACCGCTGAGGGAGTGCCCCGCGTCCGCGAGCAGCGACGCGGAGTTCATGTACCAGCCCGCGGCGCCCTTCGACACCGTCAGGCCGATGTTCGCGAACAGCCCGAGGAGCGTGATCCTGGTCCCCCGGTCTCTGAAGCCTGCATGCGGGGGATGCGAGCGCGTCAGCGGACGGTGCGCGCAGCGAGCGCACTGCAGGTAGTGTTGTGGGCAGAAATCCTGGAGGCCAACTGCCGGCAGAACGGCAATTGCCACCCCTGGCAGAATATGGCAGATTTCAGGCGGGGTTTACATTCAATCAAGAATGTGGCGATGCTGGCAGAGTGGCAGACTTCTGCCAACAACACTAACTGCAAGACGTACACGGCTACGTACCTCCGCTCTGCAACGCCTCTACTATCTGCTCTGCGTCGTGCCCGTGCCCCTCATCTGGCCCATGTGTATGGCCCATGGAACTGAATATCGAATGTGAATGTGAATGCGAGTGACCGGGCGTGCTGTGGTCACTGCGTTCGTGGTCGTGGTCGTGTGAGGCGGGCTTCTTCCCCTTCCCCTGAGGCTGGGTCGAGTGCGCACGGCGGGCCGTGAGGGTGTCCATGGTAGGCACAGCCGTTGGTCTGGGGGGCGGTATCCGAGAACACCCAGCAGTTAAGAATGTCCGGGTGCGCGTCCGGGCGGGGCAAGGTCCACGTCGCACCAGTCCCGGGGAGACCTGAAACAGCTTGACGGTGCGCGGCCTTGGCAGCAGGATGCCGAGATGGGAGACAGCAGAGCGTTCGAGCATAGCACACGGCCGCGAGAATGATGACTAGCGCGGTACTTATGGCGCACGGGCAGCAGGAGAAGAGGGAGCGCCGCCCTCGCTCGAATCGACGGAGACATCGCTCGGGCGGGAGCAGGGGGCGCTCGCCACTTTGAATGGCGTGATGGCTATGTACTATGATACATGTGAAGGGCACCGATCAGTCCGCGTCTTCTGCGCTTCCATTGTGGGCAACCGAGCGATCGAGGTAGCGCGTCGCACGTCGTCGAACGGCCAAGTCCCGCGGCCGCTGTGACCGTCGCAAGATCGCGAGTTGCCTCTCCCTCTTCTTTTGGTTCATTCAGTGACCCTCTCGTTTCCGAGGAACAGCCCTCTCCCTCTCGCTTTGGTTCATTCAGTCAGGGCGGCTCCTCGCAATTGCGCGAACAACGGCCCTCTCCCTCGCGCGCTCTCTCCTCCGGTGCGCCTGATCTTCGCAGGTCCCGTCTCGCAGTCTGACGCTGGCGCTGCAAGCACGCTCACCGGAGCTCGTCTTCGTCGCTCCTGGACGCTTCAGGGTCTGCAAACGCAGCAAGACCGGTCGATCAAGCGGCAACGCAACGCGGTATGAATGCCGCTGCCGTGTTCCCCGCTGCCCTGCCCGTCGGTCTCTCCTCGCCCGCCGTCGTCCCGCCACCAGCAGACGCCGTCTTGCGCGCGCCGGTCTCTCGTGCACGGATCCGTCTCTTCAGCCCGGTCAGCACACTTCGCATCAAGTCGCTGGTGTATCGCGCAGATGCACGCGCAGTTCCTGGCCTGCGCGGCGTGACCGAGTCCGGCGTCGCGCGTCGAGGTAAGAGTGTAGACCGCCACGACAAATGCTGACCGGGAACACAGCGCTGCACATTGCTGCTGCGCGCGCTCGCTCCCGCGCCGGCAAATGCGGTTAGCACTCCGCACGCAACCACTCTCCACCACGTCCGGACGCCCGCACGCCGTGCTCGGTCAGCCAGCACATCGCGTACAAGCACGCGCGGTTCCCGCTCTGCGCGACATGGCCGAGTCCAGCATCGCGCGTCGGGGTAAGGGTGTCGACCGCCGCGACGAATGCTGACCGGGAGCGCAACGCCGCCCGCTGCCGCTGAGCGCGTCTGCCCCCGCGCGTGCAAACGCGGTCAGCACTCTGCACGCCACCACGTCCGGACGCCTGCACGCCGTGCCCGGTCAGCCAGCTGCCTTGAACCATCCCCGCGCTGCGATCCCTCGTACGTCGCGCTCTCAACAGCGCCCGCTCCGTCTCGTATCCCGCTCACGCCTGACGCACACAGCGAGCCGTGTTGCTTCGCGCGCGCCGTGTTGCTTCGCGCGCGTCGGTTACCGCACGTCGGCAGTCCACGCGACGCTTCGTTCTTCGCTGCCGCCTACGCCTTCAAAACAACCGCCCCACGGTCAGTACAACCACAAAAGGCTAAGCTTGCACTTACTATGGCTCTTTTCACACTGCCCGCGTCTCAAAATCGCCGTGCCGGACGCCCGCACGCCGCGCCCGCTCAGCTAGCCGCCTCGATCCGTCTCCGCGCGATGATCGCATGGACGCTGCGCTCCCGACGGCGCCCGCTCCATCTTGCATCGCGCTCATGCCTGACGCACACAGCGACCCGTGCTGGTTCGCGCGCGCCGGTTACCGCACGTCGGTCGTCCACGCGACACGTCATTCGTCGCCGCCGCCGCCTGCAAGACCGCTGCTCGACGATCAATACAACCACAACAAGGTAACCATGAGCTTACCGTTGCAATATAACACCCTCCACCCAGCCCGCGTCCGATCCGGTGGAAAGCGTAGCCACGCCGCCCGACGCTCTTGCGTCCAACCGTTGTGCTGACGACCAGCGCCTCCGGTCACTCTAACGACCCGCGTCTTCTGCGCCTCTCGATGGTACTCCCGGCTAACGTCCGGCGAGCGCGCCCGGTCCATCGTCTTGATGGCCGGCCAGGGTAAGCTAAATGAAACTTAGTCATCATTCTGCCGCACCATGCAGAATTCCAGCTCACCTCGCCAAACGCCATACGGTCGACGCGCTGCGTGCCGTCCGCTCTGGCCACACACCGCCCAGTGACCGCCTTCAACGCGTGGCCAGTCGTCAGTGCGCCGGACAGCGAGTGGCACCATGTTGCCGCAGGGAATGTCGCACATGTCTCCGCCTGCCGCTGTATGTGCCGCGCACCCCGTCAACCAACGGCTGCAGATCGAGCGCGTCGGTTCATTCCCGCAATCCGCGACCGCGCACCGACCACGCCGGTTGTCTTTCAGTGTCGCGCCATCTGACACCCGCGATGCATCCTCGTCGCTGTTGGCCGCTTTGACGTCTGCAAACACAGCGCGCGCCGGGGCTTAAGGTATGGTGCCGAGTGTTTGACCGAGGAGAGGAAGCGCACAGTGACGACAGCGGGCCAAGCGGAAAGGTTATGCGGCGTGAATTTAGAGCCGTAGTTGTCTTAAACAGTGACTGTCAGTGCTGCAGATGGCAAAAAAAGATGTGATGAACTCACCATGCACTCCAGCGTGACGGCGCGACCATCATCTCTCTGCCAAGGGCCTTTGCGCCATTCGCAAACAGGAAGCCGGGCACTTTGCACACCCAGGTACGCGTACGCCGTCGTCAGAGCATTTGCGCCACCTTCAATTCGTGACCGGATACAACTTCCTGTGAGTGCTATGAACAATGCAAATACTGCAGCAAAGTGACAGACTCACGCAGAAGCCTGTGGCGGTCCCACCAATGTCCCGCCGACATATTGAACGCGCCGTCACCAATGTGGACGCTGCAGCGGTCACTGACTGCTGTTCCCCGGTTGGTCGCAATCATGTACCCAATGCGATCTACATCCCGTCTGCAATCTGCGTGCGATGGATCTGACGGCATCAGGGTTGTCAGCTTGGAAGGACCCCGGTCATGCATAGCACAGTCGATAGTCGGTGACCTCGCAGAGGCCAGTCAGGATCTCACTGGAGACGGCATGATATCCTGCATAGACATAGTGACAGACATGGTTGGGAATGAAATAACAGAATGGAAGAGAACAGGATGGAATTCAAGACGAGTGAGGAATCGGGAGGGGAAAAGTAATGCAAGCCGCAGGAAAGTCGGAAACAAATGACATAATGCACACATATATATGAGCGGTCGGTCAGAGCTGCGGCCAGACTATAATTGATGGTAAGCAAATGGCGTGGGAAGTACGTGTTCCCGCCATCATTCTGATATCAAGATCATTTCCGGGTGAAGATGTGATACACAAATGATGCCCATCGCAATATCGGAATTGCTTCCATAGCTATGCGACGGAGTCGGAGATCCGTTTGCAACCGCCAAGCAGGAAGTTTACATTAGACTGACTAATGTGTTGTGACTACAAGGTGCTGTACTAGGAGTGGTGCTACATGATTTCATGCCCGAGTTGCAGTGGACGACAAGCAGGAGGCTCTTTGGCTGGTAGATGTGGATGGTGCATACATTGGCACCTCCCCGCTGTGCGCGCGCGCATGCAGGAAATGTGCAGGACATTGGGCAGTGAGTCTTTTCCTCCTGAGAGCGACCCCGGCCGTGCGCCGCATTGTGCGTGCACACCGCACGTGTTTTGCCATCAGTGGATTATTCACGCTGGGATACGCTGTCGCAATGCACGAGAAGCTCTGACGAGCGCCTGGTGGAGATGTATGGACACGGGCTTTGCATTCCAGTTTGCGTTTCAACTCCTGCTGCCGCTGATAGCCATGCACGATCTTGTTCGCTTGCTTGCGTGTATACTTGCAGCGCAGGGGCATATTTCGTACTTCCTCAGCGGAGGCCGCATGCCTATGTTGACCGGGATCATAGAATTCGGGCAAGCTTGTAAGCTCGCCCCCGCCCCCGCAGGGCAGACAGCACAAATGGTGCGACATGCAGACTGTGTATCTACCAAGCAGACCACGTCACGCTGTAGTGTCACTCGGGACAGGGCCGCATGTGGACGCCCAGACGTGCAGTGGCCAAGACCAGGGGGCGGGATCGTTTGCTGACACTTGCAATGGCAATCACACGCTAACGACGGGCAGGCACAACATCCCGTTAGTGGATGCACAATTCTCGGCCTGCGCATTGAAGATCTCCCGGGCGCGGCACCGGCCCTCTGCGTGGGTTGCCAGGCGGACAACTGCCCGCGTTGCGCATACAAAATGCAGGACAAGATGCGGACACGGAGATGGGCGTGCGTCCTGCTGTCGGCAGATTCCCCATGCAGGGATGCATGTCTGGTGCGGTGGCGGACGGTGTTGCGGCAACGCGTGAAGCCCGTGCGAGCGCCCCGGCAGAGGTGCGCGTAGCTCGGGTGTTGCGGGAGGCAACGCAAGCGGTGGCATGACATACACGATGGGGCTGGGTGCCGTGACGTGGGGAAGGAGCGTCCGTGCGTGGGTTTGCAACGCAGGAAGGGGGTAGCGAGAGGGATATAAGGAGAGCCGGATATGACAGTGGGTGTCCGTCGTCTCCCGGTCATGAATCTTATTGTTATCTGTCTTGGTGGTTCAGCTCGCGTTTGCCTACGGAACCCATGACCATTGTCTGTACTGACCTTTATGTGTGTTGCAGATATGTTGGCCGACGCTGGAGCCACAATGGTGAGTGTGCTTGCAGGTCGCTGTTGCTCTAGCCGTTGGTGTGCTTACGGCGTGTCTGGGTTGGAACAGAACACTACGTAGCCGCGGGTCTTGTAGAGGTACGGCGCACCTGCACCATATTTCGTCAGCTGTGCTGATGCGTGCGCAAGCAAGTAGCCGGAAGGCATGTCGGCGCGCTTACGGGATGCAGGCGCGCTCTGCGGCCGAGTCGTGTGCGGAAGGTGGGTTCAGGAAGATGGTGCAGTTGCGCGAGCTCGGGGCAGTGGAGTACGAGACCTTGACATAAGGAAACAATGATTTGGACATGTGTGCGCGACTGCAGCAACAATGTGAGCAGATGACCGGTTTGCAGGCCGGCAGAGGTCTTGATAAGGCGCGAACGTCCGCACCGCTAGCTGGCGGAGTGGGGTGAACGCAGTGTCCGCGTTAGCATAACCACTGCGCGAGAGGCATGTGAGCGTCCGCATGTCATTTAGCAATAGCGGATGCACTGCATACCTGCTGTTTGCACACATGCGTGACCGGGCCTGGTCGCACAACCTGCAAGGTGCGCTCGCGAGCCACACCTCGGTGGCGCAGTCGGCAGACGCAGCGTTCACGGCGGAAGGAAGCTTCGAGAGCGCGCGATCGCAACGCAAGAGCAAGAATGGGACGCGTGAGCGTCCACAGTGCGCGGGAGCCAGCCACAACACAGCGTGAGCATGGCTGCATGTGCGAGGGACCAGACAAGAGAGCGAGTGGGCACCAGTGAGAGCCAGCGCGGCGTGAGACGAGACGCATCCCGGAACGTCGTCGGGCGTAGCGTGAAGCGCAGACTGCCATCTACCCGTCATCCTGCGAGTCGAAACGGCAGTGCACCGCATGAGCTGAGCGCGTCAACATGCGCGCGTGCGCAATGCGACGGGAAGCGGAAGCCCTGCTGACCGCTTGATCAGCACAAACACGTCTGTCCACATCCCATGCACATACCACCAACGGTGCCCCGGCGCGGGCCGCACGCCGTATGTCTCCCCACTGTGCGCTGGGTTCGGGTACCGCAGCGTCATGGGCACGACGTCCCACGCACAGTCGACGCTGCGGACATCGCACAGCGCGGGCCGCCAATCGCGCGCGCGGTGCCCGAAGGTTCAGGATTTGGAAGCGGCGCCGGGGCCGGAGGTTCCTGCAGCAAACTTTAGCATGCAAGCTCAAAATCCAGGGGAATATCATTACAACAGTCATACAGTTTAGTGGTGGTCCTGATCATGGTCCTCATGCCGGTGCACGATCTCCTCGTCTACCGGGCGGAACTTTACCCGCACCTCTGCCACCTCCTTCCTCGCACCCTTCAAAGCCCGCGAAATCTTGCCCTCCAGATCGCTCGCCTCTTCGATGCTCAGTGTCCGCGGCACCTCGGCAATGAGATCAACGAACATCAGCGCGCCAGCACGCATTGCGCGCAGGTCGCGGATCGCACGCAGGTTCTCGGTATGATTCTCGACCTGCGCACGGGAAGGCGTATGTGAACGTGCGGCCGCAGAGTCTGATGAAGGGAGTAGTGGATCCAGAGCTTTCGCGAGGATCGCTCTCGTCCGAGGCGACACACTTCCATCTGTCAGCTGGTGCAGCGCACCAGCCAAAATACCCCAGCCCTGCTTGATGATGAGTATCGAGACGATGATGCCTAGAACAGTCGCTGTCAGCGTCGACGTCGCGCAGCGGTCGTCATATCTCACCTCCAATGGGATCGAGTGGCAGGTGGGGGAACCACCACGTGCCCAGGATGGCCAGCAGCGCAACGAGGCTCGAGTACGCGTCGCTCCGGTGGTGTATCGCATTCGCGAACAGCACCGGGCTGCGCTCCTCGTCCGCAACGCGCTTCGTCACCCGGTACAGCCACTCCTTCCCTATGACACTCACCGCCGCGAACCACGCCGCGTTCGGGTCGAGCGCGTGCGCGTGTGCGTGGGCATGCGCATGTTCAGAGACGACCACGGGCACGCTATGCGCCGCGGCCGTCACCGTCTCGAGCACGTCGTGCACCACGCCCGACGGCAGCGCCGCGGCCGACTGCGAGAGCGCCTCCATGAGCAGCGCCCACGAGTGGACGCCGATGCCCAGCGCGCCGGCCGTGAGCAGCAGCGACACCGTCGTCGTGCCCAGCACCTCGAACTTGCCGAAGCCGTACGGGTAGCGCGCCGAGGGCGGCCGCCGCGACAGCTTCCAGCACGTCAGCGTGACGAAGTCGCCGAGCAGGTCTGGCGGGGGTCAGGCGCGGGCGGCACAGAGCAGGGCGCGGCGCGGACATACCGCTGAGGGAGTGCCCCGCGTCCGCGAGCAGCGACGCGGAGTTCATGTACCAGCCCGCGGCGCCCTTCGACGCCGTCAGGCCAATGTTCGCGAACAGCCCGAGGAGCGTGATCCTGGTCCCGCGGTCTCTGAAGCCTGCATGCGAGCGCGTCAGCGGACGGTGCGCGCAGCGAGCGCACTGCAGGTAGTGTTGTGGGCAGAAATCCTGGAGGCCAACTGTCGGCAGAACGGCAATTGCCACCCCTGGCAGAATATGGCAGATTTCAGGCGGGGTTTACATTCAATCAAGAATGTGGCGATGCTGGCAGAGTGGCAGACTTCTGCCAACAACACTAACTGCAGGACGTACACGGCTACGTACCTCCGCTCTGCAACGCCTTTACTATCTGTTCTGCGTCGTGCCCGTGCCCCTCATCTGGCCCGTGTGTATGGCCCATGGAACTGAATATCGAATGTGAGTGCGAGTGCGAGTGCGAGTGCGAGTGACCGGGCGTGCTGTGCTCGCGTGGGGCGGGCTCCTTCCCCTTCCCCTGAGGCTGGGTCGAGTGCGCACGGCGGGCCGTGAGGGTGTCCATGGTAGGCACAGCCGTTGGTCTGGGGGGCGGTATCCGAGAACACCCAGCAGTTAAGAATGTCCGGGTGCGCGTCCGGGCGGGGCAAGGTCCACGTCGCACCAGTCCCGGGGAGACCTGAAACAGCTTGACGGTGCCCGGCCTTGGCAGCAGGTTGCCGAGATGAGAGACAGCAGAGCGTTCGAGCATAGCACACGGCCGCGAGAATGATGACTAGCGCGGTACTTATGGCGCCGCAACTGTCATGCAACGGTGACGGGGCCACTGCGGAGGACGTGGCAGCAGGAGAAGAGGGAGCGCCGCCCTCGCTCGAGGACTTATCTCGAACCGACGGAGACATCGCTCGGGCGGGAGCAGGGGGCGCGGCAGGCCGGGCAGGTGGTGTCGCCAGATCAGCGAGGTGTCTCCTCGGCGCGCGGCACACTCGATATCGCCTCTTTGAATGGCGTGATCCCTACTTCTCAATGTACTATACATCCAATGATACATGCAGTATTTCCATTCATTTGGCCTGAAGGGCACCGATACGTCAGCCAAGCACCGAGAGCACCTCAGTTGGGGTACAGGCCCTCGAGCAGCTTCACCACCCCCGGGAATGTCGGATCATCCTTGCTGCCCACAGCAAGCTCAGCAATCTTCGGAACATCGGTGCGGGGCACCTTGTACTCCTCCAGATTTGATTCAAGTCCTAGCTCCTTGACGAGTCTACGATGGAATGGAGCAGTCAAGTTACCTGCATGAACGGTAATAAAACAAGCGCCTACCCGTTGATCAAGCCAGAAAGCTTCAGTACATCGCCCTCTAGGGAGCCTGTGTTCTGCTCGCGTAGGTAGAAGAGAGCCTTGGACAGCCATTCTTTGTCTTCTTGGGAAGCGACTTGCGCTTTCAACGCTACTGTCGGCCCCAGGGTAAGGCACTGGATTTCGATGGTTGAGCGCGGCAGATCGAGCAAAAGGGGGCACATTACACTCACGGATGTGATGCCATGTGGAATGCTGTACGTTGCACCCAGCTTGTGTCCCAAGGCGTGGGACAGACCTAGAGCACTATACAACAAATTCAGAATTACTACCAATCAAACTTTGCAAATGCGCATACCTGTACTTCTCAAGCTTGAGCGGCCATAGACTCATCCACGAAGCAATCTGAAGTTTCTGTCGAACATTAATGTCCTGCGGGCTGGCCTTGGACTTGGGTAGATACTCGAAGAGATCTGCTAACGCGGCGAAGCAGAGGTATTTGATGGGCGGAGGTACGAGAGGCCTGTAGAGATTCTCTGAAGAAACGATCAATCGAGTAGTTGAGACAACGTGAACGTGTACACACCAACAGCGTGATCGACAGCACGCATTCCGGTGGACAGCCTAAGGGGAGCGGGTCAGAACCTGACCATGAGTCGCTCTCAAGATGCCTACCAAAGCCGATCAGGAGTAGCAAGGGTCAGCTCAGCATCAAGGATGATGCCTGCAGGTGCCAATTGGGGCGAGCTCACAGCTACCTTCTTTCCCTCTTCGTTCGTGTACCCAGCACCAACCTGCCGGCGCCACGATAGTTTGAGCCATACACGCGTTCATTACTGGTAGTGCAAATCACTCACGGTGTATTCGGCCGCGCTCAACGTGGTCGGGATCGCGATCTGCCGGAGATAATCCCCGCCCTTTTCTTGCTGGTAGAAATAGAGGATCGCCTTCGAGGCGTCGATAGGCGAGCCGCCACCGACTGACACAATAATGTCGGCACTGGCATCTTTGAACGCCTTAAGGCCGTTGTGGATGCCAGAGACGGGAGAGTGCTGTCCGATCTCGTAGAACGTGCCGCCGTACGCGTTGTGTTGTTTCAAGACATTCTCGACCTTCTTCACGACATCGGTCTAAAGATGCTCACGTTGAGTGGAAGTCGCGGGTGGGGTAGCAGGAACGAACCTTATCGTGCAGGCTTCTCCCTGTGACGACGAGTGCCTTCGTCCCCCCTAATGTCTGAAGTAACTTTGGCAAAGCCGTAGCAAGCGAGCCAGGTCCGTAGTATACACCCTTGAGGGTATCTGTCCATCCATATGAACCCTGGAGGTTCGAGGACGGGTACTGAACGCTATCGAGGCCTGACATCTTCAATGTAAGTGTTACAAGGCGTGGTCTCTCGATCTCAAGTTATAAGTAGGGAACTGTTCGGGCAATGTGTGAGTGGATGGAGATCCAGCTCAGCGTTTTCCTGGACCCGCTGACCAATATTGGCCGTAGATGGTCGTTTGTTCAGTCGACGTCATACATCACCGATCAGTCCGATGACCTCTTCCTCAGAATCGTGCATTAACCGAATGCTTTGGACAAGAGTGCACTAGGTTGAAGGGGGTCCTTGAATCAAAGATTCGAGCCAACCTGAATGGTAGGACCTCAAGCAAATTCGACAATGCGTGGGAGCAGTTCATAACGAGAGTCGAAGCATGCTTTGATGGGACCTCATGTCGATCGATGTGGGTAAATGTGGGCACGAGTCCGAGAAAGCCGTTCCTCAAAGGTTCACTCGCCGGGCGCGAAAACAAGAAGCTGCCGCGTACAGACTGTAGCGACAAAACAGATGTCACGCTCTCATCCTCGGGTCCGCACTGATCAACAACAACGCCCATATTCGTGCCAAATGACTCACCGAGGGAAAGGCGCGGCGCCGCGCGGACCTGGACCAACGGGCAACATACCTGATGGTGATTTGTCGAACCCGCGCCCGGTCGTGCCTGGCGCTCTCGAGCTGCAACAAATACGGCCTTGACAGTCGGGGCTGGGTATCAACCTTTCCGGTCTTGTGTTTCCCTCTGCTGTTTCACAAAACCGCCCAGCTGTCGGCCTGTCGAGACGCAGTCGGTCCTTTCTTGTCCACAGACTCTTACCTTCGTCGTTCCTTGTATCCACTATGGTCGGTCGTCGAAACAACCCGCCTTCACAGGGCCTCAAATTCTTCGGAATGGTCGGTGCCGTAATGGCTGGCTTGAAACTCAAAGAACACTTGGATGAATGTGAGTACTGCCATTATGCTATATCGGCAAGGAGCCCATTTGTTTTCTTGTAGACCGACGCGTACCAAATGAAGAGGACGGTCTCGGACCAGTTGCTCTGCATAGCCCAATCGACGAGGAAGGGATGGCTACTCTCGACACAGAAATCCCTGCAACAAGGTCGACGAGAAAGAAGACCGATTGCTGCATGTGCTGCGGCATGCGGTGCGCGAAGCTCCTGCGGACCACGCACGAATATGCTAATCTCATCCCAATTCTCACAGATGCGGTCTCTTCTGGAAGGCATTTGGCATTGTCTGCTTGCTCCTTGTCGGCTGGAACGCAATCAAGCTCGTCATCTGGATGGTTACTGTCAGTATTATTTTGACTTACCTCGCACTCAGACTTGAACATAGCATATGTGTAGCCTTCGCCCACTGGCCTTGAGGGCATGCCGAAGTATAGTACCTCACTCGGCTGCGAAAATGCCCCGTACCTCTACCAGGACTCGAAGATGTCTTACTCAGTCCCTGTCGGGACGAATGGCGCTGATCACACCCTTGACATTACCGGTGCTGCCGTCGGAACGGTTGTCGTTGCCCAAGGCGATGCTGATTCGACCGAGATCAAATACGACATAACGCTCCGCACAGACGACGCCTCTCTCTTGGAGCACGTTACCCTGCGGTACCCGACGGCGGACGACATCGAGCAGGGCCTCTCCAGCAGCAGGATGCACCTCACGACCCCCAAGTACGGGGCGTCAAAGTGCATGCGGTACGACATGACGGTCTACCTCCCGCCCACCGCGAAGAAGCTGGACGTGCAGACCCGCGGCGCCTCGCAGCTCAAGTTCGACACCGAGTCCAATTTTGACCTGGACGCGCTCTCGGTCTCGATGATCAGCCTCGACGAGAACAACATGCTCCTACCGCACAAGGGCGTCCACGCTGGCTCTCTGACGTTCGAGATGACCCGTGGCTGGCTCGTCGGCGACGTCGCGATCGTCGACAAGACGACGCTCACCACCCAGCGCGGCGACGCAGTCATGAACGTGCACGTCCATCCGGCACCTTCCACTGCTGAACCTCCAGCTACTGCGCGCCTGCAGACCACTACCGGTGCTGGTCGCAGCGACGTCTTCTACGTGAGCCACCCCGGCCACCCTCACCGCCCGATCTCTAGCGTGCACCGGTCATCGAAGAAGGGGGACCTCTACCTCACGTATAAGGAGGCCGAGTTCAAGGGCACCGTCAACTTGAAGGCTAAGTCCTACTCTGCTAAGGGGCTGCAGGGCACAGTGCGCCCTGAGGGCGAAGGGCTCCCCTGGGTCGGAGACAAGGATGGTAGCGACAGCCTTGAGGTCAACTCGCCTAGCGGCTGGGTTGGCCTCTACTTCTAAGCAGGCATATTTTGTGCTAAGCTATCTACCATGGGGTTTTGGGTATCTGTGGTGCTGTCGACGATGGACTTGTCCGTGAGCTATCGTGTACTAGTAATGGATTTGCGATAATGTGGTGCGTGGAAGACTCACTCGGTGTATTTATGGTGTCCTCTAGCGTGTCAATGCGACATCTACTTTCATTTTTCTGAAGTATATAATATATGCGTACTTAGAATGACGCGGCCACGGTTTACGAGACCGCTTGTAATTAAAGGTTGCGTTTGTGGCAACGAGTCGAACGCGCCTCACGTGCAGCAACACGATCGTGGCGCGACGCGAATCGCGTCCCTGAACGCGATCTACTCCTGCACTCTCGACGCTAGTCCAGAATGGCAGAGTTCTCGCTACAGTTCTCCTCAACTCCCCTTGCGGATACCTCCGCGTTCAGATTGCTCGAGCTACCGCCGGAGCTGTGCAAAATCGTCGAGGAAGGGTTGAACTCCCCCGCAGGTCCTAGGTGAGCGGTCACGCGTTCATTTGGCAACGGCACAGGCCCACGAACCACTTCTAAAGCCTCGTGATAAAAGGGAACCCGGATGAAGACGCGGTGCTATGTACAGCCGACAAGACATATACAATCCGCTCGGTGGTCTTGTCGAACTCCGTGCTGGTAGCGACACCCGATTCCTCGACGAAGTCTCAAGGAGATGCCGATGCGGTTGTCATCAGAGATCAACTAAAGGAGATTCTGGAACTCGCCCCTTCTCTGCCTCGCCTTCGGAGGCTAGACGCACTATTAAAGGATGCAGAGTACAATGAGGGACATGAGGATGAGGATGGTCGCATGAGCGAGGATGAAGACAGTGCACCTGTACGTCATGCATGCCTCTGAAATATTTTGCTTCTCACAGCTCGACGCGCTGTACCAGACAAAAAGGCAAAAAGTGACATATGCCGAGGCGCGAGAAACGCTGCAAGCCAGCGATATTGAGCTCGATCGGGGCCTCAGGGACAGGCGAGTACTCATTCTCGGCGGTACGTGTTTTGTCCTTGTCCAAGCACTATGCGAGATGGTCTCATGTATGCCTTCCGATCTCAGGTTACCTGCGACGCCTCGCCCCTTCCTACCTCACGACCATCCTCGAACTTCTGCTCACCAACCTTGTGTCTCTGTCGCTTTCGCACGAAGCGGCGTCGGTTGCTGAACTATGCTCAGCCCTTGATGGGCATGACGTGAGTAGGGATGTGTGTCGGCAGGTGATGGCCTGGTTCGGTGAGGTCGCAGACGGTAAGTGGAAAGTGAACGTAGCTGCTGCCGTCAAAGAAGTCGGCCTCGGCATCTTGAGGGCTTACAAGGTTAATCACTCCATAATTTTAACCTATATCTCATTTTGATACATCGACCAGGATGATCCAATCGCGCAGAGTGAGCTCCTTGCTAAGTGGTGTTCAACTGTCGGAGACACATTCGAATCTACGGTGTCCCTTGACCTGCTCGCGGTACGCCTCGTTGTTCCCATCAAATGCAGGCATCTGTAGCTCACCTACACACAGGGTAACTACCTTGTACAAACTGACACCCTCAAAGACCCACCTGTCACCGCCCTTGCGTATTTCCCGTCTTCACAGCTCCCTGTCGACCCCGCGGCTCGCTTCACTGATCTCTTCCTCACGCGACCTCGCTGGAAAGCTGACGAAATAGTGCCATTTCTTGCTGACATTGTTGTCGACTCGAAGGAGCGCGACAAGCTCCTGCTCAAATATACTAGAACCATCACAAACACTGAAGGGATATGGTATACGGCACGCGCAAAATACAATGGATAGACTACACTGTCATACTAAAGATACTATACGCTAAGATGCCGTTCATGAGACAAGCTATTCACTAGGTTATGCAAATACAGGTATGCGTGCTAAACTCACGAAGTGGGACGAAAATCATCGCGTGCCCCTCTTCGTCCGCTTGCCGACCTGTTTAGAAGTGTCATAACCATCTCCCTTCCTCTTCTTTCCATCTCCGCCTCTTCCAGACGAGTTTTGGTCCTCCAAATGCTCGACAACGGAATCAACGAAACCCCAGAGATACCTTATGACATCACCTCGCGAGCGCACATCGGCGAACTTTTTCCGGACATAGACTCGCATATTGTGAATCTCATTGGCGCGCCACTCGACCAGACAATCGCGTGTGACGAAGAGGACCACACCTACGAGTAGAGCGAGTACATTGAGATCGCTCGATACATCGGAAATCCGCTGAAAACATACCGATGAAAACAAACTCGATCGGAGCGACTCGTTTTTGGATTTTGGTGAAGGCAGCGTTTAGTGAGCGATCGCTCGCTATGTGCCAGAAAGACGTCAGGACATCGTTTATCGCAGTCTTGAAGGCATGCGGCGGATGCTCTGCACGCGCAACCCATTGCTCCATCTTTGGTGCAGTCGGGATGCTGTGCTCGGGGTAATTGTCGCAGCAGTACACGAGCTGCGCTAGTGACTGGAAATCTCGGCCGCGCTTCATATCCACGTCTATAATAGTTGTTAGGCCATTGTCACTGCTAACGAAACGGGTGTCCATGAGGGAGATCCAATCAGCCCATGGCGACGCGATAGCTTGCAGTTTTTCTGTCATGAATGTGATGTCAGACGCGTTAGCATGTACGTGATGAAAGGACGCATACCGGCAGCGGTAAGGGGCATCCCGAGTTGTACCCGCTGGAATATGTCTCGCTCAAAGCCTCTGGGGAGGTTCCGATATTCCACTGGTCGTCAAGATCAATGCTAAGCGAGGAACGGGTGGCGAATGTGACTGACCACAGGTTATCTGTTTAGAAGCAAAATCATTTTTCCAGACGGGAGGTACCTCGAGCCTGCTCGCTTTGTGCGATTCGGCGCGAGAGTACCAGTAGGTCTTCTTTGTTACCGGGTCTCTGTCTAAAGCATGACTGTCAACACGATTATTCATGCGCGCTGATTGACGACTTACAAGGAATCTAAAAATACGGCCATTGGAGCGTCAGCAACTATACGACAAAAGGCGAATGATGCGCACTCCTGCAACCGAAGTATCTGGTGTCTTTGATGCATGACTCGGCACCAAGAGGATGTGACTAGATCCAGTCGTGCAGCATAGACACCTCGCACGGGGCTCTGCTACAATGACACTGAGACAGAAATACACACCTGCCCGTCGAAGAACTTCTGAATAGACGTCAACCGCTGCTTCCCATCCACACATCTTCGTATCTCCTCTCCATCCTCATACCATACAGCGAATACCACAGGGGGGACATAGAAATTGCGGTATATGGAATCCAGTAGCTTCATCTGCTTTGGCTCGGTCCACACAACATCTTCACGGGACGCAACGCGTCAGGACGTGTGGTATATCAGTCATGCGATTAGCGCACCTCGTTGATAAGGGGGATTTAGGTCAATAACACCTTCATGGATCAAAGCTACGCGACATGAGACGCGAATGAACTGAAGGCAGACAACAGTGGCATACTGTGTAACTCTTGAGTGGAATACAGTCGTGCTTGCGGGGGATCAAGCCGTGCACCAATATGGAATGCATCCTCGTCAACTTCCTCGTCAAGATCGGAGTGAAGCTCGTCGTAATCTTTGTCTGACATGGTCAAGAGGTGAGAGCAGCGGCCTAGACGCGAACGTCGAAAGCTGCACGATGAACGCGCCGTGTAAATTCAACACCTTATTCACGAGGAATATCACGATCGGTAATCGGCTTGTCAACATAATTAATTATTGCCAATTCTGTCTTGGACTGTCATAGAGTGGAAACGGCACGCAGCATAGTGAGCAGAGTCTACTTCTTTCCAGCCAGCTCTGCGCTTTGCCGGACACCCTCGGCCATCCATGAACTCGTCCTACACGCTCAGCACGACGTCCATCGCGATCCCGAGCTCGTCTGCTATCCCAGTCGCTGCGACCGACGAGCCGGGGTCCCCACACCATGCTAGCCCCGTAGTAGCCTTCATCATTGGTCTCGCTATAATCCTGCTTGCTTCAATCCTCAACGCAGCTGGACTGAACCTCACGAAACTCGACCATGTGAGTGACCCAATGGTAAGAAGGCTGATGCTGTACCCATGCATGATCGCTGTTAGGTCCGAACCAGTGCCATCCCGAAAGAGCAGCGCCGGAGAGACTGGCTACGACCGCTATGGCTACTGGGGATGGTCTTGTATATGTGAGTTTCGTGTTGCACTTATGTCGTATACTGTCCGTGACACTCGAGTAGTCTGTCTCAAGTGATCGGCAGTACTCTTGCTCTGGAGTACATGCGAGCAGGTACGTCTCCGGCCGCTCCATGATTGTTAACCTGCGCCTCACATGTATCCCAGAATATGTTGCGCCTCTGGGGTCTACATCACTCATCTTCAACTTCCTCTTTGCAAGATTCCTCGTCAATAGTCCTGTCACCAATTACGACATTTACGTGCGTCTCTTGTCTCTCATTGCTTCGCGGGCCCGTTGAAGTTCGCCAATTGCAGGGCACAATCATAGTAATCATAGGCGTCATCGGCATTGTTGCCTTTGGCTCCATCAACAGCGGCCTTGGAGTCGAGACTGATGCCGCGCATCTCACCTACCTCTGGACTCGGAGCAACTGGCTCCTGTTCTTCTTCTTCATGGCGTTCGCGCTCATCAACCTTTACATCTTCACCGCTCTACTCGAGCAGGTGCTCAATGCTCGGTCAGACATGAATGCAGCGCCTTTCGCAGGCATGAGCACGCGTAAAGCCAGCGAAACATTTCCGCCTGGGTTCAAGGGTTTTTTGAGGCGGATTGCTGCCGGCATGGAGACCGCCATGATGTGGATTAGGGAGAAGCTCGAGCTTTGGACAGCGCCCCAAGACGACAAACGCATAGCGTGGACGTTGGGTATAGGTTGGGCATGCTGCGGTGGAGGTTTAGCCGGTGGTTGCTTGGTTTTCGCCAAGGCCGCGTGAGTCTTCTCGAACTCGAATTGAATGCTAAGCTTAATGTACAACGTAGTGTCAAGCTCATTTCTGGCAGTTTGTCTCACGAGAACACTGGCAATCAGTTCGGCCATGCATCCTCCATCTTCACGTTCATCCTCCTGGCCATCACCGCGGTGTCGCAGATTATATGCTTGAATCGTGGGTTGAAGGTCTATGATTCGACGCTCGTCGTTCCAGTGTTCTATGGCGTGTATACCGCCGCGGGGTGAGTGGGCATCGTGTCATTGCGTGTCGTTGACGGATCACTCAATCTTATACGCGCAGTTTCCTCAATTCTCTAGTAAGTCTCAGGCAAGATACAATAAATTTGCCTCTCAATTATTTTGCCCACTCTATACAGATATTCAATGACGAAGTCGACGCCTATCAGCCATGGGCACTCTTCCTGATCTTCGTTGCGATGATCATCCTCATCTGCGGTGTCGTGCTCCTGACGTACAAGAAGCCAGAGAAGAAGCCGACTACTGCTGGTGCATCTGGGCATGTTGCGCTGACGCCGCGTGCCCGGCGCGGGGCTGCGCGCAAGGGGAGTCCGGACAACAGCGACGAGCAGGAAGCGCTGCGGGACATCGAAGAGGGAGAGGAAGACGCCGAGCAGCTTTGGCAGATCGGTGATACTAGCGACGACGAGGATGGCATCGACCGCCCGCGCAGCCCACGCCCCGTGCGCCACCGTTCAGGCAGCGCGCGCTCAAGAGGGGAGGGTGAGCAGGAGAGGATGATCGGTGGCGAGGCCGACGACGACGAGCGCCGCGAGTCAACCTCGTCGGATGCGACGCTCGCGCGGCCTGACAGCGCGCGCGGCTACGCGGATGACGATTTCGGAGGCTGGAAACAAGGCAAGATCCAGCAATGACACTGACCATGCGAGAAGATAATTTAGACTGCTGCTATCATCTACATGAGTATCATTACATTCAGCTAATTCCACACACACACACACTCCATTGGCATAATACTTGCAATACACACAGGATCAAAGTCACTTTCTGACAGTTCGGCGTGCCCTGTGGCCATTTGATGCGGCGGTGGCGTTCTAGGTATGGCATGCTCCCGCTTCCTACCGTCCATAGTCCCTCAGCTAGGCTCGGCGGTGCTCCTTGCTTTGGTAGGCGGGATGCTCTTGGCCTCTGCTGCGTGCGGTCAGACAGAATCCTGTTGTCACAGTGATTGTGAGTTGTACGGTTCGTCCACGTCCTCCCCGCATCCTGGGACATGGTTACTACAGGGAGGTGATGTAGTGCATGTCGCCTAAACACATGCCTGCGCACGGCAACGTCCCTCAGATAGGATTGGCACAACACATTGACCATGGTAATTTACCGATGATTTCTCTAGAAGGATTCATATTTTCACCACGTCCAGCATGTGCGTGCAAACTTTTCGCAAATGGAGCCCACTAGGGGACAGGGTCGCAATCTATGCCTCGTGAGGATAAGGCTGGATTCCTTGCGCCTTCGGTCTTGACTATGACCATGGCTTCAGGCCGTCCGTCCGGAGACGAGGGCTTGCCTACCGTGTAGGCGCCTTGTAATGCTGCCCCAAGAATCATCATATGATGCATCTCCATAGCATGTAATTCTATTATTGCAGATAAAAGGACGGCACCCTGCAGTGCACGCGTGAAAGGCCTACGCGTTCTATATATTACAACGAGATTACTCTTCTGCTCGATAACACCGTTCTTCATTGGTCCGCGCGGATGTGCAAGCTCCCGTCTTCGATCAAGTCTTGCCAGATCTCTTCCGTCCAGCCCACACAGGACCTCAGCTTTACTAAGGCTTCCTGGAGCGCCTTCACAAGTACGTTATCCTCGAACCCTTTCACCGCCAGCGGCGGCTCGTTGGCTTTCGCCGAGTCCTCTATCGGTCCCATTTCCGCTGAGAGCCTCGGCCGCTTGCCCGAATGTTCCCGCCCCGTCTGTAGCCTCTCCGGCAAGCGCGCCCCGCCCGCGCGTGAAGGCACATCCAGCGGGCGTGCCACACGCTCGGCCACGGCCTGCATGAGTCGCCCCTGCAGTAGCCGGAACACCGGGTCGTGCGGCTGTAGCGTACGATCGACCGCGGCGCGCAGTCGCGCCTCCTCTTCCACATCTATGTCTGCACCGCCGAACTGACGGCGCACGCGTACGACCTCGTCTGCAAGGTTCACGAGCTTGGTATCACCAGCGCCAGGCTCCATATCGACCTCCGCCTTCAGGAGCGTCCAGATACGTGACATAAACGTGCGCCCGTCGCCGCTGTCGTCGCCGCCTGCCGCTGAATCGAGGCTTGCTGCGTGGACGGACGGCAGACGCACGAGGGAACGGAGGGATGCGGCGATGACGAGTGCTTGAAGGTAGTTCTGCAGGTATAGAAGGGTGGGGCAGACGAAGAAGAATGATGGCGGGAGCATGTTGGAGACCGGTGCTTTCTCAGTTGGCTCGGCAGAAGCGGGGATGGGCGTGGTGGGAAGAGGACACGATACTGGTGTAAACAGGCCCAGTGCATGTACCAGCCGATATACCCACATGCGGCGAGCAGGGTGTTCACCTATGGTCTGTGAGCTCGCATTCTCTACAAGCCATTTCGCCCATGATTCTTGTATTTGCTCCGGGCGCCATAGCTCAAGTACAAGCTCTCGTTCCCGCTGCTGCGCCTGCACAATAATCACGGCTCGCAATTGCTTCTCATCCATTGTGCCGAGTACGAACTGGGATAGGTCGTCCTTCATCGCTTCGGACAGCTGGAGGGTGGATCGAATCGTGTCTACGACCAGCCTCGCCGTGTCCTCTCCTGGAGCGATGGACGATAGGTCGCCTATATGGCGGATTAACGTTTCTATTTGTGCATCTCGTGCGGGAGCGCATCGCTCTCGTAGACATGTGAGTGTCTCTCGGAGGTGAGTGATAGCGGAGCGAAGAGGCGAGGAGGTGGGCGATAGGGGAGAGGACAGGACGATGAGTAATGGGTGATTTACAGGAAGAAGAGGCTGTAGTGCTGTGTGCAGATCCTCGTATAGTCGCTTGAGACGAGGCAGCTGGACGGCTGGTGTAGGGTCCGACAGTTTCTCGAGTGCCTGGATAGGCAGTGTTAGTGTAAATGCATTTCTGATGCATGCAGTGGTTATGCACCTCATCCCAAAATGCCTTGTGAAACAGGTCTTCGACTCGATCTCTGAGGCTGGGGAGTTCCCCAGGTTGTCGATCCTGAGCGTGAGGTCGGAGCATGACCGAGAGGAGTGATTTTCCGGGAGGAAGGACACTTTCTGGGTCAGTAGCTAGGTGATGGAGAGAAAATGTGTGATTGAGGACTTCGACCAGTTCGACCGGCAAGATGGTTGGGTCCACGGATGAGGCGGGAAGCAATGGTGTCGATACCGGGGGCGGCATCACAATCGAAACATCCGATTTTCTTACCAAGCTGTCGTGTGCTGTTCCATCGGGGGAACGGATGGGGGACCTTGTGGTCCTCGCTACACTCGACGAACGCGATTGATCTCTCGTTTGGTTCATGAGGATCTTCCGAATGTCCTGTAGTGGTTGTTCGCCCTCGACGTCTTCCTCCCAAAGTCCCTCGGCCACGAGTGAGTTAAAATCACGCTCCACGACATCCCAGGTGATCGTGCGCGAGTCCCTTGTCTTGACCTGAGATAGGTGTGAGACTGCTGCTTGTAGTGACTTACTCTCCGGGTGGTCGCCCAGTTTCTGCTGTAGTATTGAAAGAACACGATCCATTTGAGGAAATGCGTATGGTGTGTCGTAGATTCGGCAGAATAGCTTGTATAGTTCGTGGTCTGAAGTTTCGTTATATGCAACAGCAGCGATACAACCCAAAATTGGAAGTAAGACGTCAGTATGACGGGCGTTTCCCATGAGCATCGCTTACTCATATAAGATTATATAAGCATTGATCTGTTACCGAAACGCTGGTCGCTTCACACGATATACTTAGTCCAAGTTCTCGGTCATGCTATTTTTCTATTTTGCTACCCGGTGTCCGACTCATGATCGGAATCACATGTACAAGCAGCGTCCTCACTCATCTGTCGCCGTCGAAGGTGCGCTCGACGAGCCCTTGAGGCCTCCTCCTCGCACGTTGTGGGCCTGACGATTTACGCCATGCACTTAACAGTCGCATTGCGCGACGGAGAATTGCAGGCCAGCTTTCATTGTCGCATGCTCATGTATACAGGAATTAGTAGCTACACCTACCATGGTGCACCCATTACAGGTTGTCGACCACACGACTTCTCATCTCAATCTGACGCGCGAGGCAGCATTCATATTAAAGTCTCACCCTAGGTCTGCGTGTACCTCACTGTAGGATGCATATGAACGAAACCTGGCAAAGGATGCCTCCCCAGGTCCTCATCTGCCATTCTGCACGGCGAGTATTCCACTCTTCGCCTGGGCAATACACATTCTGTCTATAAGGGCATCTGTTTTGCATGGAGCATCATCGGCTTACATTGCCGACTCCCGAGCTCCTCGTTACCAAGTGGATATCAAGGAGTCGGTACCGTCGCTCCTGTCAACAATCAAAATCTGCAGCGTTTGCTGTAAGTACTGGATAAAGACCAACAGACTCGCATCCAGACCTGTATAGCATATGTACACCGGCCATTCGATGCGTCGGTTGAAGCAGATCACCGTGATACGCCGGTTGTTACACTGACTACTTTGCTCCATGTAGAGCTGCGGGTACCTAAACCGCACACGACACACTTAAAAGGGAGAATCTTCCCACTCGCATAGCCTCGATGACTTTACGGGATCATTTGGAGCGCTGGCCTAAAGTAACGCCAACTGACATGTTCCTTCTTGTCGAGGATAGTTCGCGAACGGATCGACCATCTCATAAGATTTTCTGAAGGCTTTGCACCCGCGGCCGGTGGCATTATGCAGGAGGTGTGAGTAGTATAACTTCGGGAGCATAATTACATCAGGTGCGCGCTAAATACTAACCGACCCGACTGAGACAATGTCGCATTCCGATCTCCCGTCCTTGCACTGCGACCCGCACGGGAATCAATGTCGCGCTAAATGTGCATCGTGAAACATGAGCTCAACCCGATGAGCAACCGACCTCCTTGGCGGCCTCTGCAGATATAAAGCACTCGAGCCGTTGTGGTCTCTCAGCACTCGGTATCCTTTCATTTTCAACTTGCCATCTTACTTCACCACTCGAGGCCGCTATGCGTACTTTCCAGCTCTTCGTTGCTTTCCTCACGCTCTTTGCGACCACCGCCCTCGCGGACTTCTATGCACGTGGCGATGACGAAGGGCTCTCCGCCAGAGATGCTTGGGACGACGACGCATTGTTTGCGCGTCATTTCGACGACGAGCTGTATGCTCGCGACTTTGAGGAGCACAAAAACCATCCTCTCGTTCGGGAATTGGTCAACATCGTGAGTAGCCCTGCGGGACGATTTGGAACATCGCGTTTATTCCCTTCTCTCAGCTGGCTGCCCGTGCTGGATCTTGCAAAAACGGGGGTGTGAAGATAACGTCGGCTGTGGGAAGGTAAGTCTTAATGTGCATCCTTGCTTAGCAGCCATCTAACATTGACGAAATACCGCAGCTGTGATCCCGACAATTCCAAGGGCATGAGGTCCGGGCACAACTGCAAGAACGCCGGCGGCAAGTACTACTACTGCGTCGGCAGCTCCGGTGGTCAATGCATGAAGGTCAAGAGCGCCACTGGCCTGGAGAACGGAGAGTGTTTCCTGTAAACTTGGCAAGGGTACATTGTGTCATCTCCAGCGTTCGACGCTTCGTCGGCCTTTGATGGCGTTTTACGAGCCTACGACATTCATTCTCACACTTTGCTTAAGATTTATTTATTGCGGCTTCGGCCTATTAATTCTTATCGATCGGAGAGCATGCATGTCGGTCGTTCCGGTAGGATGAGGAGTATACGAGTCCAGCCTCGTCTAGGTCTGTGAGATTGGCGTCTCGCGGATGCTGTAGCAAGAACTCCATATTGACAGGAGGTCTCATATGACTAGTTGGTATTTTCTGTGATAAGCACTCACAACGGCGCTTTTCAGTATGTCACGGGTACCCGGGTTCTTGAACGGAGTCTAGCATCAATGTTTAGTACGGAGCTATAGTAAAGGTTCGTTGAAAAAGCTGGATTACTTACATGTCTCAGCCCTCTGTGCCACAACAAACAGAGTGCGCCATATCGACAGTTGGGGGGAGACTATGCCAATTGTTTGTAGTGGCATGACATGTCTGTATCCTTTCAACCGCTTTCCGAGTCCCACCATTGATCAAACAACAAACAGACATCGCGAGTCCTCACTAATTGGCCTAATACTTGCTCACCTGCAACGCTCACTCTCGTCATATGTAAGATCAAGACCACCACACGGCCACTGTACGTACAAAACGGACACTTACTCGGAAGTGTGCTGTACTCCTCAGCGAGGCGGGGGAAGCTAGGATACACAAAGACAAGGAGAAAGCTACGGGGAAGTGGTGACTGAGGTCACTGCTACCATCTCTCAGTCTGTAGTTGCACTGTAGAAATATTTTCACCTCCGAGCGTGAAGAAACACCATTCGCCAGTTGCGCCACCCTTGCCAGCAATCGCCATGGGCGTCTGCCAGATCCCGCGCCACGCCGGCGCTTGGCGAACGCCTGAGCGAGTTTTGCCCACGACATATCTGTACCCTCTTTTTTTAATTCCACGGGTTATACTCCATACAGCGTAGGTCGTACGGAACCGCCATAGGGAGGGCGGAACACTCAGTGTCTTTGTTCTACAGTTTTCGGGAGGACTTAGTGCCCACAGGCGGGCAAAGCAATCGTAACGGGCTTGCGCGCCGCGTATCGTATCGGTCACCCGCAAGCGCGGCAGGTGAGGGAGGTAGGGTAGGGCCGACTACGCGCCCCCCTCAGTGTACCAGACGTGATCGGGCAAGGAGAGGAGAGAGCGACGCGTCCTCGGCGTCGAGCTCTTCCCAGAAGATGAGCAAGTTGTCAGCTCGCGTCTCCACATCGCACCACTCACCGGTTCCCCGATCCTCGCTTACCTCCTCGCTTGCCTCCTCGCTCCCGACAAGCTCGACGTCCGGTATCCTTTTGTAAGTACGCGCTTGACGTGCGCTTTATACCATAGTTATGTTCATGGTAGTCGCTTCTCTTAATCGTTGCGAAGCGCTTCTCTCGTCAGATGTAGGAGCGCTCACGCTTGTGCTCGCTCGCTCCGCTAGCGCACACACTTGGGCAATGAATGCCGACGTGCGACTGCTGCGGTCTGGTACTTTCAATGTTTGATTATATTTGGATATTGTCCTCCCAGAATATGTGATATCACTGTGCTGAACAAGGTGTCTTCGTCATACACAGATACGCCCAAACAGAAGATAACGGACTAAGTGCGTAATGAATGTCCCGCAGTTGTTTGCATTCTCATAGCATCTTCATGAAATGAGGGCGTTTGAAATTGTCTCTTAAATCTCGCTTCAAAAAAGCGAGAAACAAGCTACCAGGAAAAGGCAAAGCGAGCAGGATCTTATCTCCCCTCCTCAAACAGCGACAAATAAGCGGCTGCTCGTCGCAAGCACTCGCAGATTCTCTCGGCATGTTAAGCTTTACACAATTCATCAACATAAGTGGATTAGATCACGGTTGCATCACCATAAACGACCGTTTGTGCGACCTGGAAAGCCGTTTGTTTTCCAGCGACATTTTAAGAGGCAATTGTGAGCGCCCCTGATATTCATTCCATTCCTGCTAGTAGGCGATGTCGACCGGGCTGGCTGCGAGCCCTTAACTATTCGGCAGCTCTAAACGCTGACCGAACAGACGCAGGTACCATACTGGGTTTCAATCTTGTCTGGCAGGTCCTTCACGGACGTTCGGAGAGATCATATGGTCGAGGCAGCGTCAATATCTATTACTTGAACAGTCTACGGCTTCAAGGAAACTTTATAGGATTGGCGCTCTCATTGTTCTACATATAAGAAGGCCAGGTAATGGCCTCTTTCTTCACCTAGCATCCTTTGCATTCATCCTATCCTTGAGACCCCTGCTATGCGCACCTTCCAGTCTCTGCTTTTCCTCACGCTCCTGTTCGCCACCGCGCTCGCGGACCCACATGGAAGCGTCGGCGGCGATGTCGAAGAGCGCGAGATTGTATGCAGCTTATTGTGATATGAAGTTTGCGATTCGTGCTGACCTAAATCGCTTCAGCTGGCTAGAGCCGGGTCTTGCCTAAACAATCACCAGTCGCTCACAGCGCCAGTAGGAAAGTGAGTTTGGAATTGACGTAAAAAATTTGACGTGTACCCACAGCACTCACAGATGTGATCCGGATCAATCCAAAGGCTTCCTGTCCGCGCACAATTGCAAAAATAAAGGTGGCAAGTACTACTACTGCGTGGGCAAGAGCGACAAACAGTGCTTGACAATCAAGAACGCCGTTGGCTTGGAGAACGGGGAATGCTTCTTGTAAGCAAGAAGTCGTCGGCATCCAATTCTATTTGTGATAGTAAAGATTGCTTGAGATAAAGAAAATATCTCCTATATTTTTACTTCATTGTGTGCGTAATAATCTATGAAACTTCCCTGGAATTTAAGATTCCGTCAAGGACAAGTCTCCAACAGTCCACTGGCGCGACGCGTTCTTGCATTATATGGTCATGTGATCGTGTCGTAATCCCAAGCCGGCGTTAGTCCTATTAGTCGTTCTCTTGCCGTCCGACTATGTTATCCTCTGTTGCGATAACTGAGGACGCAGATCACATCCGTTTACTACGAGGACTGGCTGGACTATCTTGGATTGCTACTGCTGTACTTGCTCATTCATCACCTCTGTCTTCCGCCTTCGACTCTTCATTTCGTGTCGTGCAGGGTCCCTCGAATGTCTCGGTCGCGCATACGCTAGGCCAGCCCGCACTCAGATGGGACACATTCCATTTTGCGCATATTGCACAGTACGGCTATGTCTACGAGCATGAGCGTGCATTCATGCCTGGCACGCCGATGGTCATGCGTGCAATGTTGGGGCTGTTGCGTGTGCTGGGAATTTCTAGTTCAGAAGACCTTACGGACTTTGGCGAGCTGCTGCTTGGTGCTATTTTAGTCGCGTTCACCTGCCACCTGCTAGCGGTGACATGTCTTTACCGGCTAACCATCCATCATCTACAATCTCCCACCATCGCCCTGCTTGTTTCCCTACTATCCCTGCTGCCAAGTAGCCCGGCTACGTTGCGCATCGTTCCATATACAGAGCCCTTCTTTACGTATCTGTCGTACCAAGGTGAGTAAACCAGTGCTCGTGAACCCGCAGCGGCTGAGGCCGTCTTGAGGCATGTTATTCTGCGCAAGGTCACAATGGATGCTCGCGGCGTGTTGCTTCGCGGCCGCAGGGACGTTCCGCTCGAATGGCATCTTGCTGTCCGGCTTCATCATCTGGGGTATACTTGTGGAGCCCTACCTCGCACGTCGGAAGGTGCGTTCGATATCCATATAAGCACCGGTCGGCGCCTCATGTAGCATGGTCTACCGAAGACTTCTCCGGGGCGCGTCGTGTACACCATCTATCTGGTGTCGCTTGTGTTTCTGCCGTTCGTGGCGCATCAGTACATCGCGTATCGAGACTTCTGCTTGACCTCGGTGGCACCCGCGCCTTGGTGCAATCGTATTCCGCCATCAATCTACAGTTATGTGCAGGCAAAATACTGGAATAGCGGGTTTATGCGGTACTGGACGCCTCAGCAGCTGCCGAACTTCCTCATCTCCGCGCCTGTCCTGGTGCTTCTCCTGGGGTACTCCGTGCACCACATCAGGCGCGCACTTATACCACGTCTACAAGCCCTCTTATCATCGCGAACGCACATAAGCAAAATCAGGACATTGCAGTCGACAATATCCTCGCATTCGCCGTTCCTGTCCCCATCAGTAGCGCCACACGCCATCCACGCATTTATCTTCACCCTCATGCTTTTGTTTACGGCACATACCCAGATCGTCCTGCGGCTTGCGGCGTCGATGCCGTTCACTTACTGGGCAGCTGCGTGGCTTCTGGTCGAGCACCCGTTGTGGGGAAAGCGGTGGGTAACCTGGAGTGTTGTATGGGGAGCTGTCTCGGTGGTCCTGTGGGCAACATTCATGCCTCCAGCATGATTAGGGGCGCATTATGGGACAAAGTCGCAACTCGATCAGTGTGTACCATAAGGCGTTTCGTGTTGACCGGTTCGCTGACGAGACAGCTTGCTCAATAATCAAGGCGCCACTGATAGTTGATGCTTTCAACTCCCACCACCGCTCACATCACGCTCCTATGCCAGTTTTCCCAGAAGCTTGGGCGGCAATCCCGGCCCTCTACGTACAACCTGCTTGAAGGAACGCTCTGCGGAAGCTATGTGCGATCAAAAGCAAGGATTAGGCACGAAGTGATTCGCTCTGTCTATGCGCTCGACGGCGACTTTTCGCCCATCTGACGATAATGTTGGTGCAATTTTTGTATGCCAATCCAATCTCCACGTGTCATGTCTGGCATGGCATCTCGCACTACACGATTATGGTATGCAGGGGTGGCCGTACCAGCGGTCTGCGAAGCATATACCGCATCTTGCCCGTATATCGGCGTGCCCACCCTAAGGAGATAAGCCTCTATCACAAGGAAGTCAGAGCCCTTAATAGATTGTATGGGAGAAGGCCTCCGCTGATGCGCAAAAGAACTCGACACGCGGAGCAGAGATAAGGAGTCGAAGATTAATAGTGGTAGGCAAATAAGAGAAGTTGATTGGGCTTGTTTCGAATAAATGAATGGGCCGCCAAAGCCTGGATACAGTGAATGTATTTCCTCAGAGCCAGCCGAATGAAGGCTACAGACGCAGGATTCCAGCGTTCGTGTCACACTCATCGCGGGGCCACATGGCACAAAACCCGGACATAACAGAGCATGCATACCCCACTCACATACAACGCAGCGATATGATCCCCTTCGCAGGTGTCAGAAGCCGGCCCCTGGAACGGCAAGTAAGCTTTCGATAGCACTGGTTGACTGGCGGTGTGACAAAATATATCACATTGTCATCCACGCGCCGACATGGCTGCGTTGCGGTTATTGGACATTGGACATTCACTTGACATCCCAGGTAGATGTAGGGATGATACACAGGAGTCGAGCTCCGGTAAATAAAGGCTTGATCCATCGTGATTTAACTAGAAACGAGCTAAAAATCGTGCCACAACGTCAATGTGTGATTTACATGATGAAATTTGGCCAATGGAGGGAGACGGATCCGTGTACGCAACAAACACCGGTTACCGTCTAGCGGATAGTACGCTAAGATCTAGCCCGAGGCCTTCCGAGAAAGGTGCACTGGCCTCGGCCGCGGCGATCAAGTTCTCCCCCTTCTTCTTGACCTTCTCGAGGGAGTCTTTCCCCAGCACGAACCGGAGCGGCGGGTCGGGTGTCAACGCCATCTTGTATATCGCCGCGGCGCCCTTAGTCGCGTCGCTGGGCATCCGTGGATTGACAGTCAGGTACGCGCGTGCGGTAGCGATCTTCCGCTCAATATCGATATAGGCAGGAGGCGGCACGGATCGCACCATGCTGCGGCCTGCGTTGGTCATGAAACCACCTAGCTCAATCAACGTGACCTGGTGCCGTAGTGTCCATCAACCGTGGCTCCCATATCAGTAGGCACGACTGAAGCGCACCTTGATATTCCATTCAGGTCGTATCTCGTCTGCGAGGGCTTCTGTCAGGCCCTCGATTGCTGACGGCCGATGAGTCCAACCTCGTTCGCGCGAACACATCCAAAAACGCACCAAATTTGCTGGCGCAGTAGTATCCAATCGCAGGGAGGCCCTGTACACCTCCGCTCGACGATACCTGCAGGAGCCTGCCGCCTGCAGGCACGTTTATTTCCCGGAAGAACCGCACGGCCTCCTGACTGACATTAGCAGCGCCCCAGAAGTTTACCTCGAACATCGCCCGCGCGACGTCATCCGGTGTGCCCTCGACCTCGCTCATCAGCCCGGATCCGGCATTGTTGAAGACGACATCGATCCGCCCAAACGCCTCCTTTGCCTTCGCGAAGGCCACGCGGATCTCGTCCGGCTTGCTGACGTCAAGCCTGAGGATGAGCAGCTTGTCGGGGCCGTATTGGGACGCGAGATCTGCGAGCGCTGCGGGGCTCCGCAGCGTAGCGATTGCGATATCGCCACTTTGCAGGGCGAGCTCGGTCATATGTCGTCCGAATCCGGATGAGGAACCTGTGACTACGTAATTGCAGGGTAAGCAATCGCGCTTGCGGTCGTAAAGTGTGGCACACACTGAACCAGATCTTAGGCAGCGACATTGTTGAAGTTCAAGTTAGCTTTGCGGAAAAGCCTCACACCTGGAGGAGCAACCGGTATATAAGAAAACCATGCATCGATCCATCAACTGTCGGTGCCTGCTGACCATGCATCTGTCTCTTAGTCTACACACTTGTTCCGCGAAATAAGGCACGTACAAGCCCAGCAACTCGGCGAACTAGCTATGGTTCGGCGTTCTCGCGGTCTAGACATAGGAGAAGGGGCCTGAATGTGGTTTGATGTGGCCTAGTCATTAGATATATGCCGAAGCCAGTTACACTTGTGCTCACTTGGCTGAACAACACATTTAGTACTAGACGACACCGCAACAAGCATGCATTCCTCCCCTTGATTCCACAGCACGTCCGTGGGGTAGCGGTAGAATAAAAGGCCTGCTTGGATGTAACAGAGTCCTTGGCTTCGACGAGCCGGCAAGAGCCGCGACACGCGGTTGTCATCTTCCATGTCGTAGCGGAACGCCGGCTTGTACCAGTCAGCTGCATAGAAATTGCAGAAGTTCGTCGGAAACACTCGACCAACAAACATGTGTGCGGAGATCATAATGGCCATCGCTTGTGCAGACCAGCGGTCCCGCTCTTGTCATGAAGAGCAGGCTTGATACACGCTATCGGCACGTGAGATGCGTACCGCTGTGTCTGTGTCGCACAGAACGAGCTGTCACGTCAGCGACTAATGGCCGCGAACGGTGGGAACAACTCAACTTCGAAAAGAGGGCATGTCCTGTCGGACCGAGGTTTACGTTAACTCATGCTGTATCCTGCAAGCCACACGCTTCCATGAGTCTTCCACTCGCGGGATGCATCCGGCAGATTCGCGGATTCGAGCAACCCGAACCCCCTAATCGTAGTGTAGAGATTGGAAGGAAGTCTCGGACCTTATTCCAGGCGGCCGAGCTCCCGCCGCACCAATGTGGACGGGATTGCCACCTCAGAGAGCAGGCAAGCCGAGCAATCCAAGTTATAATGTGAACCAGACCGCGCCCCGGGGCCAACAAAACGCTGGCGGCAAAGGCGAGGAGAGCCGCGGCCGCCACCGAGACCAAATCTGGATCGGGCACCCGATCTGACGATCTCATTTGCGGCGATTAGATAACCACGTGGTCGCGCGTACGCCGCCTCGAGCTCGGGCAGAGGTCTCGCAGGCTTGTCCCCCTCCCCCAACCACTCCCAGCGTTGCCTCGGCTCTCTCACACACCTCTACCCTCGTACATCTCGTATACCGCATCACTGCACGATTCTGACCATCATAGGTGTGTATAACGGACATGCGCCGGCACATTGATACTGACCCGGAGTGGGCTATGGCCGACAGCCACTGGAAGACCGGAGACAACACACAACACAGCAGCGCAACACGGCTGTCTACACCAGCAGACGCACCTCCCAAGCCTTTGGATACACTTGCGGGACCACGGAGAAAGAAGATTGAGCAATAAGCATCGGCCACATTTAGGTAGCGGACCCCCGCCCCATCCGCCAGCGAGAATCTGACAACCTGCGCAGGTATATCAGACGATATCTCTCTCACTGCGACTTCCTCGACACATATTGACGCGTAAACCGCGTGAATCTCACCTCACAACACCACCTGACTATCTTCCCGCGCACGCGTACCCACAACAATGGCCACAACGACCATCCGCCGCAAACCACTTCATACGTACAAATCTCCTTCCTTTGGCACTTCCGCAGCTATCGTGGCCCCAGGTAAGCCCAGCTTAACCCTCAAACAAACTCCCGACTCGGGCTCACCGCCACACTATTACAGTTGTGCGTGCGCCCCCAAAGGCTGCGCCGGTCACTGTACACACACAATCAGCCACGTTCACCAACGCAACGCACTCAAAGGTCGTATACGAGGAGGTGATGATGCGCAGGAAGCTTCCGAAAGGCCCGCCGCTGCCGCTCTACCACCCCTTTGGACCCCTTGCGCTCTCGCTCCCGAAGCTCGACCCCGCGGACTTCGGCTTGCCAAATCCGCTCACCGTGGACGTCTCCGTAGAAGAATCCCAACAGGCCGAAAACGGCAGACGCTCATCCTCGCGTGCGCGCCGGCCCGCTGCCAAAGTGCGCGACGCCGCAGAAGAAGAGGAGCAGCCTGCGATTCCCGTTGCAGTGAGTGCGCCTGTGACCGCCGCGCGGCCGACCAGCCCGCGCAAGAGACGTGCTGCAGGCGGTTCGGGCGGCGCAAAGCGCAAGAGAAAGCAGGACACGGAGGACGCGGACGGCGTGTTCCCGCCGCCTGCCAAGCGCACGCGCCTCCCTCGCGGGGCAGCGAACGCACCTGCGGTGGGGTCGCCGCTCGCGGCCGAAGCCGTCGCCGCGCCGGTCGAAGAGGACGAGGTTATGGCACCCCCAGCTGAAGAAGCCAAGGTGGAGGACCAGCCCGAAGAGAGAGCTGAGGACGACAAACCCGAGGAGAAGGCAGAGGAAACGACTCCGCCTGCTCCGGAGCCGAAGCGCCCCGCACGAGTGCGGAAACCCCGTGCGTCGACCGGCAAGAGACGCAACTCGAGCGCAAGCGCGTCCACGAACACTTCCGCGTCTGTCTCTATTGCAAACACCCGCCAGACACGCAGTAGGAAGCGCGCGGCTTCAGGCGGCAGCAACGAGGAGAAGAAGGACGGTGAGGGCCCGAGTCAAAGCGCTTCACCTCCCGCTGGAAAGGCATCGACTCCGCCCACTGAGCCCGCCGAGGCTGTCGACGCCAAGGAGCCCGAGTCAGAGAAGACTCTTGTGGCAGAGGACGAGAAGATGGACGTCGCCCCTCTGGAGCCCGAGCGTGAGCCTGCCCTCACGCCCATACCCGCGTCTGAGCCTATTTCAACTCCGACACCTCCCCCCGCTGAGCCCGAGAAAGAGGAGAAGGAAGAAGGAGAGCTTAGCGACGAGTTGCTCGAGCGGCGCACGCCACCTGCCCCACGAAAGAGATAGATCCCTCCTTCTCACAGTTAAGGTCAGTACTTTCATATCAAGTCTTGTATATATACGTCTCGCCCGTCATCGTCCCCGTCCGTCCCATCTCGTTCCGTTTGATCGCTTATTCTGGCTGCATCCTACTCCCGTTATCCCCTGTACAACTACAACTCCACAGTCCTCATCGCGCTATCTCGCCGCTTTCCCAGTCCATTGCTGTCCTGCACGCTTCAGAGCCGCATGTACGAATAACCCAGACCCGCTCTTCGTCCTCCTGTACGTGTTACCTCGCGATCAATTCACATCCTTTCTGTCGGATGAGCCTGAGTGTTGGGCTCTGGCGCGTCGAACGCGTGCACGTGCTCCAGACGCCTCGCGTCGCGCTTATGACGTCACGCGTCTTCCATAGGCGCTCATTCATACTGCAAGCCCAGCATCAAGTTGTGAGCCATCGGCCCTCAGACAAAGTCATCGTATTACTTTCCAATCATGTATTTCATGGCCCATTGTAATCAAGTGATACTCGTTTTGCCATCCCTTCAATCCAACTTGTCCAATACTCCTCCCCGTACCATTTTGTTTACGAGCCCTCGGCGCGTCTTAACGTATCGCTCTTCTTCAGCACCACCTCTGAGCCATGTGAGCACAGTCAGGGGGAGCGCCGGAACATCGCCGGTAGCGCCTTCGATCTCGTGGCCAGTCGCCGTCTGGTTGAAGTGGATGGCCTCTGAGCTCGGAGCAACTCTCACCAACAGTTCGGATAAGCCGGCTGCGTCTTCACCGAGGTCACCTAAGGCGTCGGCCGCGTCGGCTGTCTCGGACTCTGAATGGCCATGAGAGAGGGAATGGAGTAGATCTGGGGCGAATTGCAGCAGGCCGCCAACAGCCTTCTCCGCGTCGTGACCCAGCGACGTCAGATTAATGTGGAAGTCCTCCAATCCATGGTTAACGCGGGCAAATATGCTAGCGCCGGGCCTAGGTCATGGATAACGGTTTCAGTTAAATCGGAATAGAGGTCATAAATGCAAGGCGTACGCGGAGATCGGTATGGCCACAACAGGTGCCGCAGCGGAAGCTGCGACGATGAAGGGTAGGACAATAGTGGAAAGCATGACGATGGGACTGAATGCAATTGTGGAGTGAATGAAAATTGAAGGTGATGGCGAGAGCGAATGAGGGCGAAATGCAGTCACAAGTGACTGCCAAAAAGTAAAGGAAGATGGCTGCAAGTGATACCATGAGCAGACAGTACAGAGAATAGGAAGCCTGTTCAAACTCACTACCCAGTACCTTGATCTGAAAAAGAGGAAGAGGGTTTGAGAACTGAAGAATTGGGCTGCGCAACACCGATTCTTATATCGCTGAGCGCGCTTACTAGCTCTCTGTACTTCTTACGGATGCCGTCCATGAGCGCAAAATAGACATGGCAGACTGCGATGAACGGGTGCACCAGCAGGCCATCTGTCGTGGCGCTCCTTTGCGTTCATCAGAATCAACGTCAATATGCTATTCATACCTCAAGGCTGCCTCTTGAAGCTTGAAGCTCGGGGTATCCGGCAATGACTCGACACGCATCTCTTGTCATGGACGCAAGATATCAGACTCTGAACTTGCGAAGAACATTGGCAAGATGATGGTCGTCCAGCTCACCGCCAAGATCACCGCATGGAGGACGCTAGATACACTATCGTTTATGCGGATCTAATATCACAGAGTATCTCTGTCAAGGAGAGCGAACGTGGGAGCGTAGCGGCCACTCACTAGATCCCGACACACTCAAGAGAGTGACATGTGGTCCTCTTTGAGAACGAACTGATATATTGGCACGCAGACTAATAGATGATCATGATGTGCATCCTTTGTAGACGATCACACAGAGATGGAATCCATGAGGGGGCTGTGTGTTTTTATTATCGTAGTTCTTGGACCACAGCTTCTGTCGGAGTCTGACCATCGATATCTTCCATGGTGAGCCTGTAAATAATCATCTGTCACGGTACCAGACTGTTCTTGTCAGTACGCAGACATTGGCATGAGTGATTTGATGATTTAACTAAAATGATCCGATCACTCATGCCAACGTCTGCGTATTGGGGGCTGAAGGGCTCGATGAAATGAATAGTCCTGGAAAGATAGTGGGCCGCCATGAACTCGCTTCAACGACCGTGGTAAAGCAGGAAGTTCACAACTTGAATTCTGGACGTCTCTATCAGAAGCAGGAGTCACGGGACCGTGTTCACCGCAGATTTCATCGACTCGATTGCAAGCGTCGGTTGAGCCATACAGTATGAAATTCTGGTCTCATACCCAGACCCACCGTATCCGCGACCCACCACCGCGAAAAGGGGTTCTGAGTATGAGACCATGGAAATCCGGAATCCATGGGAGTTTAATGTAAGTATCTACTCTTCTCTCAGAAGACTACCTATTTCCAGGCTTCTGGCGGTGTGTGAGTTTACTCGAAGCACCAAATTATCACACTGTACTCATCGGAAGGTGAGCGTGCTGTAGGAGAATGCCAACTCTATGCATACATCACATGTTCGAGTCCGCGTGACATAGGGCGGTTGTCATCCTAGGGCGGGTATAAAGGCTCGTATCTGGAATAACGCCCCCGTCCTTCCGCATCAAGCATCTATATACATATCACGGGATTTGGATATGTATGCGTCCTTATCCTGGACCATACCCGTGACAAGTTGAAGCCGCTGAAGAGCACTTTGCAGTGCAGCTATCACCGACATCAGCCTCATACACACTCGTTGACGAAGATGCCCGTAGCTCCAGTCGACAATAGAGGTACACATCTGTACTACGAAGACTCCGGCTCTCCACAATCATCGCAAACGTATACCACGATCGTTGCTATTCATGGAACCATTTATCATGGAGGTAAGTGTGTGCACATTAATTGTTCACACATATTTTCATCCATTGTCAAGGAATGTTCCGGCCCATTTTCCCCTTTGCTGCTGAGAATAACCTGCGCTTCGTCACTGTTAACCTGAGAGACTATCCAGGCTCTACACCAAGCTCTCCTGCAGAGTTAAGTGCTCTGCTAGGTGACCCTGAGGGTCAGGCGGGGTGGCTTCGTGATAGAGGAATTGAGATCGCGGCATTCTTGGAGTGGTTCATCCGCAGTGAACACATACCACAGACGACCACGGTTGTCAATGGAGGCTCTGAGAGCTTCGTTGGGGGTTTGTCATTGCTCGGTTGGTCGTCTGGAAACTGTGTGACAATGTCCGTCCTGGCGCACGTGGATGCAATCTCTGCGGAACATCGGCGTCTTCTCGGCCAGTATCTACGTTCTACGATCATTTTAGGTGCGAGCGAAGCATATGGATGGTCCAACAAGCCTCAATTGATGTCGATTGTCAGATCCAAGTCCTCATCCGTTCGGACTTGACTTCAGTGAGATTGCAGACTTTGTGCCTGGGAGACCGCCCATTATCGTCAGGCCCACTCAAGAATGGGTTGAATGGTTTTTACTGTGGATATCATCTTACTATCACCACACTCCCGCCACACTGTCCTCGTTCGAGGCGTTGTCCGGACCCGACTTTATGTCTGGTTGTGCGCAAGCCCCCATCACGGATCCTCGGCCGGAGGAGCGACCCACTCTGCTTTGCATGTCCGAAGAGGAGAGGCGGGATGCCCTTGACTATATTCATGCGCCCCGCTCGTGCGTTCCCATGGCTCTCATCGACAAATCTGTCTTCCTAGAGAACATGCGCCGAGCATTATGGGACTGCAGCGTCTGGCCTCACCTGAGAGTGACACTTGTCTGGTGCGAAATGTCTCCCGGCGAAATGCTCGTTGGATCTTGGCATCTCGCGAAGCAGATTCGCGAGGCGTGGCCGAATGGTGCTCGGAAAGTGTCTGTGAAACGGATGGAAAATGCGAATCATTTCGTGAGTGCGATATCCCTTCGAGCATTCGAGCTCGGCTCACTACCTCACTGGCGTAGCCGCACTGGGACCAGCCCGCTCGCGTTGTTCAGTTTCTTTCTGCAATTATCGAAGGATCGCAAAGCAGACTGCTATTCTAATTAGAGAATGTCCCCAATGTTCTAGGATCACGGTTTCAGGACCCTGTCAGGTGTAGCCAACCTTCAAGCGCTCATACTATTACCCAATTTATGTCAGACGGGATTATCGTGTTCGGTGCGCCTCCGTCTGTATACAAGAAGCATGACTCGTATGGGACGCTGACAGTGACAGAACGGTAATTATAGCGCCATCGACCCATGATCATTGCCCTCTCTAGCACCGTGGGCGCTACAGCATGTCATCGCGACTCACGCACAATCTCATAGTAGAGTCCATATGTAGCTGATAGGCGCATATATGCTCAAAGCCGCGTATCTCGAAGTTGATCTCACGGTTTCCATACAACAAACTCTCGAACGGCGTACTACAGAATGCCCGGCCCGTCCTGATCCGTGTATACAGATCGCATAAGAGCCACCGTCTGGGTAGATGTTATCAAGTGCAGTTCGCAGATGCCCTTAGCACCTGTTGATAACAACGGAACACAGCTGTTCTACAAGGATAGCGGGGCGCCCCCTCACACATCCGCATATGTGACATTAGTCTTGATCCATGGAGCGGTTTTCCATGGAGGTGAGTGAGGCTACTCGCATCCGATCTGTGACAGACTTTGACACTTTCTGGCAGCCATCTATCGTCGCATACTCAAACATGCCACCAATCACGATTTGCGTCTAGTGGCAGTTAATCTCCGCGACTATCCAGGGTCCTCGCGCTTCACTGCCAGCGAGCTCGATCCCCTAGGGAAATCAGACAAGGAGAGTCAGGCACTTCTATACAAGGCTCGGGGGCACGAGCTTGCTTCATTCCTCATATGGTTCATACGGAATGAGAAGATACCACCACTGACAACCGAGGAAGGCAAGGCTACCGGAGGGCTGTCCCTACTGAGCTGGTCTTGGGGGACGACTATGACAATATCTATGCTTGCACATGCTGAATCCCTGCCGCTGGAATTCCAGGAACTTCTCGATAAATATTGGAGATCGCACATCGCGTTCGGTGCGTCAGCTGTGGTGCTGATCCGTGTGCATTCTGCTCATTTGTCTTGGCAGACACACCTGCGTACGCCTTGGGCGCGCCTACCCCTGCGGTCGAAGAGATGTACTCCCCACTCTCAGATCGCTCAATACCGCTGGAAGACGTAGGCCAGGTCACATCGCTCTGGGTGTCGAGCTACTTTGCTCATTCACAATCTGTGATCAATTCCCTGCCATCCCTTCCGCGCGACGAATTCTTCTCCGGCTTAGCAAAAGTCGCGATGCCTGACCCGCCCGCTTCCCATGCACCTACATTGCAGCGGATGACCGCCGCAGAGCTCGCAGAGGTGTCCGACCCTTCTGTGATCGACCGGTCTCACCTGTTAATGGTATCAGTTGATCCGTCGATCTTGTCGGACAACCTGCGGCGTGTGCTCTGCAAATCGTCGATATGGCCACGCCTGCGTGCCATCTTCGTGTGGTGTGAGATGTCTCCCCCGGAGATGGTCTACGGGGCATGGTACATGTGCAAATTGATTAGGGAAACGCAGTCGTCGGATGGGCGGGAAGTTGTTATCGAGCGTATGGGAAGCGCGAATCATTTCGTAAGATCTTACCAGGGCCATTGCTTCGATGAAACTGATTTTTTGCGCGTGTAGGTGATATGGGAGGAACCTGAGATTGCTCTAGAATTTCTAGCGAAACTGGTGTGATGCGCACACTCAGAGGGTGCGTATTGGTCGGTAAATCTTTGTTTCGGATCTGTGCTTGTAATTGAATATGTGTGGTCGTTCGCTGACACTTCTGGCGGCACTTCGAGTACCAGACGTAACGGAGAAATTAGATCATCGCGCTTCGAATCACTGCGACGGTATCTATCTTCGCCTCCTGCTGTCACCGCAGGCGCTAGAGCTCAAAGCTACGCAATACTGTAGCACATTGCACAAACCATTGCTCATGCTACTGCCATTCCCGAAAAGACCGGACGTCCAAATAACGCTATAGCAGCTAAAATGCCCTCCTTCGTCAAAATGCGCCTTTTCTTATCAATGTGGATGACGAAGCCCCTGTTGTGCAAATACTTCATTATCATTCGTCTGTCCACGCAGCCTGCAATTGCAGCACGCCATGCTTCTCGTCGTAGCAAGCTCACTACATATTTTTGGCTTCATTGGCCGATTATTGCGCCAATGTGGTCATGATGAACCAACGTACTCTTGTCAAAGTTATCCTAAAAGCCAATCAATCTGCGGACTGCAAATGTCATAGCGCCCGTAATGACAGTAGCCTGATCGCTGTGTTACGGACCAGGAACACGGCCCACAATGACTCGTCGTGATTTTCCGGTTTGCGCGGGATCGCCGTGATTCCCCGGTTTGCGCGGGATCGGCATATGACTTATACATTGCAGCAGTGTGTTGTAAGGCGCAGAAAGCACGACTGTGCCTTTCATACACCGATTCCCGTAGGTATATCCGTCCCTCTGCGATGACGCTGCATCACTTCATATACGCCCAGCTCATCCATCATTCGTTTGTAAGGATTTGTGATGAAAAATTACTTGGTGCTCAATTGTCTGCAGTGAGCCCGCAGACAGGAGACAGTTTGACAATGTTACGTGTTGGCACACATACGACATCTTCCCAATGCGGTCATATCCTGATGCATGATTTTTGACTGCAACTTTGAGCACGCTACGCACAAAAGATGGGATGAGCCTATCTTAGTAAGTGTGCATAGCTGCGCAATGCATGCACGTTCACGTATAAATGGCCGACCCCGCACGCGCTGTCCAAGCACATCACATAGTGCGCACTCTTAGAAAGAATGTCCTCACCCCAAGTTTGGTTCAGTGAGTACATCCTCCCCTGTGGATCGAACCCGCTCACACCGTGGCACAGTCACCGGCTCCTCCTCAGGCTTCGGCCGCGCCGTGGCAGAGCACGTCCTGCGCAAGGGCGACATCGCCGTCGCAACCCTGCGCACGCCCTCCGCGCTCGCCGACCTCGCCGCGCGCTACCCGCCCTCCCGGCTCCTCGTCCTCCCGCTCGACGTGACCGACGCCGCGCAGATCCAGGCCGCCTTCGCGCGCGCCCTCGAGGCCTTTGGCCGCATCGACGTCGTGTGGAACAACGCCGGCTACACCATGCTGGGCGAGACCGAGGGCACGCCGGACGAGGTCGCGCGCAAGATGTTCGAGGTGAACTTCTGGGGCGCGGCGAACGTCAGCCGCGAGGCCGTCCGCGTGTTCCGCGACGTGAACAGCCCGCGCGGCGGACGCCTGCTCCAGAACTCGTCGGTGGCAGGCCTCCAGGGCTACCTGTTGATCGCGTACTACAGTGCGACGAAGTTTGGTATGTGGTCCTTGCCACGAGTGGAGGCTCTCTGCCATGCTTACATGCATATGTGGTCAGCTCTCGAAGGCCTGACTGAATCCCTCGTCGCGGAGATCCCGCCTGAATGGAACATTAAGGCGCGTGGTCCCCACAGGTGCTTTCTTGCACGAGAGTTGACTTGTATCCCCAGATCACGCTCGTCGAGCCAGGCTCATTCAACACCAGCGCCCTCGACAACGGCGTGAAGCTCCCTCAACATCCGGCGTATGCCACTCCAGACTCTGCGTCGACTGCTTTCCGCAAAGCGGTCGAGACTTTTGAGATGCCCGGCGATCCAGAGAAGGGAGCTGAGCGCATCTACGAGCTGGCGGCGCTGCCGAATCCCCCCTTGCACCTGGTACTCGGGGCTGACGCCGTCCTCACCGCGAGGAAGAAGGCTGCTGACTTGGCTAGGGAGGTGGAGGAGTATGCGTCGTGGTCTGATGGGACGGCGACTGTGCACTAAGTTTGTAGGCCCTTTTTGTCGATTAGCTTCACCTGGAGCCTCGATTAGCGAACTCACCATGTTGTACATATCTAGACTGTCAAACTGTTGGATTTCTGGCAGGGATAGGAACTGAAGACAATAGAATCAGCGGTGCTTGACCCGACTTGTAGCCAGCAAACGCGTGAATAACCAAGTACAGAACGAGCGATGTAATTATCATACGCGGTCATGTGACCTACTACCGTAAGTATCGTGTGGCGTGACTGAATAATGTCATCCGCGATCGCAAATGTGTCAAATCAGATAAGGTTTCTGTCCGGCTTGTCCCGCCGCCTTGCCCCGGCCACTCCGCCTTCTGGTCCAGCTGCCTCCGGATTGCCGTCTCGGCCAGGCACACCTTTTGCCCTCCGTCAAGGGCAAATCCGCCCATCCCATAGTGCTATTCAGTCCACACTTTTACAAACATGTTCGCCCCTGGCTGGATTACCTTGAAACCTGAACCATTCGCCTCCCTATGCCTTTCTCTTGCCATATAAAATATCAGTCTACACAAATCTCATTGAGCATGGACTTGAGTTTCGACTTTTTCTCAGGTCCAAGCACATGCCACTGGCCAACCCGGCCATCGGGGTACCGTTCCCTGCCTAAATAGGCAGGATATGCTACATATGGATGCACACCCGAGACTGCCTGTGAATGATGAATACTAGTGACATGCTTGTGATATATAAATTGACTGCAGTGTGACTATAAAGAGTTCATTTCAATACAATACATGTGTGCTGAAAGAAGCGATCAGGAACTAGCTCGCAAGCTCGGGTGTGGTGTATATTGACCGCTTGCGATGTACATACCCCGCGCGATTGTGCCTTACGGGCATCGCTATGCCTGTAGACAGACACACTCGCCAAACAAATTCCCAATGGTGTGTTCTCTTCCAGAGTACAATCTCACCAACGAGTCGTGGTACACCGTACTGCAGGATCAGCCGGGGTGGGAGCTACGTACCAAAAAAGGCAGGCATTCCGCAGACAAACGAGAGTTGAGCAGCCCTGTTGCCTATTATGGCCTATATAACATACATCACAATATGAAGTTGCACGGCTAACATAAAACTGCAGTCAATTTTTTCAGGATGTACTCAGGCCCATAATGGCACCTGAGGATGTTCGAGAGGATCTGTGAAGCGCGAGAGCTATTTCTAAATGTCGGGACATCCATGCGATCCGGCGTGACATGTGCGCGTTTTATTTGACCGATTTGCGATCGGCGATGACATTATCCATTTTCGCTATCGTGTTCTTCCAACCTGAAATGGTGCGATGAGCTTCACGTTAGCAGGAGAGCCATGAAAGCATTATCGTTATGTCAGTCTTAGCAATCATGCACACCATTTACACTCTCGACCAACTTTTCTTACATCCAGAACTGGCTGTCTGTGCGAGTGTTGCGCTTGACATTCTCCTGCTTCTAGCGAAGTTCATACGCATTCGCGCACAATGGCATTGCAGTAATGATATGTAACTATTGCACAACACCGAGGGATACACTATGATACAACAGTAGACCTTTATAACCTCGTGAGAAAGTGCTTAGAGCGCGCCATGCTCCTCGAGGAATTCTCTGGCGTGCCGTTTGGCACCCTCGGAGACGCGAGGGTCTGATCAGGTGCGTCAGAAGTCTAGGCCGATATCCGCTCGCAATACCAAGTAAGCTTACTGTGCAAGGCGGCCTTGTAGCCTGATATTATGCGCTTTTCATGCTCATCATCAGAGAGACCCGGGTTTCTCTCGACCGAGTACCCCGCAGTCTCGAGCACCTCACGAGCATGTTCTTTCGCGTCTGCGGAGGTGCGGTCATCTGGGAGTAACGTTATGTAAGTGCATTTACGGCACTTGGCAGGCACCAGCACGTACTGTGCAAGGTCGCCTTGTATCCTCCAAGGACGCGATTGGTGTCCTGGTCAGACGCGCTGTAATCTGGTGCACGCTCGACTTCGTCGCCCAAGTTCTCGAGGCGGTCGCTGGCGCGCTCCTTTGCCTCTTCAGAGACATTTGGGTTGTTGATCGCGGCCTTGAGGCCAGCAGCAACGCGGCCAGGGTTCTTGTCTGAGTTTGCATGTTATAAATAGTAACGCAACTGGCCGAGTGTGCCACTTACTGTAGGTGTCAGCCATGTTGAACGATGTTAATTTCAGGTTTATAGTGAGAGGAAGCGCAAGTGACCTGGATATCGAGGGAATGAATAGACGTGGAGTGTAGACATGTCGTCCTTATATACGAATGGAAGGGGCAGCATTAATGTGGAGATATTGGTGGTGCAGCGGTCCCGACACGTGGAGCCCGTAAGTGGCGGGTCGACGCATAGCTGATGTCATGTCACGGGATCGCGTTTGACGCGACCGTACTTCTATACGCTTCGTACCCGTTTATAATTCGTCGCCGATATCACAGCCAAAAAACGCATCTGTTACATACCACGCCATGGCTGAGCAATGCAACGATCCGCAATGGATGGTTGCCATGAACAGATGATGAAACTAATTTCGGTCGCGATGGCGCGGATGAGCTGCTGGCTCGTCCATTCGTCTCGGCCCGATCGAGGTACGCAGGTCTCCGTTGTTCGCAAATTTTGTGTGATGGTGCAGGTGTTTCAATCACGAGCCTTATGGCTTCACGAGAATGACGGCGCAGACTGATGTTTGGGGATGCAAATCGCGTATTGGGGACTTCGTCGTGAGTGCGCAAACGGACCATACTCTAGGGCATTGTACTCAAGGCATGCACAGAACACAGCGGAGAATCTGAGACTCGAATGGAGTACCCAACGTCGGAGTCGTGGGTGAAAGAAACGCCCGTTGTGGCGTTTCGCCGAATCGCAACTATGCTTTTACCTCAACTCGCCAGATATCAAGTATTCTGCTGCCTCAACTTCCCGGATCTTTCAGTCTCGATACATAGACTATTCCCACTAACATTCTGACCCGTTAGCATGACCTGCTACACCATCAACGTCAACTCGGTCTGTCGCGATTCGCACCCGAGGCCGTTGGGCTTCGACCTGCCACAGCGAAAGCATACACATTTGCGTGATGTTTTCATGACGTCTACTTGTCAGGTCAGTATGGACTGCATTCTTCCAGATGCTTCTGGAGATAATTGACAATCGCTGGGAGCAGATAAGTCATGAACAACTCAAGCATACGATTGATCGTGTCCGCGGTGAACCTCACCAAGTTCACGAATGTTCTCTTTGTATTTTTTGAGGGATGAGAAGTACGCACTGTCTCAATTTTTTATTTCCCTGGAGCTCGTCATTGTATCGCTATGGGGTACGACTCGGATGGGCGATTGCTCCACCATGTGAATGGTAGGTTCCAATAGACACTGATTGATTACATTGTTCTCATGCTTGATCCTCTCAATCGAAACTCCCTGATTCCGCTGGAGCTCCTGTAGTCTCCGTTGAGCACAGGTTGTGCGACACGGGTCACACTGCTATGCAACGTGATTCAGCCTCAGAGTGCATGCTCGGGACATATATATAGACTCAGTTCTCGTAGCTGCCTCATTACCATCCTCCCTATCCATTTCCTATCCCATCCACGACAATCATTCAACAGACTATGTCAGCGTCACTATCAAAAAAATCCATTGAGGACTACTTGAAAGATAGGCCAGTGAAAAACATCACATCCACTTTGTTCCATGAGACTTAACATTCGTGCCATTGGTTAGCTTTCAAGCATTTTGTTTGACTTATGCCTCTGCTGATCAGTATCTCTGTTGCCTGTCCGATACTCTAGTCATAATCGGTGTTCCAGCACTCCTGGCCTACTATGTCACTTTGAACTTGCCACATGATGTACGACGCTTGTGGGGGCGAAGATCTATCGCAACACTGCTCTCTGTTATAAATTGGCTTGCTATCGCTGGTAATATCAAGACATTGATACCTTACCCAAGCAATACTACATCAGTATGAAGCACCCACTTTGTAAGCCGCTGACATTGTGTTGACGATGTACATTTCAGAGGTCCGTTACTCGATATCAGGTTACCTTTTTTTTAATGAAATATTGGTCCCACCAGATGTGAGGCTTCCGGGTATGACAATCAGATATGTACATTGTCACCACTGCCATATCACCGTGTAAGGAGTTCCATTCTCGTCCTCAGGGTCATACTTAACCGGCCTTCTCAGTGGTAGCTGCTCTACGTGTACATGCCGTGAGTGGACGCAACTGGTGCCTGGTATTGCCGGTCTGGCTGCTCGGTATGGTTCCCGTGGGCACCAATATAGTGAGTACATCGAGTATGACAAGACACTTGCGACTAAAGCAAGAGTATATAGTGGGGCGTGGCTAAAGAGACCTTCCTTATATTTCCTCAACTTGGATGTGTGAGCCTCCATTCCTACTCTGAGGCCACATTTAAAACGTATGCAGATCTCATTGACTCTGTCGGGTTCTACGCACTAATTGAGCTTTGCAGGGGTGAGCCATCTCTGTGAACGCTTCCAGAAGCTCTTGTTGAACTTCCTACTCGCCCATATAGTGGTTATCATCAGTCGAACATCCGTGGTTGTCTCGGAAATCCTTGTGGTTGGAGCGACCTGGTACTACATTAGCCATACGAGCTCTGTGAGAACACAGCTCGTGCATGATGTGTGGGGCGCAAGGCCCAATCTCACAACTGTCATGTTCCGAGATGGTGAGTTCCAGCTGAAGGATGCAAGTAATATACCACGGTGGCTCATTTTCCGGCATCACAGGTACATTATACTTCGTGTAAGTGAGGAAGTATGGATCCTCGGACAAGGGCACTCATTATAGGTACAGTGTGATCTCGCTGCTCAATATTGTTGACCTCCTCATGAACATAATTGCTTTCAGTGGTGTGCGTATTCGTCAGCGACTAAGTGATTAGCCATACCGAAACAGTTGTTTTAGGTTGCAGGCGCACTGGATATAACAGACTTGGCCTTGGCGTCTGTACAACCTCACCCGCCATAGTTCCGGTAGATACTCACACCTTATACCATTCATTTTATAGGATGTCGAACATCTTAATTTCCCGCTTCCTCATCTGCATCCGCGAAGCTGCAGAACGCTCAACGCAGGCATTCAGTTCCCAGTCTCTATCGTTCATCGATTCGCAAGGCGACTCCAACCCACAACCGTGGCTTTCTAGTGTAGAGTTCGCCGCCGACATCGCCAATCCCTCTGTAGGGGATAACAGTGATGCGGACGCTTTCCCCGGTCTCGAAGATGACTTGGATCCAAGAGGCCAATATGATGCGAGCGAGGGAAGAGGTGACGAAATAGAACTAGAGGAGTACACGGTGTCTGTCCGTTCTGTAGATGCACACACGCCCTGACGATCTTCCTCAATCTTGCTTTCCATTTCTTCTGACTTCGTTATTTATCAGTCGCTCGTTTCCCCCAGCACGTCTACCGGTCACGATGATCAGGTACCTGCACTATTGCGCGCTGTGTATTGATTTCTATACTTCCTGTATAGGTCGAAAGATTAGTAGTGTTGGCTCGTGGTGCCTAGGTCTTGCTAACCGATTTGCGTTGGGACCCGCTTGTGGCGTGATCATCTCATCTCGGTGACACTTGGTGCTTTGCCCAGGAAGATCGCCGCAGAAGATCCCTCCGGTCGATCACGGCCTTCCACGAGAGTCCGGCTGTTTGCTCTACCCCACTCTTGTGTGTGCTCGTGTGGACAGACACCGCTGTCGTGGCTATTGAATGCGGGAGTCGTGCCTATGGCTAACCGCTGTTTCCTATTGCGTCTCAAGTGAGAATTCAAACTCAAAGGTGGGCAGCGTACACATGTATCAATGACTGAAAGTGTACATAATCCAGATAATGAACGATTGACTGCGTCTGTCAATGGCCATACCTGCAGCCAGCCGCTACTATGCATTACCGGGCAGTCGGCAGACCCACAGCCAAAATCCTTGATTTGACTGCGAATATTCTAAGACGTTTTGGGGTATCCTGCTCGCTGAGCGGCAGGTTACGCCTGCCGACGTGGGTCAGGCTGTATTGTTCACTCTCCGTGTATGCTTGGCCGCAGCTGACATTCCGACGCAAGATCAGACGTAGACTGCAATGATTCCCGCAGACGATCCAAATTATCCATGAATATTGCTCATGTCATATACTTATTCATCAAGTATTGCAGGAGCGGAAGGGTCCAGCTCCTCTATGCTCCACTTGCGACGGAGCTCGACGGTGTAGTCATCGGTGTCTCCAGCAAGGAAGCGGTGCATCGAGGCCCAGGCAATCATGACGGCGTTATCTGCGAATACGAAGTGAGTGACAGTGATACCGAAAAACAGTGCAACGTACCGGTGCATAGCGACGGCGGCGGGAAGATAAGTGCTATGTGCTCGTCTGGGCTCGCTTCGTCCAAGCATATACGCAGTCTACACCACATCCTCCGTGAGCAACATTGATATGGTATCGATGACGCATAGCACTACCTCTCCCTTAGATAAGAGTTGCTCGCTACCCCGCCACTGACAACGACATGGCGGATCTGGATACCCTTCCGCCGACAGAGCTGCAGGCCCAGGGCTAGCTTCTCCTCCAGCTGGCCGACAGCATTCTTCTGGAACGTCGTAGCAATCGCGTGCTTCGTGCGCGCGTCCACCACACCCCCTCGCGCGTGCAGAAAGCGCTCGACGCTCGAATGCAGGCCGGTATACGAGAACGCGAGCCGGCCACGCATGGGTAGCGGGATATGTGGTGCTTCCGCTGGCTCCCCGCTCCCAATTTCCTCCCCGCCCGGTGCGCCCGTCCCTCCAGCAGGGCCGTCCCTGCAGAACTGCTCGAGCGCGGCGCCGGGTCCATGTGCGGACCACGGGAGCGCGAGCATACGCGAGACCTTGTCGAACGCGCGGCCGATGCTCTCGTCGAGCGTCGTCGCGAGCACGCGGAACGCGCGCGGGGACGTCGCGAGGAGAAGGAGGGTGTGCCCGCCGGAGACGAGGAGCGTGAGGAAGGGGTATGTGGGAAGCGAGTTAGCGGGCGTTGTGAGGAAGGGCGTGAGCGCATGCGCTTGCTGAGCAACGGCGGGTTAGTTCGGGGAGAATGTGGAGAGGCTGAACCCACCATGTGGTGTACACCGACTAGCGGCTTGTTCAGGGCTGCCGCGAGGGTCTTTGCGGCATTCGAGCCCACGCTGAGACATCCCCCAATACCTGGAATATTGGTTAGCACAAGCAGATGAGCAGGGTGTTGAACGTACCAGGCCCGCGCGTAAACGCAATACCATCAACGTCGGTTGCGGACATGCCAGCCACCTGTAGTGCTTTCTGCACCGCGCCTGGCTGATTCGTCGGTCAGTTGCTTGCCTAGCTTCAGTATACAAGCTTGCGCACCATGTTCTGCTGATGGGCCTCTATAGCAATATATGGGTGTATACCTCCATACGATTCATGGCTGCGCGCATGAGGACCTCGTTGACATGCAAGCCTTAGCTACTCACAAGCTGTCCTGCCTCACCACAACATTAGAGAGAATCTGTCTGTCCGAGGTCACCACGGCAGCACAGGTGTCATCTGCAGACGACTCAATAGCAAGAACGGTAAAGGGTCTACGAGATGGCTGGTAACATCTCCGCAACAGAGTCGGACGAATGGCTCGAAACATCCGGGAGAGAAGAATTTCGATCGAATTTTACGGGTTAGGCACTTGTCATCAAAATTCATTCCCGATTACACCTGCGAGCCTAGCCCCCGCCGACGGCGGTACGCTTTCTGACGACCATCTTTGTCGTACTCAACGGTCTGCCCCTGTCGAGCACAACGTTGGCCTTGCCCACGCTCATCTCCTGGAAGACGGCAGCGGGCGATGGCGGGCGGCCATACTCGACGATCCTCCCAAGATGGCTCTATCTTCGGCCGCAATCCGACGCGCCGCCGCTCGTCGAGCCAGGGTGACGAGACACCCCGTGTAGGACTCCTGCAGAGCGCCAACAGTTCTAGCAATGCAGACGCGAGCGCTGGCCATGCGAGCGCTGAATCGCACCCGTCAAAACGGCTCGGATTCCTGCCCGAGAAGCTTTTGTCTTCCTCCTCTGGCGGTTCTTCATCTCTGCGCACATCTCCTGGTGGTATACATCTGCGTACACACGCCCGTGCCGACTCTGCTCACAACGGTATCTCTCGGGAGGCTACCTCGTCGCCTACTCCTGGAATGGCTTCGACGCCCGGGCAGCAGAAGGGGCACATTTCGCCCACCAAGGTATGCTTCTCCATCACGCGCCTGGCAGACGGGGGTGGAGTGGGTTCCTTTCGTAGAAAGAGAACGTGTGCGAGGTGTTCCGTTTGTTCCGGTGATAGCCTATATGAGTTGTCCGCCGCGCATATGCCCCGAGGTTCTTAGCCCGGTTCGCGGATGCGATAAACATCCGCTCGATGTGACCAGCATTCAGAATTGATTGGCCGCTCGCCATCGGAGGCAAATGGATTGTGTTGACATTGTATACCACCGTCGTACCTCTCCTCTTTATCTTGGTGAAGTCTTGATTCCACGGCGGTGCACCTCTCATCTCTCTCGGGAAACCCCTGAAAGATGTGTTTTGCGCCGCATCCGTTATCGCAAGTGCTTCAGACCGTACTTGATGCAAAGTAAGGTGTCCGCAAATGTTAGACAGCCTGAGAGGCGTCTTGATACAAAATTGGCTACCGAATGCGGCCATGTGCACATGGCCATTCCTTTGCATCACTAAGTGCATTTTGATTGATCCGCGTGTCGGTAGGTCTGCGAAGAAAGTGGAGAACCCGGCGCATATCCGTGAGCGCGTATTTATGGCCATATTCCTTTTGTTCAAGACCTCAGGCTAATCCGCGGAGCACGGGCACTGAGCATGTACTGCGGCCTCGTCTGCCATGTGATTCTATCATTTAGAAGCCTACTAAGGTTGATACACGCGTCCTCACCCTGCCTTACCCGTCGCTTCACATTAGACCTCCTCAGCACGTACATATGACTCCAAGCTCGTCACCCGCGAAATGCACCGCCTAGGCACCCTCGCTCACTCACATCTACCTGCGCTCGGCACCTCGCTCACCGCAGCTGCCCAGGCCGCCACGGCGATCGCCGCACCTGTCATGCCTTCCTTGAGCGCAAACTCATCCGACCCATGGCAGTCACTCCACGTTCATGTTCTACCTCTGTTCAACGGCGAGCCGCTTCGGGTGCCTATGTGAGTGCACGTTGCCCTCATCATCACTGCTCGGTGCTATAGTGGCGCACAGCGAAGACCTCAATCAGCTTGTCAAGCGACACATCCAGGCGGTCGTCTCGCAGTCCCCGTCAAAAGCGCTCGCAGTCCTCGAGAACGACGCCTCAGAGCTCATCGCGTCGGGCATGGTCACTTTGAATGCCAAGCTCGCGGAGATTGACGATGAGAAGCTCGTAGGACGCGTAGTCGAGCTTTGGGGGTTCTTTTGGGACCAAGTGTTGCCATATGTTGAAGGCGTGCGCACCGATCAGTGATTGATTGAGCAGTTCGCCGATCCTGACATCGGTTCGTAGGCCCTACTGCCCTTACAGACTGAGCCCCTGCTATCTTCCCTGTATCGGCACCCGAAAACACACAAACAAAACACCTCGCCTATATCAGGGACCAACGGCAAAGGCTCAATATCATCCCTCGTGATGCAGTCGAGCTCGCAGATCGATGTGCGGACCGTTGCCCTGCAGTCCTTCCGCGACCGCGTCATCGACCCAGTGCACAAGCGAATGAGTAAACGGATCGAAGCGACGCGAGAAGACAGCATCCCCGAAAGCCCAATTTCGTCGCAGCCTCGGCTGCAGCAAATGTGCGTGTCGTTCGCTCGTGATGCTCGTAAGTTCTCTGAACACACCGCGGGACAGGCTCCTCGTGCTCGTATCGCAGCGCTCCCGCCGTCCGATCTCCTTTTCCCTCACCCCTGAACCCCAAGAGCCAACGGCAGGCGAGGCCGCCGTGCAGCTTCTCTTGCGCGCTGTGCGCGTGCCCCTTGCACAGACTGGCCACGGCGCACGGCGTTCGAGTGGTGCGCCGTCGTTCCTTTCCGCAGGGCAGCCGCGCGACCGCCGGGGACGCATCGCGCAGAAGCATGAGCGACGCAGTAGCGGCGCGCGCCGCGAGAGCATAGACGAGGAGGACGAAGGGAGCGACGGCGCGGGCAACCCTCCGCGCGCACGGTTCGCTGTCTTGGACGACGAGATCAGACAGCAGAAGGACTTCCTAGACTCGCTCAGGTAAGTTCATAACGAACTAAATACATCGGAGCTTACTGATCTCAACGATCTACCAGGAGTCCTGGTCCTGAGGCAACTCCCACGACCGGGGGATGGGGTCTCGGTGTCACAGGCGAGGGAAAGGCTCAGGAAGATGACGACGACGATACTATGGATTGGGATCAGGCGCAGGTGCGTACAGCCTATAGAGGTGTCTCGAGGTAACTTGCTTAATTCTTTTTACAGGCTGTGGTTGAACGCATGGTCGGTATGAATACCCTGCAGGATTCCCGAAGGCGAGGCACATAGGGCCAATATGGGAATCGGTGTGTGTTGCTTCGTCGTTCTCTCTGGTGTTGTGTACTTGAATGGTTTGTACAACATAGGGTTAGGGTATAATGGTCGGACTCCAAGCAAATGTGTGTGTCGTGTGCATTTGCACCCCCCTCTTGGTCTCGAACTGTCGCGCATTGCAGTTGGGTCGCACTGACTGAGACCCGTTGTCCCCGGGGTGCTCTGACTCGTGTGGGATCACCAAGGTGCGGAGGAGAATATGTCGACATCCGGGTTACTAAGGTACACACAACACCCCCGAACGTCTGCGTAAGGAACAAGGGTTTGATTCCTGTGCCAGGTGGAAAATCGAGGACTCCGTCTGCGCTAAACGAATAATGGTCATGGGAACCGGGCGTCGATCTTTGCGAGAGTGAATACATCGCTATAGTCCCACAGTAGAGACTATATAACTATATAGAGAACGAGGAAGTTATTGTTATACTCGACTGCACTATGCATGCGCCACGTATGACGCGGACGAATTGAGCATGGTTTAATCCTTATTTCATTGTCAACTGATATCTGCCAGGAAGCGTATGTAGGGAATAAAAGTGTATGCTGTACGCAATGAAGGTAGTATTGGATAAAGATAATTGTTGGAGGCCAGGGGTAGATAAAGGAAGTACGTGATAAGATAAGATGGGGCAGATGAACAAGACTTGGGGAGGAATCGAAAGAAGAGGTTGATGTATTCGAGCGAAAGGTAGTATGATTGCCAAATGAATTCTCGAGTAAATTGGACTTTGATAATTGTTTCAAGGGGGTGCGTTTGTTGATGAGGGCTGAGCGTTGATGACAATCGAATTCTCGTTCGTATACGACGGCGATGAGTGACAAGGATGAGCACTTCCCACGGCTGAAGGTTGCTAATGAGCAGCGTATGTCCATGAGCTGTATGCTGAGAGGGAGGAAGATGACGCCGTACCTTGGTATCGGCTAGGCTGGCAGAAGCGCGAAGGGATCCAGTCCCACATACGCTTCACATCGTCAGGCCGAAGTAGCTGTGGGCCGGCATGATAAGCGCGAGTAAGCACGCGAGGAAACCGACGCTACCCACCAGATCAACGCGGGTTGCACGTTGCGACGTCGGGATCTATGGGGGATGAGGGGTAGCCGCTAGGGCCACACGCCGTGCCATCTTTCCCTTGTCTTCGTCGGTCGCATGTCCTATCTCTCGCTTTGTCGTCGCACGTGTTTACGTCGAGCAGGGGACACTTCTCAATCATCTTGGTTGATTCAAGGCTGACGACACATTAGGCCGGAGTCGGACGTGTAGCATTGATCGAGCTCACCTCGACCACGGCAGATGTCTTCTTTTTCTTTTTCTTCTTCCTGTTCTTCCTCCTGTTGCGGCTTCGGACGTTCACCGCGACCGACTCGATGGACAAGCTGCCGGACAGATTGAGACCGCTCAAGTTGCTCACGGAGACACTGATTGTTTCAAACGCATAAGAAACCCGTTCCTACAGCCCATATACAACGTACCTGATGTCGGATAGGTCCTTCTGCTTGTCCTTCCTGTCCTTTGCGTTACCGAGGTGCTGTGCAAGACATGTCAACGATAGCGGCCAAGGACCATGAAGGACACTCACGTCTGCGGAACGTTCAGTCCTGCTGCAGATTTGCAGAAAGCCCTCCATCATAATCAGTAAGGCTACGGCCGGAAGGTAAGGTGTCAGCCACTCGATGGTTTCTTCGAATGGCGACGAGGTCTTCGAGGTTGCATCCATCGGGGAAGGCGAGGCGTCCGAGGCGGGCTTGTCAGCGACGTCGGTGGGGGGCGTAGTGCTCGGCTCCTCCACTGGGGCGTCCGTAACCGCACACATCGCCGGCGCCGACTGGTCATGGAAGAAGATGAACTGATCGAAGAACGACGACTCGGGGAGGGCATAGCACCACTCGTCCCCGTCGCTGTAGCCGTCGTTGCCATTGTTGTCGTCGGCGAATGGCTCCCTCAGTGGACATGTGAGCTCGTCCAAGCTCACTGTCGATGGCAGCACATAAGAGATGGACGAGTTGAAGTACTCCTCGTACACCTCCCACTGCATTGCCGAGTGGGTCTTGATGTCGACACGGACCGCAGGCAGCCATGGGGTTGGACGGATGGCGATGCTAGCGGTGGACTCAGCGTCCGCGTCGACAAGAGTAGTTGAACATGATGCTTACCCAGACAGCTGCAGGTACTTGAGAGGCCCGCCGAGGCTGGGGTACCCGAAGGTACGAGCAGCGTGGTCGTAGGCGATGAAGACGTTGGTCATGAAGACCAGGTAAGAGAAAAGGAGCGGTATGAAGATCATGATGATTCGAGTTCAAGTTGTGTGGGGAGGGGACGGGGCGCGAGGCGTGCTCTTATACATGTTGAACACGGAGGCTGACCGCCGACGTCACCGCTGTCAGCCCCGATCGGCGAGGACGCGTCGGCCAGCCTCCATGCTTCTATGCAGACGTTTCCGAGATATTTATAGCGTTGTCACCCTCTGGGTAAACATGAACTATGAGCAATATATTGAGTAGAGGTGGTAGGTGCAGCGACAGCATTATGGCAGCGAAACAGAGTGTTCATCGGGAATCACGGTGCCCAAAAAAGGCCGCTAAGATTGGGTCTTCAAAGTCCACCATCTCGGCTTTCGCCTCCAGCATGCGTACGAGGTGATCTCTGCTATGAAGACTCTGTAGGTGGGACCAGTGCAGGTATGGGCGAAGGGAATACGACGCGAGGTAGACCACCAACGAAGCTCCGCGGCCAAGGCGAACCCACCAACGCAGTCGTGGCCTATTCTCCAATGCGATTGACGCAAAGAGACCGCAAGCAAAGAGAATACCAGAGCCCGCCGTGACATACTGTCGCAGCAGTTGGTGATAGGAGAAGGTGTCGGTCAGGTCAGCTGCTACCCTCGAGCAAGATGCGTGCACAACTCACATCCCACCGCTCGTAATCGAATGTGTTTGCAAAAAACGTCGTGCAGATGTCTATGTCGTGCGGAGATACGCCTGTGCCGTGGAGAAATATGTGCAGGCCGTCATATTGGCGCGCGACCATTCTGGACGTCGGAAGCGACCACACACGATGAGACCACCAAGCAATGCGCTCCGTCAGTCCGATGGGCTCGTAAGGTTCTGAATGAGGATGAGCGTGATGCGACTGGCTCGGAAATAAACTTGCCTGGTAACCGAATGTCTGCGTTTCTTAGGATTTGATAGACACCTGAGGACATTTTCGCGAATCTTATTACCGACTTCCGAAATCCCGGAGTGCGATTCATCTCATGATAGACGAAACTCTGACGGGCAATGGTTCGGAGAGACGGGTCATCCGCCACCTCGTTGAACAAGCGTCGCGCTTCCAGTTTCAGAAAAACGACACCTCCGATGCCAGCGCCCATAGCACCTGCTGACCAGCGCCATCGCGACAATTTATGCCCAACGAGTCCCACTGAACGGGGTGCGCGTACGCCAAATTGCACATAGAAGGCAGCTGCGGCAGCAACAGGTATCCAGATGTTGGCGCTGCCCTTAACAAAGGAGTCATATGAGTGAAATCTCATCGCAAGCTGTTCTACCACTTACCAGAATGCGCTGCACCACCGGAGGCAGTGGCGGCGAAGGGAGCGGAGTACGAGCACAATCCTTCTCAACGCAAGTGGACACCGGGTCTACCTTCGCCGAATAGTGAACCCGGAGCGTGATGGGCTCGTCGCGGTCGCTCATATCCACTCATAGAGGGGGAAATGACTGATTCATCTCGAGACTTATTTTATACTGTGAGGTGGTCCTGAGAAAAGCCTACGCGGACCAGCGGCAGCAAGCCGAAATGAAGTGGCGAGAAGCAAACACGCCTCGTGGATGTAATCATGCACCAATGTTCGTACCAAATGAGGAGTTTGTATGACTGGTTATAAGTCGACGTGTGATTGAAGCGTCGTGTTTTGAGGAAGGCGAACAGCCAACGGCAAAGGGTGCAGTAGACGCTCGAGTAGGCGACACTCCCACTGAATTCTCCCACTGGTTGGGGACTTATTTCGACGACAAAGCTCCAGCCATTAGCAGCAAACCGGCAGTGTGTACAATCATGTCACGGCTCGACACCACGAAAGCCAGAAGAGTAGACTTACCCCATGTGAGTGCGATCGACAAAATTGAAGTGTACAACCGACTTACATGAACAGCATGCACGATAGGACCTTGCAAAATGATGGCTCGGATAGCAATACATGTCGACCGGGACTCGTGGGATATGCAGAAATCACGCTGAAGATGATGACAAGAGAAGCGGCATAACAATATGAGAATACATGCCACGACACAGTCTACTCCTCTGGCACCTCGATCTCCCCGGCGTCGATGGCTTCAATGACGTCGTGTGGCGGTCGGCCATCAATGGTGCAGCCGACGGACTGTGCCGTGCCCAGAATCTCCTTCGCGCCATTCGCCAGCGTCTTCGCCAGCGATTTTGACCGCATTGTGCGTGCAATCTCGACGATCTCGTCGAATGTGATGTTGCCGGAGTGCTTGATGTTCTTCTCCTTCTTGCGATCGCGTGGGGGCTCTGCGGGACATGGGCTTTAGCTGCAATTGTGGTAACATCCATATAAAGACGCACCCTTGAGAGCCTTGATGACCAGAGAGGAGGCAGAGGGTACAACGTCAACCTTAGCCTGACGGTTCTGGATCGTGAGCTGCACGGTGACCCTCAGGCCCTTCCATGCACCAGTGGCCTTGGCGATATCTTCTCCGACCTTCTTGGGGGACTATGTGGAGGCGTTTCCTGCGTTACAGTACGAGCACACTTGATAGGATAGAGGGACTTACGAGACCAAGAGGACCGATCTTGGGGGCAAGTGCGGAGGATGCACCGACTTCACCTCCTGTCGCCCGCAGGTAGATGATTTTGATTTCGTTGGGGTCCTGCGGCGCGATGAGATACAACAGAGACAGCAGGGCAGCGGTTACGTACCAATTTCGGGGCCATTGTGAGTAGGATGAAGGGAGCGGCGGCGAGGAATTGGCTTGCGAAACTTGCGGCGAGGGCCAATGATCGCGTGTTTCTGCGTGTACGCGTGAGATCAAGGTTCAGGCGGCGATTGGGGAGCTGTACAGACCCGGCAACTTCCGCAATCCCGCACCAGACTCCTACGTCGACATCAGTCCGACGGCCCGGTCAAAGTTCTTGCTGTCTGTCCATAACTTGCTCGTCGGTCAACACAGCGTCCTCGGCGATGGGTGTATGGAGGAACCACCGGCGAGGGTCGAACTGCCGGCCGCCTTCGAATATGTCGACGTAGATGTTCTCGCACAACTTGTGGGTGCGTATGGATCGTCATGGGAACACGACCAGTACATGCTAAACTCGGTGAGCAGCGGATATGATGGATCGTCTCATATCCCATAACGACCAGATACCATTATCACCGTGAGTCGCACTTTGCTGAGCCTTGGCGATTCATCACCAATCTTAGGGCGCGCAGTGAGAGCCTTACTCGATTTCACTCCCGCACCGCGCCTGGGATTTCTGTACTAGATTACTTGCGACGCATAGTCAGGTTCACGAAACTCGATGTGAGTACAACGCCACGTTCGTAGCAGCTATCTCTGACACTGTCCACAGCGGACATGCCTAATGATCACACTGCACTACATCGATCAAATATGCTCTCGGATACCGATTTTCACCCTCTCGTCGCTCACTTGCCATCGCTTCCTCATCACATCCATCGCCGTGTCAAGCAAGGCCCTGTGTGACGTCTTTTGTACCAATAGTCTCTATGCCAAAGTAGGCGGAATCCCCGTTACGGAACTCAACATGCTCGAGCGGGAATTCCTTCGCATGATCGAATGGCGACTAACGGTCAGCACCTTTCCCCTTGCTGTTATCCCCCTCCATTCTCCCCCGTGCCGACACCCTGCAGCATCAGGAACTGAAATCATGCTTTGTCGCTTGTTGCCTGCACGTGCATAGTGTACACGCGAGATACTTCAAGAGTACTACGTCAACCTAGTGCGCACCCACAGCAAGGGCCAATTCCACATCGCGGGGCCGGGGTCGTCAAGCAGCTCAGATAGCGACATGGACTGGGACGCTAATCGGTCTCGCTCGGTCTCGCCTGCGCGCCCGGGGATGAACGGTCGTGAGGCGTCCACCATTCTCATCGACACGGCGACGCTTTCTCCGGAGTCGCCCCGCCCCCCTACGCTCGAGCAGAACATGGCATTCGAGGCGTTCAGACGTTCGTCTCAAGGGATCTGAAGGTTCTGTAGGATGGTAGTCTAGCAAGCATGGTTGTATCGATAGCCTTCGCGCCCTCGTGTTGTATCGAATAAGTGTTCACCCTGTTCAGGACTGTATATATAACCCCAACCACTTCTGATTTGGCTACCCTTTCGTTGCGAATATACCCCGCTCTACCAACAGTTATTGAGCCGTGATCCGGCATGCGTGAAGGCTAGCTTGACTTCCGTTGCTTCGGGTCAATAATACTCGCCATTTCAAATAAGACTCGACGACGTCCGCCGCCTTTGCACTCATTGAACGAAACTCCCGGAATATCCTCGTGAATAGGCGTGATCCACCGAAAACTAATTCACACTTTAGGCGCAGGAACGAGGATACGCTACGGTATGGTCGTCTAATTACGTTATTATCAACTGTCCATGAAAGGCGGCAGAAAACGGTGCAAGGAATGTTACATGAGTTGAGTGTTGCGAATACCGAGGGGGTGGGTGAATGGGGTGAGGTGAGGTGAGGTGAGGTGTACGTTGAGAGCCTCAACGACCTACGGACCGACCCTCGTGTAACCTACTACGAAATACAACGCCGAGCGCACGCGCACGCATATGAGAGTCCTCCACGGCACCGCCACATAAGTTACCGCCGCATCGCCGACAGCAGCTTCGCGAGGGTATTGATCTGGCCCTTTTGCACCTTCCGCGGGTTCCCATCGCGGTCGCCTTCGCTGCTGCCGTCGCGCTCCCCGTCGCGCGGCACCCGGGAGAGGTCCGTCGTGCTCGTCGCCGCGTCCATCCGGAGAGGAGACGGTTTCTGCTGCGGGCGCTCGCTGATCGTGCCGAGCGTCGAGTCGGGCGCACGTGGCCCGCGCCGCTTGGGCGGGCCAGGGTTGCGGGGCATCTGGGTGGCCTCGAGCGGCACACCAGACATGACTACGAGGGACGCGTCAGCCTCAGCGCAAGCATCCCAAACGGCTACATGATACTGACACTTGATGTTCGCGGGCAGCCCACTGGGCCTGCCGCCGTTGTCGTACGGGTGCTTCTTCCCCGACTGGCCCGTCTGGTTGCTGCGCCAACTGCCCGAGGACAGGCTCGTCGCCGCCGTGGACACGCTGCGCGAGCTGGCGTTGCTGTACTTCGTGAACGCTGAGGACGACGTGCCCGCACTCGCCATCGAGCTGCGCCAATTGTTCGATGACGCCATGGAACTTGCGCTGGACGCCAGCGGCCGCCCGCTGCGTGTGCTCGAGGGCGAAACGCCCCGCTTGCTAGCGGGAGACACACTGCGCTTGCTGGCAGGGGAGACAGCACGCTGGGACCGCGCATCCGCGTTGGACACCCCGCGGCGGTCCAGGTTGCTGACAGAGGAGAACGGCGAGCCGGAAGGCGGGCCCCACGTGCTGCTGTTGTTCGACAGCGTACTCGCAGCATACGGCGACGCCTTGGGGAGACGGCCGCGATGCGTGAAGGAACCCATCTCACCCGCCTCGGCGCGATTGGACGAGGCAGAACTGTTAGGCTGCAGACTGTCGAGCATGCTTGCAACGTTGCTCGCCGTCGAAGACTTCAGCTTGCCACTAGCCTCGGAGAGCGCCTCTTCCGAAGCTAGCGCTTTGCTCAGCGCAGCGCTGCTCCCCTTGCCGAAGCTGAGCTTCCACTTCGACGACTTCTTCGAGATCGAGGACGAGGAGACAGACAACGAAGACGACGAAGACGGGAATGCAGCAGTGGGGTGGATTCCCATAGGCGGCACAGGCGGGTAGTACACGACAGGTGCTGGCGCCTCCACCGCAGTGCTGTGAATGCTCGCGACACTGGCATGCTGCGAGGTGCGTGAGGTGCGGCTGATCTCGCGGGCGAGCGCCTGCGACGCCTCCGCAAGCGAGTTCGCAAGACTGTCGAACTGAGGTGTGCTCGGCGACAGCGCCGCGCCCTTGCCCTTGTTGCGCGCACCACGCTTGCGCCGCTTGTGCGTCGACGTCGAGCGCGAAATCGTCTCCGGGTCCTGTTCCTGCTCGGCGTGATCCTGCTCGCGCTCCTGATCTGCATCCTGCTCCTCGTTCTCCTGGTCCATGACGGTGGAGAGCATCGACGTCTCTGCCTCTATATCGACCTCGTATGCGGGCCCGAGAGACGGTGCACGAGACATGGAGCGCGATACACGCTGGGAGGCCGCGAGATCGATAGGCGTGGCACAGCGGAGCGACGGGCGGCGCGAGTGCGGGATAGATGCGAGTCGGTGGCCCTGCACAGACGAGATCGAGACCGTGCGCGCATGCCCAGGCCGCGCCGGTTCGCCGAGCAGTGTGGGCAGATCGCGCACCCATGTGCCGAATGCACGAGCGCTGATGCGCTTCGAGTCGTCCCTCGGACCGTTGAGGATGCAGAACACGTTCGTCGTGAGGAACTCAGCGACAGAGAGGGTCATTCCGGTGAAACGAGACATGAAGAAATTGACGGGCTGTTGACGGTATGTCTCGAACGATGGGCAGACGCCCTGGGCGGCATCAGTCCAGGGGTTATAGTGATACAACCTGCAAAATATGTTGTCAGACCCTTGTTCCGCCTGATTAGGTGACTATATGCGCGACGTACATATTGATCAGCACGATACCAAGTGACCAGACATCGGCAGCACGAGGAGAATAAGTAGGGTGTAGGTTATTTCGGCATTCTGCATTACCTCCATCAGCCGTCGATCTAGCATTACAGTGGAGTGACGTACCGAAACTCATGTAAGGAGCGCTGCCGCAATCCATGTCGGCTGAATCCGTATCGGTAGTAGACAATCCAAAATCAGTGAGCTTCACGACAACCTTCCGCTCGCGTCGTCCTTCTGGGAGTGTCGTCCAACCGTCTGTGACGATAAAGTTCTCAGGCTTGATGTCGCGATGGAACACTGAGTGCTCGTGGCAGGTCGCGACGGCATCACACATTTGACCAAACATGGACGCAATCAGGCGCAGGCGGGTGCGCGAGAGGAGCTGCGATGGTGCAAGGGACGCGAGCAGACTCGGCGTCGACGGCGTGCGTGAAGTGCAGCTCGAGTCCGAGGACGACGTCGAGAGGTTCGGCGACGCAGGGTCTTCGTCGAAGTGGTCGCGCGCCTGTTCCAAAAAGTAGAAGAGATCCTCACCGGGCACAAACTCGAGGAGAAGAAGCAAAAAAGAAGGGGTCTCAAGCGTGCGATGAAGGGTGACGATGTTGGGATGAGGGGGGAGGGATTGGTGGATGGTGGCCTGTGCCGCCCATGTCAGTTCACAAGCTCTCGCACGAAAGCGCCCTAGGACGCGAGTCAACTGCACTCACCTCGAACAACTGTGCCGCCAGGGCATCCTCGTCAAGGTTGGCTTTGGACAGCAGCTTGATGGCGTATTCACGGCCATACCGGGTGGGGGCATGACCGAAATACCCGTCGTCGAGCTCCATAGATCCTGCGACAGCAGCGCCATGTTCGTCGTCCGAAGACGGCGAGGTCGAGCGGGAGAGAACTTCGCGTACAAGATACACAACAGCGTAGCTACCAGTGCCAAGCGTGCGGACGACCTCGAATTCATTTGCCGGCTCATCATCGATGCGCGGCTCCGAAGAACCAATGGGCACGCGCACGATCGTCTCGCCCTGAAGGATGAGACCCTCACCGACCACATCTCCCTGGGCTAGCACATCCATGGCGACGGACGACATCGACGAGCCCTGGCTTGACTTCTCGTCGAAGGACGGGAGAGGAGACTTGAACGGCATGGGCGAGCGACTGACCGGGCTGGGGAGGGAGCGGGGAGACGAAACCAGAGGAGAGCGAGGCATCTGCTTTGACGCGAAAAAGGGCGTCGACGAAGGCGTTGAGGGGGGAGTGGAGGAGGGCGATGAGGTGGGGGAGAATGTAGAAGCAGTGGAAAGGTGGATGGGGACTACATGATGCGAAGGGCGGGAGGCCACAAGCTTGTCGTTGACGTAGACGGGACGCTTGAGGTTCAGAGAGCCATTCTGGAGATCGTCAGATGTGTCCCTGCGAATAAACGGAGCACGCTTGGAGGACGAAATGGAGAGTGGCGGAAGCTGGACGGGATACTGCAACATGAGCAAGAGGACGTAGCGGCCAGAGGGGGTCTGTTCTGCGACCGTTCTCGAAGGGGGAGAATGGGCGAGATGGGAGCGACCGACTTGACACTATGGCGCTAGTGGGCTTGACATGCAGCTGGAGAACGGGGGCTGTTCTCTGTGGGGAGACGGGGTACTCTCCGGGAGCAGGCGGGGGCGACGGCCTGCACGTCGACGGGCTTATAGCGCGTCTGGAGAGAGAGGACCGATAGCAAGCAGATGGCGGCAAGAGGCAAGGCTGCGAGAGAGCGGGGTTTGAAATCGGAGGCAGTTGAGTCAGGGGAGGTGGCGGACAACGGTGAAAGCGCATATACTCACCGAACTACCTGGAGCAGCGACTGCGTGCGAGGGGACGAGGGGGCGGCGGGAGGAAGAGGGGGGAGGAAGAGAGGGAAAGAGAAGAGATAATATTGAGATGACGGGGAACAAGCAGCACATGGTCCCCTGCTTCGCAGCACCACGCGCGTGTGTCGCACGGATATGCCCAACATGGCTCCGACAATTCTGTCACGCAGTCACCCCCACAGCCCCCACCCGCTCGTTCAACCACGTCACCCCCGCTTTTGTTTTACATACAACACTCACACGCTCACGCGTCACACTCACGCTCCCGTCGTTACATCCTGATCGCCACCGCAGCAGCATTTCCAATGTCATACTTAGCTGTGCCCAAGGCTCCCTATCCCTGGTCTCTGGGCTGTCTATTTTTTGGCTATCGTGTGCTCCCAACTACAGCACTCCCCACCCACCGGGCCCGCCTACGCCAGCGCTGAGCTGCCACGTTCCCGCAAACAGCACATGCATGATCCATGCACAGGCCATCATCTCAGGGCGCATGCACGCCAGCGCCCTATCCAAGGCACATCTCTGTCAAACGGCACTACCACATCGCGAGCACTCCTCGGTCTCTGCGCCAAGCACCCCTGTACGCCGTCTCGCAGTGCGCATCGTATCGCCCATATCGCTTCGCCCCGCAACTGGCTGCCGTGTACACATCGCGTTGCCTGTACCGTGAGATAAGCACTCAATTAGAACGCCCTGGGCAGATCGGTCCCAGACGACGGGTCCACACCGTGCCGGCGGCTTACCTCTTCCCACCCATGTGGTCCACATCACTCTTCAGATTCTGGTGCATCCACCACCATCTTCCATCGCCGTTCCACCTCCCTCGCATCGCCGCTGGCTAGCCAGCTTCCCGCTCGCAGCACCACGTCCTTCGCCTCCAGCGCACGCCCGTGCGCCAGCAGCCACCGCGCCCACTCGACCGTCGCGCCAACGCCGTCCTTCTGCCGCCACTGCTCATACACCGTCGCCAGCACGCGATCCAACGCATCCGGCGCGGAGCGCGCGGCCATCTGCTCCGCAGCGGCCGCCTCCTGCGCGAACACGCCCTGCCACACTCGCGCGCTCGGCAGGTACCCTTGCGCGATGTGGCGCACGCGCGCCGCGCGCGCATCCACCACCGCCACGACGGCCGGCGGCACCGTCGACGTCGATTTCGCCGCGAATTCGCGTGATCGCGTCACTGATTGTGTTTGCGCGCCCGGCACCGGGGCCCTTGTTCTCCGCGGAATTCCAGAGTCTGCCCCCGCCGCTTCCGTCGCCGTGCCCGCGGCCTCCTCGCCCTGCAGTAGCTGTGCTGACAGTGCCGCATGCGTGCTCGCCGTGTACCGCACCAGTAATGCCTCATGCAGCGTGCTCCATGCGGCGGCACCCCGGACGCGCTTCTCGTCCCCGAGCAGCCGCTGTAGTCACGGTGACCGGTGGCACGTTCGTGGGGCGTCACGGGACACGGGACACGATGTATATAGGAATAGGATATGCAGCACGAATGGAATGCACACACGTATGGGCGGCACAGCCGGCGAGACGCACGCGTGAGCCCAGCATAAAGGTAAATCCCAGCAGCGCACGCACCTCGAGAATGCGCACCCGCTCTTCCGCGCGAACATCGGACGCTTCCGCCCGATCGACTCCCCACATCCACACGTGCTCGAGGCCCTCGCCCTCGACCGCGCCGCGCGCCTCGTCCCACGCGCTCTGGGCGCCGTCCGCGCTGCCGAGCACCCACTCTGCATCGAGGCGCGCAAGCCATACCGCCGCCGACGCACGCGCGATGGTCCTATCCTTAGCGGTGTGCTTCCGTGCGAAGCGGAGGACCTTTTCTGATGTGCTGCCTGACGGTGGGAGGTGCATGCGGAGGGCCTGGTGATGTGACGTGAGCAGGCGGATGGTCGCAGCGAGGAGCGCGGGCGAGGGCGCGGGAGACGCACGCTGCGCAAGGAGTTGCAGTGACGTGATTAGGTACCCTTTCTGCGTGTCGCGTTAGCGTCGGTGCGGTTCACGGGAATGTAACACATTTGTTGGCGTGAATGGCTTCGGGTGAGACAAGCGAAATAGGAGGGACAGCAATGCGGCGTGGTGGTGAGGGGCGCATCGCGGATGGCGGAAGATGAGATCAGTCGGAATGTGGTACGCACCAGGCTCTCGTCGATGTCCTTGCTGCACCATTCCTGGACAAACTCCGCGTACAGGACGGCGAGTGCTTCGCCCGCATGTCCTTCCCCGCGGTTTCGGACCGCATGTGCGAGCTGCTCGTTTGCAGATTTCAGCGCGTCGATCAGAGCCTCGCCGTCTAGCCCGGGCGTGAGAGCCCTCGTTGCAGACAACTTGATAGCCGAGGGGTCCAAGGGCAGCGTGGAGTGCAGCAGAGCAAAAAGGTGATCGAGGAGTGCGTTACGGAGGGACTGTGGACAGGGATAAGTCGCGAGCAGCTCATGTAGAGATGTGAAGAGAGATATCTGAGGTAGGGCTAGGTGCGCGCGAAGCGGGGGTTTGGGTGGAGTAACGTGAGATGAATAGCTTCAGAGATAGCCGACAGGGCACGCACCTTTGACCGCGCTGGAGATGACTGACCTGACGATAGCACCGTTCATGATCTCTCGCCTGGCTGCCTCGCCGTCCTCGCCTTCGTCTTTTGCATCAACTTCCATCTTGTCAATCTCCTCGTTGCCCATCTTCGCAGCCGTCCGCTCGTTTCCGGCTACGTCTGCTTCCCGTGCTTTCCCCTTCCCTTTGTCCGTCCCCTCGTCCACGTCTATTCCGAGCACACCCCACCGCCTGCGCATGCTTTCCACAAATCCAAGCTCCATCTTCACGTACTCCCTCCACATCTCGACACTGTCAGCGTTGAGCCGGATGCCTCTCTGTAGCAACGCACGTGCAGAGGATGGCGATAAATGCTCTAGTTCATGAGCAGCCGCGAGAATATAGAGCGCAGGAACGTTGGGGTGTAGCTGCAGCGCGCTGTTGAACCGCAAAATCGTAGCTCACATGAGCGCACGGCTAGTGGCCAAACACAAGGCTGCGTACCGTGCAGAGATGCGCCCCACGAGCGTCCGCGCGCCCTCCCGCTTGGCGACCTGCATATACTGTGTCCAGAGTCCGACATCGTTCTTGAACTTCTTCAATGCGCGCTCAAAAATGTGGAATTGCCGGCGGACAAGCGCAAAGTCTGAGACAGACGGGGGCTGCGGGCCCTGCTTGAGGCGCTCCACGCGTTTGCGGCGGAGGGCTTCGAGGCCCATCTCGTACGCAGCGTAGCGCAGGAAGTCGCTCTTCTTGGGTATGCGGCGCACGAGTGCGGTCTCGAACGCAGTGCGCTTCTGCATAATCTGCTTGATTTCTTTCTGCAGGCCCGGTTGATGACCCAATTCAGATGCCTCAAGACATGTTACGTACCTGGGTGAAGAGACCTTTCTGGACGAGGTCCTTCAGCTCTGCGAGCATCTGTGCGTGCCGGCCTCATTCGTACGTCAAATTTACAACAGAACGCTGGTGCGCACCTGCTCCTGCTGGAACTGTACTCTCTCCATGGTGTCGTACAGCTATAATTAAAAAAAAAGAGCAGATGAGTGCCGGCAAGAGAGGAACGGGTCGCGGCTCGGCCAATCGCTCGAGGAAATTGCAGAGCACGTGCTGGCTACCCGCGGTGCCTGTTTTGGAAGTGCCGACGCTTCTGTTGATGCTCCGACCGAATATCGATTATCCGCCGTCTCCTCCCACCGCCACCCTCGTCGTTCCCCTCCTCCCCCTTCATCGCCGTTATGCCTACCAGACGCGCCCCCGCCGGTGGTCTTGCTCGTGCGCACGCCCGCACCAACTCAGGCGGGTCATCGAAGCTCGGTCTCAATCTCCAGTTCACCCAGAAGGACGCACCACCTCCAAGACTACCTGACAAATTGAAGAAGAACGCCCATGTTCATCACGATGTAATTGTCTTTTTGCATGGTTTCTGTGCATAGTATATTGAGAACCGCGCCTTCCAGCCCTCTACTCGCGCCGGAGCGCCGGCGTTCTCCAGGACTAACAGTAGCCATCACGTTCCTTCGCGCGAACACGTCCAGGCCGCGCAATTGCGGCGCGCCCCTACTCCCCTCGCCTCCGCCCGCCAGACTAACAATGGAAGACAGAAGGTAGACTTCAGGATATCCAGTCCCTCGGAAGGCGACGAAGACGAGTGGGTCTCTTCCGAGAGCGGCGCCGCTACACCCAACACCGCGAGCGCCGACTCCGATGCAGAAGAGCCGACGACGCCGGTCACCTTGAATAAACTGTCCCTTGCACAAGCCAATTCGCAGCTCAATGGATTCCATAGAGAAGACGTTGAGACACCCAAAGCAGAAGTCCCTCCTTTACCCCGCGTCGATACCGCTCGTTTGCCCGAACCTCCGTCCCCCGCACCTGCTGCACGCGACTACGCACAAGATCAACCTGCAACGCTTTCTGTCCCTCAACCACAACCGCACCAGCTCGATCGTCATGATCAGCTCATCCCTGAAGTAGAGCGGCAGCCCGAGCTGTCGGCTCCCACATTAACCCGTGCTCGCTCTGAGACGTGTTCTCCCCATCGCTTGTCGCCCCCACCCAAACGCCAATCCATGACAAGGCCGCCTTCTACGCACTCCGTGACCAGTCGGACCGATTCAGCGGCATTACGGCCTCACCCACTGATACGAGGTCATTCTTACGGTCAGACTGGCGGCTTCGCGGCAATGCCCGCACCGTTAGCACCATTGACGATGGTTTCATCAGACGCCGCACAGGCTCAGATGTCGACCGCATCGTCCCCCACTAGCATGCGTGCTGGCTCTCCGTCTAGCATCAAGACGGCGTCCGCGTCACCCATACAGACATCACCCTCGTCGACCTCGCAAGCGCATAAGCAGCTAAGGAGAACATCGACCTCATCGGTACGATCGACTGCCACGTTACCTGTCCAGCCATCCCCCAGTCAGATTCAGCTCAGCAAATCGAGTCACGATCGGCAGCGCACATTGTCCGCCATTTCTTCTTCCTCTTCTTTCGCTGCCCTTTCGAGCCTCGGCCTGCGCTCTACCCCCTCTCCGCCGCGTACTCCGATCTCGTTCACATCACATTTCCCGCCCGCGGAGGCCGCTGCCAACCTTGAACAGATCCATCCGCTACTTCCTCCGCCATATCTGAACGCTCACTTAAGCGTATTGACGTATCGCAATCCTATTGCGGAAGCGTATGATAGGGTCATCCGTGCTAAGCAAGCACGGTAACCCGTGTCTCTTGGATTTCCTTGGGTAGATATCGGATGAGATTAAGCTTCAGCTTGCACAGGTACATATCTTCGTCCTGTGCACATCTTTCTAGTATTTGACTTACTGCCAAGCAGCCCTATATATGTAATTCTAGGCCGATAAGTTGCGGCACCAGGACCATCACGTCTTCCATGACACTTCTGTACTACATAGACTACTTTTTTTCTGCAAACAGCTTTATTACCTAACAGCTTGCAGGATGGGCGGTACCGCAAGCTCGGCATGCATCAATCAAGCTCAACTGCCCGCGTCAATGCCACATTGTCCGACCAAAACCGCATCGAAGACGCACGACATACACGCAATGTCTCACACTATTCATGCTACAACAGGTGGTGATGTTGACCGGGGACTAGTGGTATGTTGTCATCACGACTAACTTGAGATTGTGACTGCCAAGTTCCAGATCTATCACTGCACGGTCCCTTATCTCTGCTGCACTGCAGAACACCACGAGATATCGCCATGCCACTTTCTCACTCCCCCCGAGCATCTTGTGATCCTACGGCTCGCTTGGCTTCTTTAGTTCCCCGTTCGTTTCTGCTGTTTTGGGGAAAGCCTTTGGGGAACGCCCTCGCGTGGGACAGTCTTGGGTTTTGGGTCTTCTTCGCTTCTGACGCCCCGGTTTGTTGGCCACAAAGCCGGATGGGGACGAAGCACGCATCGTATTGTTACTCTGACGGCGTCGGTCTTACTCTGAATGCGACGGGGGCTCAGAAGGCTGGCACTGCTGTATGAATTCGAAGCGTCGCGTCCGAGGGTAGGAGATATTGCAATACGAACAAAATATTCATGGAAGTCATCTGCGCGTGGAATACCCTAGGTGTTCCCTGTACCCGCGCGGAAATATCGGCGTTCTCCAAGATCTTGAAACGCCGTGTCACAGACCCAAGGGTGGGTGGAAGGGTGAGTGTTGCCCGGCCAGCCTCGGCCGCAATCCATGTAACTCGACCGAAGGTCACAGGCTTCGCGTTGTCTTGATTTGCGCCAGAATCGTGTTGGTTGTCCTAGAGTCCTGGCTCAAAGTTAGGTGGAATCATAGTTCCCAGTGAAGTGTATTCCCTGTTATCAGGCAGCGCCCCCTTAGAGACCAGGCAATGTACACGGGGTGTCACCAGATTCGTACAATGCCGTACAGGGCGTCTGCCCCTGTGTCACCGGTGAAATCCACAGCGACTTACTCACCGAGCCGATGAGGCACTGTGAGGGCAATTGTGAGATATCAGTTGCACGTTCTCGAGCCGTATCACCTCTGACCTGCGCAGCACGGACCTTCGAGCCTGCTGGTCCCAGGAAGACCCTGGCGAAGTGGCGCGACTCGCTATAACACCCAGCTAGAACCGCCGTTTGATTCGGCTCACACCCACGTGCGGTTCTATCATTAGCGCAAACGCTTCCGTATGATGATGATCCACGTATGTAGCGCAGGTGCGACTCCAACTGCTCATCGTTTCGCTAAATGAACGTTACCGATAGCGCGTCCTATGACCGCAGCATCAGGCTGAAATGCGCAGTTATCAATCACACTGGGCAATCGAACTCAGACTCGTTACCCGTGACGCAGGCCGCATTCTCATTTGCGGGTCCAGGTCTGGTGCTGCTCAACAAGTCCGTCTGATAATATGACGTTTCCTCACAGGATGTGCTCTTATTGGAGGAGCGACCCGTTCGTCGGTCGACCGCACATGGATGAACCACAAGCCTGATCAGACCTCGGCATTCAAATTCGCCGTAGGAGCTGAGTTGCTCCAAGCATTTAGACATACTTCGTGCGTTCCCTCGTCTCGGAGCTTCATTGACACGCCGCTTGCACCGCGCCCGATCTGGCGGCGTGACGGCCTTCAATGCCTGTGCCCAGCCCCCGTCTCTGCGCCCCATTGGCCCATCGAAGCCGCGGAGGACGCCGTTATCTGTGTGTGTCGTTCTCGCAAGTTGCGCTCTAGCCCCGGCGTGACTGCCATGCGAGCGGGAAACGTCCAGGGAAGGACGTATTCAGTTTCAGCACCAGCACGGGAGCAGTGCGCCGCCCGGGTCACGCCCACCGTGACGGGTATGCGCTCGAGCATGAAGGGACAGTGCCCATTATTCCGCACAACTCTGCGCGTCGTTCACCCCGCTGCTCCACTGTCCGCGGTGGTCGAGGTTGAGGTGGCACTGGCATACCCATGTCTGCGTTCTGTGCGAGATGTATTAGGTGTTGTTAGTATTCCATTGAAGCGTTACACTTGCCCAAATGCCGTTTTCCTCTGCTATGTCTATGACGGATTGAAGCAGCCGTGTGAGTACTCGGGCACATGTCCATATCGCCTGAGATGTCGGTACCAGGGCCTTCCATTGATCCACAGCGACGTTGCGCACTAACCATGTTCTGGCCAATGGCCGCTGACGCACGTTGTTCATAGCGTCGCTGGGATGCAGCCCCAGGCAGGCCTTCCGGGACCTTCTGTGGCTCGCACAGACCAAACCCACCCTCGCGGATCTGCTCATGGACGGTTCTGGGCCGAATTGATGTCTGCCTGGGCTGTAGGTTGGTCGTCATTTTTCCCCAAAGGAGCCAACCTGCCCGTAACCCCGTCGTCAGCTGTTATGTATTGACGCTTACGGACCGTTGGTTGGGCACTGCGGAAGATATAACGCGAGTTGGGCTTGGCATAGAATTTGCGTCAAGACCTCGCTGTGTACACGGGCGATGTGTCCTCGAGGCGCAAAACCATGTTGGGTGAGAAACCATCGTCGATGCTTCATGTTGATACCGTGGATTGCCAAGGGCGTAATGTTTGGTTTCCTTAGCCGCCATCTCATCCACGTTGAGCAGGACCTATCACAGCCACTACGCGGCCGCCATGCAAGACGAAAGCAATGTATGTTCAGCCCTGACCATTGCTTAGCACGTCTGAGGACCAACCAGGCGCCGTCGGGTTGTCAGCAAATTTTTGTTGCTTGGACGACTCGGGTACCGCAGTCATTGTAGGAGGTCGTCGACGGTCCAACAAGAGATTTTTTGCTGCGCCCACTCGCCCTGGACAGCGGCGGCCACAGAGATAAGTACCACTAGTCTGAGATCTCGGGGATAGATCCGGATCACAGTAGTCTGTGGTTGTTCCCTTTGGAGGGTTGCCCCGTGGTAGATCGACATCAGCTGGATCGATCGCGCTCCAGTCGCTGAGTGGAGGTTGTGTTCCTGACATAATCTGTTGGTCGAAACCTCGACGACTCGTCCTACCGCCGGCTCAGTGGCTGCATCCAAGCCGTTTTTTTGTTTCCTCAGACGGCTGATGCGGCTGGACGAATTTCGGCAGTCTCTTGCGTCGCCGACGGATACCATTACGTGCTCAGTGCTGGCATCGCGGCTCACCATTTTGCCGTGGTAAGACGTGTTAGAACACGAATGCTACACTTGGTCTGGCAGACTGCTTGCGATTGTGTATGAGGGATCAGACCGCGGGGTGCATTCGTCGGTGCCTGAACACACGCGGTTGGCAAGCCCCGGGCGTGTATTTCGGGCGGCCTGCTCGCAGTGTAATGCGTTTCCGCGGGGTTGCGTCTGCGCCATCTATTGCTACCGCTCCTGATACCAATTAGCAGTGCTCCGACGATATGTGTATCCCGGCTAAACGTAAGATCCATATTGCCTGTCCGACCGGTCGACTGGCCGCTGCGGTGACAAGCAGCACGCGAAACTAGGACCCACATCGACGACGCAGGTTTCAGCGGTCTGCGTGAGAGCGGAGAACAGGAAGACATCAGAATGCGGCGGTCGCTGCGGCGGCATGCCGAAAGAGGTAACGATTGAGGCACGGGCTCGATGGAGCTGCCAATCAGGGCGGTGCAGAAGGGTGATGATTCCAAATAAGGCAAGTGTGGTGGTTTAGGCCGTTTAGCCGATGTTGTGGGTGAAACGGTCGCGAGGCGGGAGCGATGCGCCCTCTGACTGGTGACCGCTAGCCTCGCTTGTAGCGTCTGCCGCGCCCCCTGTCCGCTAGCGTGGCCCACTATCCACCGCAATAACAAGCTCCCTCCCGCAGCACCCGTCCCTCTGTACTCTCCCCAGCCTTTATTGGAGCCTTGCTCCCCGCCACGCTACTCATTTCTAATTACCCATGACGCGCGAATGGCCACCGTACCCTCCCCCGCGCGAAACCGATTTGGACAAAGCGGCGCGCATCGGGGAGGAGCGTGAAGCGAAGAAGATCAGGTATGCACCTCGTGCCCACGTAATCACTATTCTTCTCATTCAGCCTGCACCTGGTGTGACAGCGAAGAGATTGACCGCGCCATCGAACGCGACAAACAGGAACTACGAAAAAAGAAATTGCAGACGAGGATACTACTTTTAGGTACTCTCACCCGTACCGCCCGTCCTTGCGGCCTATTGACGCCACCGACAACAGGCCAGTCAGAGTCAGGGAAATCAACCCTACTCAAAAATTTTCAGCTTCGGTTTGCACCGAAAGCCTTCCATGCTGAGATTGACGCGTGGCGCGCAGTCATTCAGCTCAATCTCGTCCGCTCCGTCAACGTCGTCGTCGGGCTCCTCGCGCGCGCATGTCCCAATAAGATCGCCACTATAGCCATCTCCGTCTCGCCGGACTACCCGCGCCCAAAGGTCGACCTCCGCTGGCTCAAGATGCGACTCGCCCCGTTGCGCCAGGTCGAGCTCATTCTCAACCGCGTCCTAGGCGTGCAAGACCCCGTCGTGGACGACGATGCGGAACGTGAGTGGGATAGCGACCGCCTCTCCGAGGTGGCACTACGCTCGCGCACCGCGTGGCGGATGCTCACGCATTCCGGAAAGGAGCGCCCGGCGAGCCGCTTTTGGGATGACTTGCTCGACGCGCAGCGCATCCTAGACGCGTGCCGTGAGGACGTTGTCCAGATGTGTGTGGATCCGCTCGTCCAGGCTCTGTTAGCGGAGCATGGAATTGCGCTGACAGATGAGCCCGGCTTGTGCGTTTTTGCTCGCTATTCTCCAGACCGATACAGCCGTTAACGTCTATGCAGCTTCTTCCATGACGCTGACCGCATAGCAGCGATCGCATATGAGCCAACGTCAGGTGAACTATATCGTCTATATTCCCACCATTGTCAATATTCACGCGCCACACACAGAGGATATTCTCCGCGCACGAATACGTACCATCGGCGTCGAAGAACACCGGCTGGTTATGGAGTCGCGTGAGCATTACAGTTAATTTATCAGCGTTCACCTAACTCAGATGTCTGTCAGCACCAGCGGAAAAGGGCCGCGAGTGGGTATTCTACGACGTTGGCGGAGATCGGAGCCAGCGAGGTAAGTCACCCAATTGTGTTCACTGCAGAAGCTCACTCGAACGTAGCTGCGTGGGTGTCGTATTTTGAGGATGGTAAGGATGACTTTGGTGTGATGTCCAGACCGTCTGATTAGCGAGCTGTGCTGGTACAGTGAACGCGGTCATGTTTCTGTGCCCCATCTCAGGCTTCGACCAGGTCCTCTCGGAAGACAAGAACGTCAATAGGCTAGTCAGTAGACCTTGTACAAAATCTTTGCCCGTATACTCACTAGGTCCCGACTCGCCATTCAGATCGACTCGCTGAAGCTGTGGAAGACGATCTGCTCGAGCAAGCTGATGCAAGGCGCAACGTTCGTCTTGCTCCTCAACAAATGCGACATCCTGCGCGCCAAGCTGGAAGCCGGTACGCGCCCTTGTTTTCTCCCTTCCTTCACACGGCGTGTACTCACGGCGGCCGATCGTTCCATAGGCGTACGTTTCGCCGACCATGTGGAGCAGTACGGCGACCAGCCAAACGAGTTCGAGAGCGTGACGAAGTGTGCGTGGCCTCTCAATCTGATTTCGGCTCCCGCTGACACACCGCTGCCGGCGCACAGACATCACGAAAGTCATGGTGGCAATCCACAAGGACCTCTCGCCCAAAAAGCGCAAGGTGCATGTACACACGACCTGCGCTATCGTGCGTTTCTTATTTCTTCAGACGCCTAGAAGGTATAAGGCTGATTGATCATTCTGTACGCAGGACACGGACATGATGTCGGTCGTGCTCGAAAGTAGTAAGTCCTCCGCCACACTGCCATCCACAATCCGGTGTCTGACATCGGGTCGTGTTCCATAGTCAGAGATGTCATCCTCCTCAATACATTAGAGGAGACCCAGCTCATCGTCTGAGAAGACGCTCGCTTGCATGTGCATGTCTAGATGTCGGGCGCCGGCCGTCCACTCCTCTCATTGTTGTTCGCTATCGTTATGAGCCGATATATACTGTGCTTCCATATTAATCCGCTAATGTATTTAGGATCGTGTATAGTACTACCAACAATCTGCATGCTTATTGTTTCGTGTTGTAAGGATCAGGTGTGAAGGACGGACGTAAGGTGGCGGCTCGGCTCATATTCTGTCCATGCAATCCAAGTAGACAGCACGACCCTTGGAACTTCTTCGTTTTGCTGCAATCTAGGTGCCTACCGCCAACCCGAAATTCATGCGCAAACCTGCACAAAAATGAGCCCGATACTGACTACTGGGCGGTTTCACGCTGTTCATCTTTGATCTAACTCTCTCAAAAATAGAAATGACTCACTTTTTCCTGGCTCGTTCAGCTTTCGGAGCCACCCTCCCGTCGAACACGCAAGGCGCATCCCCGCGCTTCTCGCGCTTCCACTCATACTTTATCTGGACAGTCGTTAGCGAGATCGCGCAGAGTGTGCTGAACTCAGTCACATACCGCCTCATGCCAGACTTTTACAATGATCCGACCGTTTGGGCGTGGGTAGGTAACGTAAACATCCAAGCGCGACATGTCCTCCCAGGTGACCTGGAATGGGTCCCTGCCTGAGAGTGCCAGGATAGCGGCCACCTTCGTGTGGAGACGAGCAGGTGGAGCTGCAAGCCGGCTGATGCTCCATGCCCCCTTGCCTGCATCCCAACAGATTGCATCGTCAACGGCAGATCGGTATTCGTCGCTGGGCTCGTTGGGATATAGGCATTCAGAGCGTAGACAGTCATGCCTGAGGACAAGATGGTGGGGCACCAGGTCATTGCATTTGGTGCACGCGAAGAACGCGATCGCGGACGCGAGGATGTTTGTCTCTTCTGTCGGTTTCGCCAAGGGCTCGAGCAGGTCTGTCAGTTGCTGCTTTACGTCCGCACTCCAGCGTTTGCTGAGCACCGGCAGCAGCGCGCTGAGTGTCTTTTCAAGCTGCGCTGGTTGCATATCCGTCGGGTCTTCGATGAGGCGTTGCACCTCCAATATCACGACGACATCCTCGAAGCGCGGCTCGTAGTCGACCTTTGAGGACCACGCGGATTTAGACCATGGACCTCCGACGAGAGATCTCAGGCTTTTAAGCCGTTCGCGGAGCTTCTCCATACGTTGCAATTGAATCTCCTCATCCCGAATGTCTTGCACGATTGCGATGAGCTTGTGACTTATCTTGTTCCAGCCTGGATAGCACTGCGTGAGTGTTCTGCCTCACATCAGATACTCTCAGGCGTACCGCGCTCGGTGAGCCTCTGCTTTCCTCGCAGACACTTGACAAGAGGTTTATAGTCCATCAGGGAGAGATAATCTATTTCGCTTTTATAACCCATCTCCCACAGTTTGTCAAGTGCACTGAACAAAAAATCAGAGGCACTCTGCCAGGATCGCGACATATCAAACCTACAAATTGAGTCTGTCCTGCTTGATCTCATGTTGTTGAAGCATACTGACGTCGAGCCTCTCTTCAGCCCATTGATAGAATTTATATACGTGCTGAATGGCGAGTAAGCAATGATCAGCTGCGCCTGGTGAATGTAGCGTACCAGCCGGATATCCGTGACTCTCAGTTGCTCAGCCGAAAGCAGCCGCTCCTGGGCGGCTTGGTCCCCGTTGAGCGACTCCCATGCTTTCTGTTAGCTTCTCAATATCCGGCTTGTGAAGTCTTCTGCCTTGGCCATCGGAACAATCCTAGAATTCAATCATGATCAGGCTAGGCGCGCGGCAATGTTAAGATGTCAACCGTACAACTAGCACCCTACAAGTCTCCCCACGCGTCCGATCGCGCTCGCATATGAGCAGATGTTTAAGTGATGGGGGCAGCGAGTAGACATCTGCTGATATGGTCCTATAAGAAGATTGGTTGTCAGGATTACACGAGTCCATTCAGTCCGTTAGGCAAATAGAGCGCTCACATCAAAGTAGTGCACGATGGACAGTAACGAGCGCGGAACTGCCACAAGACGCGTGTGTTTGTGAATTTGAGACAGCGCTGATGGCATATACAGCTCAATATAGGTGTAGCTTTCTAGATGCTGCAGGCCGCGCAAGTCTCAGAACGCACATGGCAATGGTGGCTAAATGCCAAATTTGCGTATGAGGGTTCGCTGAGATCGGGTGGACAGTCCGGAAATGGCGGCTCAAAGGAGTTGCGGGCTTTCTTCCATATGAACGCGGAAGATCTGTTCATTAGAAACGACCTCAATGCTTTGTTCGATCTGGCGAGATGCAGCAGGTCTCGAGGCTTCAGATAACCAAAGATCTGAAAGATACAGTTGAAATCGATGTGAGTATTGGGACAGCATGAGCAGCAAGAGGGAAACATACTTCCTGTATGATATCAAGGGGCATGTTTGGTAAAGTCGCTAAGCTGCCACGGCGCCCTCGTAGTCGTGTTCTGCATGTGGTTGATGCTTTCCCTACATGGCTAGCAGGCTTTAAAAGCCCTGTCGATGAGATGTTACTGGTTCCTTGAGGCGGCATGGGAGGGGGATTGATTCGAGCACTGGGGAGGGGCGAAGTCGGACTGTATCAAGAAAAGCACTTGACTTTCCTGAGCCGCATCGTGCGCTTACCATAAAAGGACGGATGGTGCTCCCATCAAAACACCTCGTGTATGAATACGGCGATGTCACGGTTTTGTTTCCGATTCTGAAAAAGCTTTTGCTCCCTGGTATTTCTTATACAATTTACTTCTGCCAGTAGTCCAGGACGTTTTGACTTGCCTTTCCGGGTGTTTCCACTCTAACATGCTCCACCATTCAAGTCACTTTGAACGCTCGACCGGCTTCGGTGCCGCGCCTGCGCAGTTATTTGCATTGCCTCCACAGATATTATAAAAGACCTCAGTGAACGACCAGCAATCAACAATCTACAGACATTATGGAGTCTAAGACAAAGGTAATCATTGCAGGAGCTGGCATTGCCGGCCCCGTACTGGCGATCTTCCTCAAGCTCAAAGGCTACGAGCCCGTGGTGTACGAGAGGACTCTCTCTGTCCCAAACGCTGGCCTAAGCCTCTGGTATGTCTGCTCACCGTATACCCACTATTGGAAACCAGACTGACAATCTCTATGGCTGGCAGTTTGCAGCCCAACGGTCTGCGCGTACTGTCGCTCATTCCGGGTTTCGTCGACAAGCTCGTCGGCAAGCAAATCAGTAAAGTTGTACATTATTCCCTCCTTCCTGAGGAGGAGGCTGTTCTTGCCGAGTCTGGGCTTGTTTCGAAGCTGCCCGAGACAGTCGGGTTCGGTCTGTTCGGTATCCGCAGACCGAAATTCCACCGCCAAATTATTGAGGAGGCGGAAGCCCACGGCATCAGGATCGTATGGGGGCACCAAGCAGTAGGCTTCGAACAGAGCGAGGACCACGTCAAGGTCACCTTCGCAAACGGCAACACGGATACAGCGAGTTTTGTTATTGGCTGCGATGGCTTGCACAGCAACACTCGTATCAGCCTCTTTGGCAAGGAGCCGGTCAGCTTCACAGGGCTTACCCAGGTTAGAATTCGAGCATCCTGGATGTGGATGTAGGTGTAACACTCACCACTGATATGACAATAGACGGGCGGCGTCTCCCCCGCGCCAGATGCACGGAGGGACTACGGCATGCGTAACTTCTATGCCGATGGGGCGCACATGATCCTGTATCCTGTAAACGACAGTGAGATCTCTTGGGCGTGCGTCAATTCATGCACAGCTCAACTTGATTTGCTCACAAGCTGAACAGCATTACCCAACGCGAGCCTGAAACAAAAGAGACATGGGGTCACATGGACGAGGAAGCTCAGAGGGCATTCAAGGAAGGCCCCTGGTCGCAGTGGTCGTTCGGCGCAGGCGAACTGGTCCGGTCGTGCGATAGGATCGTCAAGGTAAGCTATGCGGCACCAACACGCGCGCTTTGACTGACGGGGACCGGTAACGATAGTTCGGTCTATATGATCGCCCCGAGTTGTCAGTATGGCACAAGGGCCGCGTCGTTCTGCTTGGAGACGCCGCACACCCCACTAGTCCGGTATGTCTTACTTGTATCGTCGTTCGAGGTGTTTGGGCTGACTTGTCGCATCCACAGCATCTCGGACAAGGCGCCAACCAAGCGTTCGAAGACGTCTACCATCTTGTCCGCCTGTTGAAGAAGCACAACCCGTCAGCGAGTGCGCCATCCACTGAGCTTCTTTCCACAATCTTCACAGAGTACGAGAGTCTACGCATGGCGCGGACGTCCGCGCTAGTGAAGGGTGCACGCAAGCAAGGAGAAGCTCGCGTCGTTGAAGGAGTGGAGGCGTGCAAAGCGAGGAACAACAGTATCCGCGAGGCCTGGAGAGACGGGGATGCCATAACCGCCGGCTACATGGAACTATACTCTCACCCATTCTTGGAGAAGAGTGACATTTAGACGGCCTGCCTGTTTCGTCCATAAAAGTTGTTGTGTGGATGACGGACCAAGCGGCGATTCGAGGATTAATTCAGTCTCTGATAAGATCACCGGCCACCAAATGTTAGGACTTGTGGTCCATGGCTGATATGCCCTTCATGAATTGTGGTCGGGCAGCGCTCACAGTCTGATCATGACTTCGGGGCAGGACCACAATGCGCCGAAGTGTTCATCGCAATAAGGATGAAATACCGGGGGAGGGAGGGAGGTTTCAAAAGGAGAAGGGTGTGATGATGTTCGGTGCGCTCGGCGCCTCTGCCATGAAAGCCACTCGGCGCACATGTATATTAGCCGGAACGCCCTATGTGCGGACCTCGAGACGGCTTTCTTGAAACGGCCGCGAACTGGCATGCGGACCTGTGGAGAAGGATCTCGGTCATCAAGTGCACACTTTGAATTACGTCCCACTCGAGTCCACCCACCGCAGTCAATCAGTGTAAAGATGTGCGCTTTCCCTGGACCACTTACTCACCGCTAGGGCCACACTGCGATCGGAGCATACCAAGACGCCCTATAAGCTTCGTTATAGGTTGCCGGATCCGGTAAATTCCAACTGAGACGTTATCTCATTGAGCTATGAATGACAAACATCATCACGGACAGAATCATTACGAGTAAAAGGCCAGGCAATATGTAATTTAGTAGTGTAACATACGCGACCCACCTCGATCAGAGGTCACATTACAATCGACGATGAAGGCTTTTCAGCGGGAACATATGATGACACTGCGTGGGTATCTCGAGAGGCAGGCGCAAAAGCCCAAGATCATGACTTGCGTTTCACATCGTTCTGAGACTTCTCCAACAAGTCCCGGGCATTCTTGCCCTTCTCTTCTAGCACTTTCACAATGTCCTCGTACGCCTCCTTCGTCAGTTTCTTGGCGTCGTCGCCGCGATCTTGGGCGAGCTGCATGAGTGCACTCATGGATGGTGCCTGTTTCAGCATCTAAAAATGCGTCCGTTCAAATACAACAAAGTCCAACGTATTTGCGAAGATGGTAACTCACCTCCTCACCTCCGGGCATCGCCTTGGCCCAGTCCTGCAACACTTGCAAACCATGCTCGACTCCGCCCGAGCCCTGCCCCTGCACGTCATGCGCCTTTTTCTCGACAAACTCCCGCAGCTCCTTCATCTTCTGATCATTTCCAGCTGTACCCCCCTCCGCGGCGTCCTTCACTTTCGCGAAGACTTCCTGCACGACTTTGCTCTGGGACACGCCAGCCGCCATGAAGCTGGACGCGTTGTCCTCGATGAGCTTCTTGATTTCAGGCACCTTGTCAAGGTACGGCTGCGCCTGTTTCACAGCCTCGTTCCATGCGCCTTGGCCAGACGACTGCGCGAGTTTGCGAGCTTCAGAAACCTTCGAACTCACGAGTTTCTGTGCTTGACTTAGGCTATCGGGACTAAAGCCTTTCTCGAAGATATCCTTGACCTACGTGCGCGTCAGTATAGATAGTCAAGGTGACTATATGCGCCCTACCTGACTCAAGGTATCGTCTAATATCTTCTTCGCTTTTGGGCCGCTTTTTTCAGCCATATCCTTTAACTCTTCGTAGCTCCCTCCAAGCTTCTCCTTGATCTCCGGGTGCTTCTCGCTGAGCGTCTTGAATACGTCCTGCCCCACTTTCTTACCTACTTCCTCCAGTTCGCTCATTCTTTTGCGAAGCACTCCCATGACCTTCATCCCAGTCTCTACGCTCACGCCATTGCCACTCTCCTGAATAATCTTGTGGATATCGTCATAGCCTTCCTGCAGAACACGGTTGACGTCATCGCCGTGAGTCTTATGCAGTTGGTCCAATGTATCGAAGGTCGAGTCAATATATGACGAAGCTCCAGGGATCAGACCAGCGTATGACTTCGTGGTTTTTCGGAGGAACTCTATGACTTCATTCGGGTTCTTGGGAGCATTCTCCGCGATAGCGCGCTTAGTCTCCTGGTAGTAGTTCGCCGCTGCCTTGGATGCGTCTACGGCAGTCTTGGCACCAGAGAAATGATACCACGCATACACTGTATGAGTAGGGTTGAGTTTGATATATGCTCAACATTTAGACATATATGTGCGTTACTTACCACCCACGAGGACCACGACTCCTCCTGTGGCACCAGCCGCTACCTGAGAAACAGCCGTCGAAGAACCGCTCGCTGTGGACTGAAATCTATGCAGCCTCAGCGCCTTGGGAAACGCAGACGCGTGGGAAACTGTGGGACGCGTCCCAAAGGTTCTTCCGGTCGCTCTCGCGCCCTTAACCGATGCAAACATGTCGACTCGGACTTGTGCTAGAGTTGTGGAGGATTGCGACCAGGGGAGATGTGGGACGGAAGAAGCGAGAGATGAGCTTCCATTGTAAGGGATGGTGTTTATATATGTGAGGACTGAAGTGTCAACAGAGGGATGCCCCGTGAGGTGAGGGAGGCGCAGAACGATTTGCTGCCGCTGCGATGACGTATGTGATGCTTATGGGGCAAGCGCCCTGCCCGATATGGAATGCCCTCTGTTCTTGATGGCACACAAGACATAGGCTGGATCTCCTTAATATGCATCCTTCAGTAGGATGATATGATCAGATGCAGCATAACTGAACTATTCTCGAGGTCAGAAATGCGAAACTCGTTATATAGCCTTGCGCCACAAGCCTCAGCTCGCTAGTTTGCAGGACTGTTCAAGGTCGGAACTATTGTTGATTCACTACATCAATCATCCTAGTTTGGTGTATGTGTAATGCATAGTAGTATCACGGATAAGGGCAGCATAAAGATTTGGGACATTCAAATTTACATGATCTTTCTGCGGTTTGTAACATAGGAAGGGTCGGGTCTGCTGAGCTATCGTGACGCTGAGTGTTGATCTCTACGGTGAGCTCAGGAGGTCACACTGGGAGTTGTAAAGCCTGGAGAGCCTCTTTGGCCGCGGCTTCTTTAGCAGCATCTTGATTGGGTCCCGTTCCTCTTCCGTGTTCAACACCGTTCACTAAGACCACGAAGCACGTCAATCAGCGCTATACCAGCAAGGCAGAACAAATAGACTTGCGAGTAGCAACGGCAGTCCATTCTCGGTTGTGTCGCGGACCGGTGAATGACATCTCATAGGAGAGAGAGCTGGTGGGACGGCCATGCTCCTGCAGCCAGTTGTTGAGTTGCATCCTCCAATGATCTATGCATAAATCGTTAGTTCGTTACTGGAGTTGCTAGACAGCTATCTGGCCCATGTTCTCCCTCACCTTGACTCATATTGTTATCGTGACTGCGATGTAGACTGGTGATTGCGAGAGATACTTGAGTAGATGCTTATTCCTGACACTGTCTCCCGTTCTTATACACGGTGGTGAACGCCCCGCAATCATCATGGTCGCCGACTGTCTTCTAGGACTTCACCAGTGGTCGGGAGCGACCAAGGCTAGATTGCCGTAGTAGACGAAGCTTTCTGGCCGCTGAACTCATTGGGTGCCGCTTCAAAGCTGTCTCTCCCGCGCATTCAGTCGAACTCCATAGGATATCGCAGTAGATGGGACTCACATATACAGAAGATACACTTAGGCGGTCTCCATGAGTACATCCGGGGTAATGAAGAGACCGTTAGCCAGAAGATGGTAGAAGTGAGAAGGCGAAGTCAATGTGCGGAGGATGGAGGACTAACCCAGCATGCGCTAGAGAGCCTCTAGCGAAGGCGCACACGGAGGGGCCCCTAAGGAACATACACCACGGTCAAATATCGGCCCTTCCTCCGACGGTGTCCGAGTATAGCACGCCTACTGCGAACTAGCTGAGTAAGAGCACGGTGTGCCAGGGAGCATCACACGTCACATCAGGACTAGTTTGTTTTTGCTCTCATATTGGTACTAACGCGGTCTGGACAGCGTCAGTTTCCTCATCATTCCATCGTAAGGCCAAGTATCCTAGGAATCGCAAATGAGAGCGGGCCACGGAGCCCCGCAAAATACATACCCCTTTGACCAACTTGCCGACCAAGTTCAAGTCACCATAAAAGGAGAACTGGCAGGGGGTCAGACACGACACACCATAGGACTTTACGCATGAAGCGCGCCCGAGAGCTCTCACCGGAAGTGCGTGTGGTAATCATTTTGACGCTGACCACATTTAATGTGGAATTTGGAATTCATGTCAGCAGCGCGTTGCACTCCGCTAGTCTGGAGCGTGCACATATAGAATACATACTCTTGTATGGATTGATAGAGCGTAGGCAAAGTTCTGCGCGAATTGATTTGGGGGCGCATGCGGCCACCCGTCGGTGTAGATGACAGCGTCTTCTTGAGCATGTCTGGAGCAGCTGCTCGCTTACTTCAATTGTTCCCGGGCATAGGGAACGTTTCATCAAGCCATCCATATGACAGGAATGTCGAGGTTTCTAAAAGGAAGAAGCAGCCGCAAAGTTCACGGAGAGCGATAGCCAACGCTGGCGCCTGTGTGATCACTGCTGTGCGGCTACTGTGGATTGAATGTTCCATCGGCCTGTGTGAGGTTCCGCGCACTAGATACAAAGATGTGTGACCCTATTGAGCCGCAATCCAAACTAAAAATACTCATCCGTGACTTGAACGGGGTTCGTTGAAGAACTCCGGAATATGTCATGCAGATATGCGTTAATCTACTGATAGCAGACTCTGTCGCTGTATGAACCGGGTATGTGCGAGGTCAACATGAATAAAACCATGGTATATGAGTGACACATTTCGAAACCCAAGGCAGGCGCTCGACTGGGGAAACGAAGTCGGAGTGGCGAGTCGATCGATCACTGTCACGGGGCGTAGTCAGATCCGATCAACGCTGGGGTTATGTATATTTTCTAGGAGCCAAGACCGAATACCGTGAGTCTACTTGATTGCCCTCTAATTCGAGGCGTTAAAAATGTTTAAGTATGCAGACGAGAATCAAATAAGAGATCATTGTACCCGCGTCGTGGTGGTAGGGTTACAAACGAAGTATAGTACCTCGCGCGTAACTAGATGTACGATCGCTATTTAATCAGATCGAATCTACCGTCTGCTCAAACCCCAAAATAGTCATGTCGCTGAGCCAAGTTGCAGCAGCCAAAGCCCGCAACGAAGCAATTATGCTATGTGTAGTATTCAGCAGCTGTGATGTAAAATGCGCATTTGATCATCGCAATTGGCAACATCCGAACCTTTCCCCCTCACTATGGTTCCCCCGTTACCTTTGACCACGAGCAAAAGACTGTCGACAGGGATATTGCTGAACGCAGTATCCTCATAAAGAACATGCTCGAGGACATTTGCGAAAGCGAACAGCCCATTCCTCCTCCTGGAAGGGAAAGGAATATGCTGGTCACTCTCATCGAGTGTCACCATGGAGGTCCTTAGCGCTTCCAGGAGGAGAGCCAGAAGCGGACCACCAACATCACTCAATGGGACCAGAGTATCTTCTCATTTGACCAGGAGGTACTTTCTGCGGTCATCCTCGCGGTAAACTATCTGGGCATACAGCTTCTCCTCGATCATGTTGGCGGTAGGATTGTGACAAACACGATTAAGAGCTAGACTTCTGGAGGAATACGCGAGCTCTCCAAAGAGGAGCTTGTGGAACAGTTAGTTGTCAAGATGAGGTCATTATCACCATGACTTGAATTCCAGAGCCGGAAGCTATATATAGAATATGTTTCAATACATGAGAATTTAGGGGCGGGGTACCCTCTGCAAGACGCGTCACGAATCTCGGGCCATCTCAGAGGCAAGGTAATATGTAACGCCTTTCTGGATCAATGCGGATAGACGGGGGGAAGGAGGTAGTGAGCATAGAAGTAGTATGAGAGCCATGATCCGCATGAGTACAGAATGATATCAGGTACCGACATGGTCAGGTCAGAGCATCAAGGGCCTTCTGAGCCGCAACTTCTTTGGCTGCACCTTGACTGGGTCCCGTCCCACGTCCATATTCTACACCGTTTACTAAGAAGGCGATGAGGAAAGGCGGTCAGTACTATACCAGCTGGGTACGATTATTGAATTCACTATAAGCGACCGCAGTCCACACTGCGTTGTGTCGTTGACCACTCGGCGAGGTATTCCATGTGAGAAGGTCGGTAGAGCGGTACCGATTCTGCAACCAATTGTTGAGCTGCATACGCCAGTGCTCTGTACACGAATCGTTAACTGGGTGTTGAACATGTAAGACAACCAGGGTCCGACTCACGACTCTCCTGGCCTTCACTCATACTGTACTTGTTGGATCTATTGCTGGGTGCAAAAATAGGCGGAAGTAACGGATAATGAGCATCGCTGGACCCAATCTCTCGTCTTTATACACAGCGATGGAAATTCTGCAATCATCATGTTCACCGGCCGTTGTAAAGAACTCATTCATGGTTGGTGCACGTCCGACATCAAGTTGCCGTACTGGATAGCTTGTTGGCAACCGATGATGAACACCGCTTCAAAGCCGTCTTCGCCATTCATGCAATAGGATTCCTGAGCATGTTGCGGTAGACGCAACACGGCGTCTTGTGGGCAGAGCTCGAATACGTAGGAGGTCCACTTGGGCTGCTTCTGTGGTCGACATCGGAATTGACATAGAAGCCGTTGACAGGAAGAGGTAGAGTGGGGTGAGAGGGTGAAGAAGAAAAGATAGAAGCCTCACTCGACATGCTCCGAGACCTCATGCGCGCGCGCAAGAGCCCAGGAAATATGCTCCACTGCTGCGCTATCCCGCAAGGATGTCCGGGCCAAGCCCGGAGCCCGCAACGTGGTTGAGCAAGCGAGCGGCGGAACATGGAGTGCCAAACGCCGCACCCATGTTCTGCCACAGCGAGTCTCATCGAAGGTAAGTAGGATCCGACGGTCGTGTTGGTGCCAACCCACTCCGAGCCAGAGACTTCGGTAATCTGTCGTCAGACCACCTATTCCAGGGGGTTTCAATAAAGCGTACCACTAAACTGGAGGAGATGCGGCGGGCGTCCTACGGTCAATTTGTCATGAGAGGTTGGCGAGCGTAGCGTCTGCGACGGTAATCACCATGGAAATCTCCGCTGGAGACGCACGACAGCTCTCCTGGAGCATATGTGTGGCGATATCAATACCGGATCTGTGTAGCATGTAGAAATTTCAGGTTAGCGTGTCGTCCTGCAACGAGTTCGGGGGTACATTCCGCTATTGAGGAGCATTCATAGAGTACCAGTTAGCTGGTCTACACGTACACCATTCCATGAAGAAGTAAGACCACGAGTATTTTCAGCGTGCACTGGGCTGGTAGCATGTCCGGCCATCTAGCGCAGTAGGCGATGGCGTCGTCCTGATGTCATTGGTTATTCGGAACATGGGGATGCGTGCAGACGCTTGCGGAGCCTCAATCGCCTCGGAGAAGGGCAGGCACTCTGATTAAACCACACGTTTGATAGGTACGTCAAGAGTGCCACAAGGAAGGAGCCACCGCAATTGAAGTTATCGGAGAGTCAATAGTGACGCCTGTGTCAACATCGCTGCGCGGCTAGTGCGGTTCATATGCTTGGCAGGGCTCGCGCTGTAGTTATGTAAACATATCACCGGCTTTGATCTAAATTTATACTCACCTTACCCACACAAGACCTGGATGGGATTTGTTGAGGTTATACATACTCACAGGTGCGCGTTAACGTAATAGACTTCCTCCAAATACCGAACCCCAGTATCGGCGAGGTCACAATGCTGATCAGCACTGATGTATCGGTGACCGAGGGCAGCTACCATCAATGTCTCAGGACTGTGATACCTTGCATCGAAAGGACGGAGAGGAGACAAGAGAAGGCTGGATGTCGAATTACAACCGATGTCGCGTTGGCGAGTCGATCGATCACAGTCAGATCTCCGATCGGGTTCGTGTAGCGACGTACTTAGCCATACGTACTTACAAGCGGACACCACATGTTGCTAACATTTAGCAAGCGGTCTGTAGACGAAAAATCGGAGCTTATGTGAAGTCGGAGACTGAATTGAAGGTCGAGTCCTGTCAAATGTTCATTCTCTGTGATAAGGTAAACGATAGGGCAGTCGAGACTTGTAATGGGATGGTTCTACTACACACGTCCTTCAGCGGCGGTGATGTAAAGTGTACGAACGTTGACAGAGGCCACGCGGAGCATATCGGCTAGGAGTCATGATTGCTAGAAATGTGTACGTTACATGGACAGTACTAGTCGGTGGAATGCAAGTGATTAATTTCTCATAGACAACTACACAAAGCGATAATCAGAGAGGGAGACTCTCATCTGGGTTCAAGAAGTTGACCTTAATTCCCAGACTGAAGAGAAAGTGAGATTGAGGGTATGGTGAACAAGGGCGGCAATTTTGAACGCTCACAATCCTTGCAGCTTATGTCAGTTGAGGCCCGGATGCTCCAGCCTCAGCCGGTCAAGGACTTGCTTTGCAGCTTCCTCTTCCGCATCAGCCTTGCTCGTACCCTGTCCTGTTCCATATTGAACGCCGTTTACTGATGAAGAAATGAAGCTGTCAAGAAGCTATTGGTAGGAATGCTCAGGGAACGCACTGTATGCGACCGCCGTGAAACCTTGATGACGATGGCCAATAGGATCACCCTTAGTCAATTTTCCCAACGCGGAGTTGCGCTGCAGCAAATTATTCAACTCCATTCTGTATTCTGATATGCATATTAGGCTGAGATGTGCTTTAACAGACGAGTAAACATACCGGGCATCGTGACTTGCAATATAGCGAGCTACTGGATAACTGAGCGGTCGGGTAGTGTGAGCTTGACGACCTGACATGCTTGGAACCTCTTTGTTTAAAAGGTGCGCTGTGAAGCTGCCAGGCCATCTTTTAGGAAAGCGGCCCCATTCCGCGCACAGCGCAAGAGCAGAACGACCCGGATGCACCGTAAGAATTGCGCGGCCCGGTATCTCAAGGCTAACCTCCCAGACATTGTGGACAGATAAATGAGAATGTATTGGACACGGCGCTGTAACAGCCACCCAGTCATACATAGAGCGGCAGAGGGTGTAGCAGTTGGAGCAGCACCTATTGCAGTGTCCGCTTCGAGCGCATGTCTCTCGATTGAAGTATGCCGGCAGGATGTGCTAAAAGAGACAACGCCGTTGAGGGCCAGCCATTTCCGAAGGTAGTTACGTTCTAGAGGCGCAAAGCTACGAACGCAGACTGATAGCACCAAGGACACAGTGAACCTTCGAAGCCTGTATTAACCGGGCGCTCCTGGAACGTAGTGGTCGTTCGAATTAAGTGGCCAATCTTGGATCTTCCAGAAAGATGGAGCGACTGAGAGGACTTTAGATAGCCGAGGAGACGCCTGCGAGTGTTAGCTGTACGGACCCCTGAATGTCATTTTGATTGACATGGAAGGGAATATTCGAAATGGTTGCCAGCAACGCATTGAGTTTTGGAGACTGGAAGGGTTGAATAATGCTAAGCCTCTCGATGCATTCGGCGGCTTATCCCCCGAGATCCGTGTGGTGTTCGAGAAAGCTTGCGATGCTTTGCTGTCGAAATACAGCCTGACGACGTAGACCAATTCATAGGCGATAGCCGTCTCACCACAGACATCGTTTCCGCATCACAGGTTGGCGATCAGAGGCAGGTGTAATGTGGCTAAGGTTAAGACACACATGAAACGAAGGGCGCCTTTTTGCAGAATGATTCAGCGTTGAGATCCGGAGGCGAGCTAGAGCAGACTGTGACGCTGCGAGCTGAAAGCCGACCAGATTTCTAATAGCCGGCACGCATGGGGGCCGTCTGCCAGTGTACGCTCCATACTGATATCTTATCTGGATTTCTATGACATATAACTGACGTGGCAGCAGCACGATTAGGACATTGGGACGTGAGGATGTGCATACCGAGTGGCGCAATGTCATCGAGCGTTGGGATGAGAGCCAGCTAATCTTCGCGCGCAGTTGTTCGAATGTCCAATATGGCCGTCCGTCCAGCCGACAAAGTGAGGTTTTCTTAAGTGAAAGATAGTGACCGCCGGAGAGCAAGTTAGCGAGAGACGCCACGAAGCTATTGAGGTTGTATATTACCAACAGAATATTCGCGTGGCAAGAGATGATACACCGCAATGGTCCCCATCTGAATCACCTCACCACAAGCAGACAGTGAGCCAGCTTCGTGACTCACAACGTCGAGCACTTGAAGTTCGCGATACTTAGGAACCGCAGGTACTAACAGATCAGATTGCAATTCATGATACCTACGCCGTATAGAGTTTACACCCGTAAATAAATAAAAACTCATGATAGATCGAATTGGGTCAGTCCAGTTCGATGCACGACCCATGTGACCGTCACGCGTCGCGACCGGACGAGTTGGGAGCCGCCGAGCCTGCCGCACACAAGACGCGTCCTCCCGGCAAGTCTTCATTAACTACTCCTTCGATCCTGGTCTGTCGGACGTAAAATGCTCATTCTCGGGGCATTCGCGGTGTGCGATTCGATACGCTGAGGTACAGAAACGGGGGACGTCGACCGGTCTACTCTTCGCACGCCCCCTCGAACAGCCACGCTAGCCACCATACAACATAACCCCCACATGCAGGGAATACCGCTCGCTCGCCGTCATGCTGCAGGCCATCTTTTGCGTCTGAAGTCCTCCAATCGTTTACTTCCCTCTGCTACGTTGAAAGAACCTAGCCGCGCCTTCACCGATGAACGCAATACTTCTTCGTCATTCAACACTGTTGCTGTCGGTGCTGCTGGAGGAGTGATAATACTCTTCGGAGGAGGTGTGCAGTCTTCTCAGATTTCAGTGCGACGCTGACTTGTCGTGACCCCATAGGATATGCCTTCTATCATTTTTCAGGCATCAAGCGAGTCGTCGACGCATACCACGGGGCCAAAGCCTACTATCAGAACAAGAAAGCTGCGACCTCAGAGAAGGCGCAACGCTTCAAAGAGCGCTTCATCCGCTCCCAGTCATCCACTGAGCCACATAGTGAATCAGTCGCTATGGCCAAGGAGAATGGAACTCTCTTCTCGAGGATACCCAGACGAGGAGATGCGCACGAAGGTGCTACAGCTGGCGGCGTAGATGAGCCCAAGTCGCAGACCGCTTCTACAGACAATGTGAAAGAACAGCGGAAGAAGTTACGAGACCTGCGCAAATCCGGAGCCTCGGGCTCTAGTGAGTTAGTATTGCGTCATGTGTCGTGCCCCTTTTGGGCGAAGGTGAGAATGCACGCTGAACTACACGCTTCGTAGGGAGGCGTAGACGATGGTCGAGACGTAGATGAAAGCTCTATTCCGCCCGGGCCGGGCAATTGCCATCGTCTCCATGCTCCAGCAACCACTTCCATTCCATGCGTTTGCAGCGTCTGCTCTACTCCGTGTCTTGTGACAAATATCGCACCACATTTTGTCACTTATGTTGTCGACCTTGCTATCCTTCTGTGCTCGTACATGCTCTTACCGCTGTGTGTATTTAATTTCTTGTATTCGGTGGTCATCTTCGCCAAGACACGATATCGGCGATGCAATTCGCTACTCGTCCATCTTTGTGCTCTCTCGCATCAAAAATGGAGCAATTGACGAGTATACTAGTACTATGACATACTGGGTAGTCGGCAGACCCCCCAAGTTGACAGGCGTGACCTACCTCCAATCAAAGAGCAGGATTCCCCGGAATTTCTCGGGCTGTTCGCAGTCCGATCAATAGTTTTGGCTCCTGGGCCAATCAGGCAAGGGGTGCCGACTTGGGGGGTCTGCCGACTACCCAGTATGCCACAGTAGCAGTGGCATGGCTACGCAGGGAACCACGCAGTCATGCTTGTAATCACTGTCAATCCGATGGCGTACAATCAATCACGAACACATGTATTCTTCAAAGGTAATCAACGGCGGTTTGCTGCGTTCTCGTCGTGGCTAGCTAAGCTACTGCTCAATCCGCCTGGTGGTAGATTCACATCGGGTACGGCGTGAATTTACTTGTATGATTGACGGGCCAACATTCGAATTGACCAAAGCATATGCGAGGGCACAGGTATGACTCGCTGCATTAGATTGACAGATGGTGAAAGGGTGGCCTCTGAAGGGTGCCCTCCTGTGCTCGACATGTTCAAGAGAGCACAGCATCTACTACTGTTGCTCTTGATCAAACCTCTCCTGGAGGGCAGCGAGTGCTCTCTCGGCGGCTTGGTCCTTCGCAGCATTCTTCTTTGTGCTCGTGCCTCTGCCATACTCTATACTGCGAACTGCCGTTGGGATGCACAATAGGCGCGTTAAACCAAGGCGGCATATTTGAGCGTCCTACTCACAATACACAATGACCACCCATGTAGCTGCATGCCGGGGCCCAGTCAAGAGTTCTTCCGACGTCAGGTCGTCGGCCCGACCGAACCGTCCTTGGACCCAGTTATTGAGTGTCATTCGCGGATCTGAGTATCAGTGTGAGTAAAATGCAGTCAATATAGACGGAATGACACGAACGCGTGTCTTCGTCGCTCATACCGACAGTCTGGAGTTGAGCAGGAATGGGACTTGTCGAGCTGTTCATGCTTCATTTTAACGAGGTGCTGGTGCTTGTATTCCTGCGCTGATGCAAAGCACACGGTGAGTTTCATAAGCTCAAATGACCTACTCACGCAGGGGCATATTCAAATGTTGGGGGCCAGCATGAAAGCAACGGGCAGTCCACCGTGCAGCCGAGCGCAACTGATTTAGGCTGCAAGCATGTGGGGCTGCCGAGGCGGGAATGTCGTTGATAGCTCCGTCCCTGACAGCCATAATCCGGGAGCTGAGCTGACAAGTCGATAACGGCGTTTCATCTTTGACAGATTGAGTATGGAGACCTTCGGCGGGTGCGCGAGTCGTGCAGAGCATTGATTAGGAAACCGCACAAAGAGCAAAAGCGAGACATACCTTCTAGATACATCCTCCTCGCCGAGGCCGGGTCGCGTTGACCACACAGAGGGGCGTTCGTTCAGCGACAGAAAACCACGTCTTTTCGTTGTACGACTTGCGTCAACGCGGAGATTGAGCCACACGAGACGCTGACGGAAGGTCCGGTAAAATAGTAGTATAGGGCGCGGTTGTAGTTGGTTAGCTCCAAAGCCCAGGCCCCCAATTGCCTTGGCGATTTACACGGTAGGACCGCATTGCAAGGTGTGCTCAATTATAACCTGATAGCGCTGCCCATGTGTGATCAAATTGTGGTTCTCTGACGCCTGAAATTACCCACCGGCGCGCTCTTGTAACGCTCGCATAAGGACGTCTCTTCCCTTCGAATAGTTGCCGGTTACTATGCGAGGGTCAATGGAGAGCGTAGAGCCGCAATCCGCGAAGAGATGATATCTGCATGCGAGCTATCCGCGATGAATCGTATTCAAAGGAGTCCTAATGCTTCTGCTGTTGGCACTGGGATGTCAACTGCATTCACCCAACCGTGCAGCTTTGTCTGATGTCCGAGAAAATCCAGCGCTAAGGCTAGATATGCGCGCAGAGATGGAAAGTAGAATGGGACGTCCAGGAAGTAACACGAGCCGAGCCTCCCAAATATAATCACAAGTCGGCCGGGCTACTTTCTAACTATTATCGGCTCGTTAGTGCCGTTGTGCATTGCGACTAGAATTTTTTGGCGAGACGAAAACATTTATGCCTGCGTTGACCTGAGCAAGTGCGGCATAATGCCACTGGATTGAGATATGATATTGCGCAGCGGAACTCGTGTAAATTAACAGGGCAAAGGACTCGCCGTCTATAGAGTACGAGCGGGTGATAACTGGCCTACGACACGAATGCTATGGCATCCGAGGAGGTTTGGCGTATTTTTGGGAACTAACTCAGCAGAGCAGCCAGGCAGAGAAGGAAGTACAGTTTAAGCGCCCATTCTTCATCCCGCTGTTCCGAATCCATATATGGAGGTTTCCATTTTTATGGGCCCCCACACGTGGCGCCCGAGCGCGGTGCTCCTCTTGATGTGTCGCAACGACTCGAACTATGTGGATGGCTATCTCCTTCGTCAATGCATTCCGATGCAACATTCATCAAAATGCAGGACCGCCGATCTAGGCTAGAGGAATTCCGAATTCGGTACAACCAATCATGATTAGAATAGCATGGTGGGCGGTCCCCCGAACGCTGCGCATAGTATCTTGTCATGACCGAGGCCGAGATGATCAGCGGAAATCTTGCAGGAACGTGAGGTCGCCTGGCTCGCATCACATCCTGGTATGCAGGAGGCCACATTCCTACACGTGATGTCCTGCCCTGAACCGCTTTTTGCTACATCTCTGCAGCAACAAGGACTGTGCCCTTCCTTACAGTTACCTGATCAATCGATACGCGAGTGTGCTATAATGAGCTACGTGCATCTAAATTTAAGCTGGCGATTCCGGACATACCAGGTGCATGCTACACCAAGACGTGTACTATCGGCAAACAGCCTGCGAAACTATTACGTCTCCGTGCCTCCTGACCATAAGGCGTGCAGCATCACGGTCGCCTCGTGTACTACTGTGGACCCACATTACCATCGATATGAGACACGCGACCTTCGCCTGCTTTCTTCATACGGCAATCGAGCCTGGTGAAACGAACTTTACGTGCCTGCTTTGCCCACTCGAAAGAAACTCGCGGCTATACTCCAAACCAGAGAACAACAACGCCTGAATATAACCCCTGTAAGTCCTATCGAGCTCATGCTTCAAAGAGAATGTACAGAACCGTGCTGCGAGTTGACATTTTATCCAGATCCACCTCATTGGATGCACCATGCAGACCGATAAAGCTTGCTCTATAAAAGGCATTATCCGACAACTGGCGCTACATGATGCGATGAGGGAAGGTCTCCTCACTGGTAGTTTCTTCGACACCAAAGTCTACGCATATTCTCGCAGAGCCACATCCGATAGGATAATTGAGCCGCGATGTATCTTCGCGAACAGTGTTTTGCTCAAGACTACATCGGAATTCTTTGTCACTCGTACGTGCGCCAAATTACTTAGATGTATTGATGACCAAACCATTTGCTAGTCCTTTCCGAGCAGTTTTCGGAAGCACAGCCGAGGACAGACCTTGCGTGTGAGGGATACACGAGTATCGATGAGTACGATTATGGAGACGACAGTGATCTGGAAGATGTAGAACTTGAAGACGAGAGCGGAGATACACCCCTAGTCAAGAACTGTGCGGATTCCATCTTGCACGACGATGTCAGCCAGTGTCGAGGTTCAGTGTTGGTGCGCTACCTGACATTCTGACCGAAGGCGCAACACTAAAATGCTAAATAGGGCTCAGACGCACCCGGAATACTGGCTCCCGCCCCGGATTCGGTCGGCGTGCGAGATACGACGATACGGGCAATTTTCCTGAGGAATGTCGCATCCAATACGTGAGTTTCTTACAGGCTGCCTCCCTGCCGCTGTCTCGATCATTTTATAGGATACAAGCCTTTGTCTTCTATCTGCTTACTGGCATCGTTGACTTCGCCCCGCTCCGGTCGCAGTCCATCACTGTCGCAAGGAGCGCCACACGAACTCCACAGCATCAAGCCCCAAGCTGTTCGCCGAAATCCATGTACCGTCTGGCTCACCTGGTGAGTCACTTGGCTTCGATATCTGATCCAAACAAACAACACTGGACAGTACGGAATCAAAGAATTGCAGGCGCTGGCAATACAAGACATCGCCTCCAAGATATCGCATGAAAACATTGTGCCTGAATTGTTCTCATCTCTCACGGCCAGGTACATTTGTCTCATGACACACTACCACAACTAACGTCGGATTTTAGGTACCCTGAGATCCAGCAGACCGAGGTCAATTTCCTCATCGACAAGGGATTTACTGCAGGGGTGTTCGCCGCGATGCCAACTTGGATCTCGAAGGTCGCCTCCGGTTCTCTGGGACGTCTCAGTGGTGACGTCCTTGCTTTGTTACTGCAACGATTAGCCACTAAGCCTGTTCCTCGCCTTAAAACTCCATTCTGCGACGAATGCGCGGAGTCGTGTCCACACCGCCCCTCAAAAAAGGCTCGTAATGCATCGTCTCGGTGATAGTCCGGCTATATATAATTTCCATCTTACCACGATGGTCATGATTGTGGCAGTGTAAACGTATCTACCACTGGCAGCAGCGTTCAAGATATTCTACGAGTCTCGCTTAGCATAGTGCTGGCACTCATCGTAACATCTGTCAGCTTCTACCCGAGCAAAATTGATGAGCTTGGCCCTCGAGGCTGCCGCTATCACTGTTGTAAACTGTTAAGCTCACTTTCAGGTCCATCCACAGCCTGTCGGTATAAGTGTCTGTTTCTTATGTTTCTTCAGTATTACAGATACCCTGTTTGACACCATACTTGTGTACACGTGCTGAACATGTGCCATAACCCGAGTCCACGTTCCTGTCTTCTGCGTGTGGTTGTTATTGTCAAGTCGACTTCTTTCAGCATCAGCACCCCGGTTGTTGAATGTTCGTTCCTGGTCTGCATGGAGTTCAATGTCTTCAACGGGCATATTACAGTCAATCACAGGCTCTATCATCAGCAGATGTCTCTGATTGGTAATTTGATTTCACTGCTCCTCGCGTAAGACAGGTTCTTCACTCTTCCTGGCGCAAGGCACGTACATTTGGCAATGCCTCCCATGGGTTGCGAGCTCTTGTGTGCTGCTTCGCGAATGCAATGCTCCACACGCATGGAGAGTGATCCTAGATTGTTTAGAAGGATCCGAATGGTGAGTTCGTCTGGCATCCCGCCTCGTCTCGATTCCAAGGCATTGCGAGTCCTTCCCAATCGTCACAATTGCACTATGTATGCTAGCACAGACAAGAAAGGAAAAAGGGGCTCTAAATCCAACAAACCACTGTCCTCCTCGTTGATGCCATCACCCTCTTTGTTGTCCCCACAGCAAAGTCTTTCTAGGGAACAGGTCCTGCACACCGCTCTTAAAACTGCCGTCGTAGCAGGTGGAGACTTCATTGACACTCAGATATACTGTTTCTCCCGTCGCACACATGATGGTCTGGTCAACAGGCCGCGTTCTATTCAAGCGAACAGCTACTTGTTGAAGGCAACGTCAAGCTTTTTCCTCAGCTGTATGCATCTCGATATATTGGTCCACCCACTTCTGATGATCTATCCACAGCGCTAGGCGGAGATTGGAAGGCAGAGATTCTCGATCAACAAAGTTCCACAGATTGCTACGAATATGACTCGGATAGCGATATTGAGGACAATACGGAGGACGAGCTAGCGTACGATGATGCTGCGGAATCCCAGGGCTATCCAGCAAGTCAAGAGGGATCAGAGAAGACGATTCTAGAATACAGTCCGGGCGACGGGGAGCGTCCGGGTGAGGTTAGTAGTCAGTCCGATATCAGCCAAGCCACTGGCTGACTGTTTTGCCTCAGGATTCTAGATCTGCACAGTCTCCAGATTCCAGCGATGCAAATACAGCTATCGAAGCTAATGCATTCGTTGCCGGTCGCAGGAAAATCATCTTCGTCAAGAATGTTGCATACAAAACGTAGGTCACTATTTGTGGTTGAGTGGTAGACTTACTATTTACGCATAATTTGTCTAGGATGCTCGCTTTTGTCTTCTATGCGATGACAGGGGCGATTGGGTTCTCGCCCATTAGATCTCAAAATGCTCGCAGAGAGGCGACTAACGCCACCAAATCATATGAATCTCCTCGATGTTCGCCGAAGTCCATGTACCGGTTGGCCGAAATGGTATGAATATGACCCACAGTAACATTGTATACAGCTGACCTAATCATATGGTACGGGATCCCAGATTTACAGGCGTTAGCGTTGAAAGAGCTTGCAGCACAATCATCCGCCACTAACATCCTCGCGGAATTATTCTCGCCATACGCTGCATGGTGAGTGCCAATGAGTCCTAGCACTCGACAGGACAGGGCTCGCTGACAGCTCACACGAGACTATGGAACTGACGAAGTGCGGGATAGTGATGGTTTTACTGAGAAAGAATTGGCCACGCATCCAGGCGGTGTTATGTGCGCGCAATTTCCGCAATCGCTCCCTAACGGTGAGACGTGTTTGAGGCGAACCATCCACGTAGCGTGCTTTAGCTAGCTCGATAGCGTACTGTAAGTGCGAATCATGACCTATCACCTCGGAGAAGTGCTTGGAACCTAGTACATCAGGGAAAACACCCCGGGCTAATTAGATCTAATTAGATCTAATTAGGTGTAATTAGGTGAGATAGTCGGATAGATCTAAATGTGGACTCATCGGTCTACTATTAGTGCTCTTAGATGGGCTTAGATGAAAAATAGCTTACTTCATTAGCATACATTAGCGTACTCTTAGTGGTCGAATAGGGCACACGCGCATGGTAGAATAGCAAAGGAGTATATTATAGTATAGCTATACAATGACAACTAGATCAGACTGTAGTAAGTACTCAGTATCCACACAATAGCGTAACAGTCCGCGCGGTGTATGAAATACATGGTGCATGACAACTCCTCATCGTTCACCTCGCATCTCAGTCGCGTACGCACAGCCCGGGCCGGGGCCTCACATGCTGAAGGGCGAGGATGCCAAAGTCTGGGACTTCACGCGTGCTCACGCCGGTACCGCTGGCGTACACGTTCCATCGCCTCCCATAGCTCGGGCGTCTGCCACGCCGACTCGTCCTCTTGGAAGGACGTGCTTGCGAAACGATCGGACTCGACGGACACCTCGCGGCCGCGACGGTGGGGAAAGCCAGGAATTGACTGTGCATATGAGGTTGCATGGGACGAGCTGAGGTCAAAGCGATCGCGTCGTGGAGACGCGCTGAGAAGGGGCAAGCCGTGCCGCGATGAGTAGGGCGGCAGGCCGCCATGCGAGGACTGTGCACGACCGCCATCCTCCTCGACCCAGTCGTCCATGCCGTTGTCTTCCTCATCTTCCGGTGCCTCGCTCATGACCACGACCTCTTTGCCTAGAGCGCGCTGGCCTTCTGCGATCAGCGACGTGAGCTTGTCGCCAATCCAAGACATCTATCATGATGGTCACTATGTGTGACCTAGACACTGTTGAGGGACCCAGCGTACCTGGTCGTCTTCGCCTTTGTCTGTGTCTAGCTCCGGGTCAGCATCGGGTGCACTGAAACTGAATTCCGGAGGAATAGGCATGTACGATGTGGCTGAAGAGCCGACAGAGGCGGAAGAGGTAGAAGCTTGCATGGGGCGCGAAGTGTCTTCCGGTGACAAGATTGTGTGCGTCGACCAGCAATGTGGCGGGATTTGCGGGAGCGGGGAGTAGGGGGCGTGACCTGGACAGGAGGGGTCGCAGGGACAGAAGAGGGTTTGGGCTGGTGATATATGAGCTTAGGCGTCGCAGCATTACTTCAGCAATACGCACCTTTGGTAGTACCCATTCACCTTGTTCATACGGGGGTGGAGGTGAAGATTCGGGTTGCTTGCCCCGGTCGGTCTCTCCATCTGAACGCTGCGTGGTGGTCGACAACGACGTCCCCGTTGAGCGCGCGGACGAAGGCGTGGTTGTGCGGGGACGCGATTATCGCCAATATGTAGCCCACAAGGTGCAGCAGCGGTGGCACTCACCTGAAGCCCCCGGGATGGCTCGCATGATTCGCCCCCAACAGCCATTCCAATAACGCTTGCCTGTCGTATGTGCTGGACCTGTATTTAAAGGTTAATAAGAACATATGATACATGGCACAGGCTCTCGCTAAAACAGGGGCGAGGTGCTGGGACAAGACCCCCAGGCGACAATTGTTGCGAACAGGACACGAACATGCAGGAACGAAAATTATTGTCGATGTGACGCTGGCCGCAGATCTCCCCTGTTTGTACTTGTTTGATTCGCTTCGCTGGGACGCTAAGTTCTTTGAATCGAGTGCATTCGTGCAGATCACATGATCGTGCCAGATTTAGCCTGGGGCGGACTCTCAGGTGGGTCCGCTGGGGGGTGGACTCTCAGGTGGAGCGAGACACATAATTCTCAAGATAGATTGAGATTAGGATGTAAGCCGCGGGTTTGAAGCTGAGTCTATCTGAATGTCTGGCTGTGTAGGTAGCCATTAGTACACTGTAGTGCGACAATAGCATGAGTAGGTCAATAGCTCAAACTTATATGCGAATATATTGCTACACGGCCGCAGATAATCTTCGATTAAACCCGGGTTCATCAATATGCAAGTTTAACCTGAGATGTCTTGGGTTTTTCTACGAATTGGCCAACCCGGGTTTTCCCCAATCATGCCTGGCATTTGGTACAACCTGGCTCCCAGCAACCCCGGTTAGACACCGGCTCACATTATCCCGCATTTTGCTCCAGATACTGATATCCCACTTAACAATACCAATATTGTAAATAATCCATATATTCTATTATGCGTACACTACAGACATTGTACAACACAGCGGTGCGCATATGAACACATCAATGGGGAGTCGTCAGACCACATACCTTCAACATTGTACACCTGCTCTCATCGTGCATGCCCACACCAACTCCATGACCTGACCATCCTCCTGTATATCATGTTCCTGTCGCTCTCGAAATCATTGAACTCCTGCAATACAAACAGAGCATCAGTAGGTCAGTGGGTCAGTAGGTCAGTACATGCATCAGTAGGTCAGTGGGTTAGTACATGTGTTAGTGTGTCAGTGTATCAGTACGCCAGACTCATCAGTACATTGTTATCATTAGTAACAGTCTCGTTAGTACACCCGTGTAGTCACTATCATCAGTATTGCGCGCATTGTTAGTATCATCAGTATCTCCATTGTGATTAGTACATCAGTGTCAACCCATACACTGATTCACACCAACACCAATTCAACGTACCTTGCATGCAGCCATTTGGGACGGAAAGGATGGTGACGGACAAGAAAAAAGACGACGCGACTGCACTGTGCGATTCAGTCACCATGGATCACAAGCATCACCGTGTCACGTGCATCCGTATCATCTGTCTCTCTCGTCGTTTCGTCCTTGCACCTCATGCAGAAGCTCCCTGTCAATTGTTGTGCAGGCGTGAGCAAAAACATACCGTGGGCGGGCTCATTAAGCTGCTGGGTGTCATCTGATACAACGGTCTACACTCCTATATTGATGCCTGACTCGTAGACGACGAGCGAGGACTTATGGACAGTGCGTCGTCCTGAAGATCGAGCGAGAGAGTCGAGAATGACCACTACCCCAAGTGAAGAGGAGCAGAGACTTGAATGAATAACCAGGTCGAACTTAGGGTTCGACCGACTAATGGTACAACTACTTATACAAGTACCGACTACGCACGGACCATCGTGTCTATGTGGTCGTGTTAGTGAAGAAAGAAACGTAGTGGTACGATACCAGGCACGAAGTGCGCACGGACCCCATTATGTAAGCTACATAATGTTCAACCTGCGGGTGAGCGCTAAGACAGGCGCCAGTATGGGCGCTAGTAGTACAAGGAATAGAACGGAAAGACAAATGTTTCATTACCCCCCTACCAGAGTCGAAGTCCCATTCGACTACTTACTGCTCACCATCTCCATACAACTCCCAATCTACGCCGTCGTCCTCCTCTTCGTCGAACCACTCCTTGCGCGCGTTCCT